GCTGACTGGATGATTGCTGCACAGGGATGCTTTGCTCAAAATTTTCCACGTAGGTTTTTTATATTTTTTCCTCCATTTTTTAGCTTTTGAACTAAACATTCAAAATTGAAAGGAATCTTTGTTTATAATGGTTTGCTTGGGTAGACAAACACCAAGGAAAAACGTAAGGATGATTCACCCTTTAAAACCTAAGATCTGATTGTTAATTCTCCTTTCCAGCTGCCACACGCTTACTTTTAAGTTAGTTAGAAGAATTTGGTGTTAGATCAAGATAAAAACTTAAACCTGATCTTGTTTTACAATCAAAACTTCCTTAGTTGATGATCATTTCCTTTATTTTCTATGACCTAAATGTTTGATTCAGCAATTGTACTGTACAGAGAAGTTAGATGTCAGTCACTCCTAAGAATGAAAGGGCTAATAATGAACTTTTACATCCTTGTCCTTTATTTTCAGTTGTTACAGTTTATGCCACACTTGGGGACGAAGCTCTCATCCATGGCATCAACGAAACAGACGTAAGATTTATCATCACAGATGCTTCTCTGCTTCACAAGCTCTCTGCTCTCATTGATAGGCTACCCAAAGTTGAGCACATTGTGTACCTTGGAAATGTTGTAAAGAAATCTGCCCTTCTAGGTTTTTCCAGGAGAGTAAAGGTCCACTCCATGCATGAAGTGGAAGAGATTGGAGAGTCACAAGATGACAGTAAGTATGAAACTTTTGACTCAAAAAAATTGCATGTTTATCACATGTATGCCATATGCACTGCTACAATAGCACTTGTGATGGTCATCAACTCTTTATTCATACATGCCTCAACTCACAAGTTGATGGTATGATTGATACAAAATTTGCAAGACATCATCCATTCCTTGTCCCTAGGCAAAAAGAAATGGAGCAACAAAAATCAGCCTGTTTCACTTGCCAAAGCAGATCTAATCCCTTTAGTTAATGGAAAAAACTCAGAAGTATGGGCTTTCTCACTAATACAGAGGTTTCAATAACTTGTTCCATATGTGGCTGCTGGTGGTGTTATGGGTGGCTGTGTCGTAAGGCAAAACCAAAACACAAGACCCTGCTAGCAGGCTAAACAGACAGTGGTGAGAGGTGGTGTTAGACTGCCAATAAGAGGCTGTTATTGACACCTTTGCTAATACTACTTCAAATTCACTTTATTCACAGTTAGTTAACTTAAGGCAAAGTTGGCTACATGTATAGTATACTCTGTTATGCAGAGTATGTATGTGTAAATGTAATATTTCTTTCACTCATCATTGCAACTAAACATGGTTTTGGTTCTGAGGCATTTGACAGGAACTCTGCATTTTCTAAACACTGCAACGTTATTTAGCATCAGTAAGGAAATAATTATAAACATAGAGGGGGACTGGAACACCAATTTGGTACCAGCAGGAATGGTATTAAAACAATTTGTAAGGCCTACCTGTCAACTGAGAATGATGATTGTACATTTGTCATCATCTCGTAGCGTCCATGATCAGGAAAGGTCCGAGCCCTAGTGATGTTGCAGTTATAATGTACACAAGTGGTTCAACAGGACTTCCTAAAGGTGGGTTTGCTGTCAGGGCTGATACTGAACTATAGAACATCTTTTCATTTTAGACGTTATAATGAAAAATAACATAGAAGAAATTTAATTAGATTTATATTGAAAACACTTCAAGTGTCAAGACCTTATGATAATTTGTTTCTTTTCCTGAGTTTTACTTTTAAGTTGTCAGTGAAAGATATTTGTGGTAAATGTACTGCTATCAGGCGAGAAGTTATTTGCCAATGTGATTTTGAATGTTAATGTGATCTTGCATTTATAGGTTACATTGTATTTTATGTAACTTAGTCATCCTTTTTCACATGTACAAAAAAAAAACGGTTGCCACAGACAACATTGAATCAAGGTAACAGAGCATGTGGTTATTTTCTCTGGTAGGTGTCATCATTCCTCACAGTGCACTAATGGCTGCTATTGCTGGTGTTATTGGTAGAGTGCAGCCATCTTTGAGGTACTGAAGGCCAGGGTGTTTTTACTTCATTGTATTATTACTGGACTGGTTTAATAGTGACTTGATGATTGGTAAAATTGATCAGAACAAGACAATTAAGCTTCTACAAAGCATGAGAAAGTTCAGGTTTCAAATGCAGAGTATGATTCTTTCCAAGGCAAAAAAGAATAAAATGTAGGATGAACTTGGCTTGCCCTTTTGCAAATGGTTTGTTATGTTGTGTAATGAATTTTATTTTATTTTATTTGTCCCAGTGAAAAAGATATCTATGTTGGTTATCTTCCATTAGCACATGTCCTAGAACTACTGGCAGGTAATAATTACAGACAAGTTATTTATTGTACCTAATATGCAACATGTTGTGTGCATCTGCAAGAAGAGATTTGCTTAGTTCCTTTATTTCTGTCTTTTGACTTGTTTGTTATTGTTACTGTTATGTTTTTTTGTGTGATGTTTTTTGTTATGGAAACAGTCAAAACTTGTTGTTAATGATCAAGGACTGATGTTGGCATTAATCCTTTTTTTACATTGTAGAAAATGCAGTACTTGCTCATGGGGCCTCTATAGGATATTCCACTACCCTCACTCTTTCTGATCAGGTAAATCATTTATGTTTCCTTTTTTCCTTCCTAATTGCAAGGCACTTGGAATGCAGTGCATCTTAATGATAACAAAAAACACAGAAAAACCACAACTTTGAATTTTTTTTTTTCTGAAATTTCAGTTCTCTGTTCATTGAGTATCTTAATTTTCAGATACCTTTCCTTGAAAGGTATGGAACGAAAATTACCAAATTGTGACAAGAAATTTCAACTTATTTTTAAGCCTTATTAGGTGGTGTTTGAAACAATTTGGTTGTTATTATGCTGAAATTTTATTTCTTTATCTGTAGTCATCTAAAATCAAGAAAGGAACAAAAGGAGATTTATCAGTTCTTAGACCAACTGTAATGGCTGCAGTTCCAACAGTCATGGATAGGATAAGGCAAAATGTCATGGAGAAGGTCAAAGAGGGTCCTCGTCTTCTGCAGCTGTTTTTCTCATTTGCTTACAGCTACAAGTTGAAGCAGCTTAAACTTGGCTATGATACACCTATTCTTAACAGGTAAATTTTGCTGAGTGATGGACATAACCATAATTATGGTAAAAATGAGTAATGTTTGATGACTGGAAATATATGAAAATTATATATGTGCACTGCGGTGAAAAAATGAGATATAAGTGATCCTCGCAGCTATGAACACTACTGAACTAGTAGATTAAATGAGACCTGAAAAAAATTCAGGCCTGTAAAAAATTTCAAATCCTGTAAGGGTCTGAATTTCTTTCAGGTCTCATTTCAACTACTATTTCAGTAGTTTTCATAGTTGCAAGGATCGCTTATATCTCATGAGTAATATTTGTTAGGGGAGACTGAGGTTTACACAGTCTTTGAGAACTACAGTATGTGAATACGTAGGAAAAGTCTTGGATAACTGGTGGGAAGGGGAAGGTTTTTCCTAGCTGTAACAAGTGGTTAATTATATACTTGGTATGAGTTTTATTAATTCTACAAGACTCCAGTTAAACTTTGACTTCAGTTAAACGGGAAAGAGATCATTTCCATCGTAAAAAGCGGTGATATAAATTTTGATTCGTTTAGTGATACGAATTTCAACACCAGATGATGTGATCTTTATTAAGCCTGTCTCTCCTTGAAACTATCTGTCAGAGGAGTTAAAAGAATTGGTTAGGGTGGGGCCCCAGAGGAATTAACATGATATAAGTAAAGGGACTTCAAATAATATTCAAAAACAGTTGTGATAAAGTTCTTCCCAATCGTGTTTGCGGTTGAGATGTTTCCTGATCGTGTTTCACGGATGGATGGAGCAGTTGTGAGTTTTTTTACTTCTCAATACTGTTGCCCAGCTTTGATTCACAGAGGTTATGGGAAAGGTTTTGTGCTGTTTCCCTGACTCTTTCCATGACATCAGTCCCTATGTGTTTCTCCAGATTCATTTTCTCCAAGATGCGAAATCTACTAGGGGGTCGTGTGCGCCAGATCATTAGTGGTGGAGCCCCTTTGTCCGAGGACACCGAGTTCTTTATGAATGTGTGCTTCTGTTGTCCTGTTGGTCAGGGGTATGGTCTCACTGAGGTGTGTGGAGCAGGAACTGTTTGCAATGGTAAGTAATCTGAAAGGTCGTGAATAGATTGAGGAAGATAGTAACTTGTGTCTGTTGTTCAGATCAAGGAAGATTTTATTTGATGCAACTGTGGGATGATTAAAGAAAAAGACTCTCCTGAAGCTCAAGAACTTTGCATCTTTCTTAGTCGATTTACACACATAACGCTTAGTTGACATTTCTGTGTTCGCCGAATGGTTGGTTGGTTGATTGGTTGATTGGTTGATTGGTTGATTGGTTGATTGATTGATTGATTGATTGATTGATTGATTAATTGTAGCATGGGACAAGACAACTGGTCGTGTTGGGCCTCCTGTGTCTTCAGCCCAAATCAAGCTTGTTAACTGGGAGGAAGGTGAGTTGTAAACTGAAAATGTCGCGAATTTCTTCACTTTTGCATGAAAAGCGAACCCCTCTTAACTAAAAACTTGACGAAGACATGGCCAGCGCATGCGCTCACCCTACTTCAAGACGTCGAATACCACAAATTTTGAGTTCAACAAACTGAGGTTCAACATGATCATGACGACATTTGATCAACAGCCGATCAGATGTAAAACCTAAACCCGCCGCTTCTTCGTCATTCGCGTTCTTAGCGTTTAAGACCGTGTGGTTTTCCCTCTTTCTTTTAAGGGCACCCTGTCATAATTCTTTTTCATCCGACTGGTTTTGTGATCATTTCGGTTTTGATTTAACGTCTCTCAATCGAAATGCACTTAAAAATCCTTGACCCTTTTTAGATTTGAAAACAATCGTTAACCCTGTAACCCCTAAGAGAGACAATGTCACCCCTGAATCACACCAGTCAGCACCTTAAGATATGTATAGAACACAGTATGGAGATTATGAATACTGACGTAAAGGGTTAACTTAACACTATTTACATTGTGAAGGTAATTACAACGTCACGGATAAACCTTACCCCAGAGGAGAGATTGTTATTGGCGGTCCAGTTGTGAACCGTGGCTACTTCAAAAATCCAACGAAAACGGCTGAAGACTTCAAAGAAGACAGAGACGGTATGCGATGGTTCCATACCGGTGATATCGGAGAGTTCCATCCTGATGGATGTCTGAAAATCATAGGTGAGGAATCAGTGTTTGATGACAAATGACAAACTTGAAAAACTTCAGGCTAAAGTTTTCATTTCATTGTTTCTTTTCCCATCCAGATCGCAAGAAAGATCTTGTAAAGCTGCAGATTGGAGAGTACGTGTCTCTTGGCAAAGTAGAAGCAGCACTTGCGCAAAGTCAGTATGTGGAAGCTTTGTGTGTGTATGCAGAGAGCTGTCAAACCTTTGTGGTGTGCTTGGTGGTGCCACGCCCTAAACAGCTCAAGGCCCTAGCAGTGTCGCTCGGCGTGCATACTGATGACATGGCTGAACAGTGCAGAAATAGAGCCATCCAGGATGCAGTCCTCAACGATCTGCAGGCTCTCGGCAAAGCTTGTAAGTCACTTGAATTAAGAGCGCGCACACGTCCCGGTAGAAAGTTGAGAAAATTTCAGGTCGCTAAACACAACGCCATAAGTCGCAAGGAAATATCACAGCAATAATTCGCTTTGTGTGGCATGGAGATTTCTGTTTAGTCCTAGCGACAGAATTTTTTCCCCGCAGAAGCCACGCAACTGTTAATTACAGAGGAACCTCTCCGTTCTGGGAACACAAACTTTGGTCTCGGATAAATGTTCATGTTGTCTTTGTATCTGTTTCCTCTGTTGAAGGGAAACCACCATTAAAGGGACTCTCGCCCTGGTCCCAAGGGCGCACCGTAAATGGAGTTTCCACTGTACTTTGAAAATTTGAAATGATCGCAGAGGCTTGTGGTGAAGTCGGTAGTACATACCAAGCGTACTGTCAAAAAGGGCTGTCCACTTGTGTTTCCCGGCCTCATTGGTTACAAAGTGGTGCTCTTCCTAACATGCATTCAAGAAAGGAAACCCGTTTCAAACGGTTCAGGTGTATAAGGTGACACGTTACTTCTCTCTTTCTTGCAGTGCGTCTTGAGAAGTTCGAGATCCCTCAGCGGTTGACCCTTGTCACGGAACAGTGGACGCCTGACACCGTTTTTGTTACCGCTGCCATGAAGCTCAGACGGAAACAAATCACATCGTACTACAGGCAGACACTGGATGCGATGTACAGCAATTGAACGAGGTCTTGAAGCTTCTCGGTAGAACTCCTGGCAACCGGCGAGAAATCTATTCTATGTTCTCAAGAGGGAAAACGGTCTCTATTAATTTCTTTGCTTTCAAATAACTGGATCGTCCTGTTACCGAAAATCTATTCTTCATTTTACCGATTGGTTGATTCCATTCTCGAAAAAAAATTCAGAAACCTTGAAAAGATTGTGCGAGCCATTTCATATCGATGACGGCAGAATGCAGCAGTTCGATATTGCTGGTATTGCCTGATTGAAAAGAAAACAAATCAGAGATATTTTATCCCGGGACAGTTACTGCTCAAAATGTCGTTTTTCTTTTTAACATAAGAGCTTTTAATTGGAGAAGATATTTGTGTGCTTAATAATTTTACGTGCATCTTGTCAGGAATCTGATAAAAACCAAGTTTGGTTATTGGTGTGCATGGAACTGGTTTCTGTGACTGTGCATATTCTGTTGGCTTACTCAAATACTGGCAAGGACGTTCTCGCAAATAAAACAATTATCGGAATTTTCAGTTGTGTCAGCCTTACTTTGTTCTGAAAGGAGAAGTGGCGAAGTGTATTGGACACCTGAGTTGTTCAACACGATTACATTAAGGCAGGTTTTGGGCAGTTTTCAATATTGAGTGTCAAAAGTAATCCAGGATTAATTTTCTTTTTGCTTTACTTCGCTCTGTGATTGGTCTAGGAAACTCCACTCTCAACCAATCAGATGCAAAACTTTAAGCTCTTGAAGGTATTTTCCTTCCCTCTGATTGGTCGTTGTGATTACTTTGGTTTTACGACACTCAAAAGCAAAAAAACACTCCATTGTAAATTTCTGACTTGTTCTTGTTTCCGATTGGCTGAAATAATCCATTGACACTAACAAGAGAAGTGATTCGCGTCCAGTCAGCAATTCGTCTTCCGCCACGTCCCTGAGATCTGCAGGGAGCAATTAACGTAAAACCCGAAGGGCCTTGATAAAGCCCGAGACTGAAATCGAATCTGTTGATGGTTACCCAATACTTTCGACTATCTTTCTTATCTTGGCTATGTCCTTCGGCTGCGTCCCACAGCATCCTCCTACAAAACGTTCCCAGAAAAAAAATCTCTTTTAGCGCACAGTAAAATTGACATGTTCATTTTCATGCCAAGGAGAGGAAATACCTGATGCAGTGAGCGAAAGTCAATACCTTGAAATCTTTCTGAAGGAAACCACCCCTTCACCTTCACCCTGCTTCAACTATTGATCTTTTTAAATGATATCCACGACCCTTGAATGCACTCGTCTTGGTGTGAAACACATTTTGTCGGTGGATAAATTGGCGAAAACTGGAGGCGAAGTTGTTGGGCTAAACGCCTCCACATGAATTAGGGAGCTTAAGCAAACCACGACGACGACGGCAACGAGAACGTCATCCAACAAAAGGTTTAATGAGCAGAACAATGGCTATGCACGTGCGTTATAAATCTTTGTACATTTCTTTGCATCCTCTCCAAAACAACAACGTGAAATGACCAAATTCTGCGTCCTGTACGGAACGTGGACGACGACGGCTAATATTTCGTATTTCCATTTGGAATTACACGCCGCCATTGCACATTTAGCTCGAGCACGATTTTAGAGCCATTAACGAACCGAACAGATCTAGACAACTGTGAATTTCGCTCATAAAATATAAATTCATTTTTTACTTGGCGTCGTACCCAGCGTCGTCGTCGTGGTTGCTTAAGCTCCCTATTAAGACAGACGGGAGTTGGGGTATCAATACCTGCTTTTTTTTTTTTTTTTTTTTTTTTTTTTTTTGAAGGCGCGAGTTCCGTGAAATCTTATTTCACTTTTGCGCAAAATTGGGGAAAAACGAGGGCGAATATATTAATTCTTAAAGGGAGGGGGGTGGATCAGTGAGCTCGTGGCAATTGAGCGCAAGTACTCCCCCCTCCCCGTAGAAGGGAGGGGAAATAAGGAACGGAGAAATAGTGAAAACATAGAAGGATCTGAAGTCTTTATGGCCAAGAGGCAGGGTTACCGCTCATCGTACAACATTAAGGGAACCGGGCTCCTATCCGCTCTATCCATAACGCGCCTTTCCAATTTCAGACACACCCCATGATAATTTGGGAAGGGTGGGCCACGAAGAATGGGGCCTTAAGGTCAAATGAATGGAAACTTGAATAAGTATCTTTAGCTAGTTGGAGCACATTTCCCCTCTATTTTACCATGAAAAGAAGTGAAGTTTTAAAAGTTATCACATAAATACAGGGAAGTACCCACAACTTCACCCTCACCAATCCAACGAGCGCCAGCTGCTATCCACTCTATTACATGACCAGATAAAACTTGATGTTCATCGTCGTCCCAGACGAATCTGAAGGGATAGAAATTTCTGTTGGTGGAGAAGCACTACAGTTGCATTCCTCAGGTGGTATGAACCGTTGCTGTCATGTGACATTAACATTATAATGAGTCTTTTTAGCGGAATACACGTCCAGAGATAGAGAACTGATTCTGGGTGCTTCTTAAAAACGTTTTGGGGTTGTAGATGGTCCCACAGAAGATCACTCGTGATTCTCATACGCAAAGGAACTCCCTATGGCTGCGCCCCTGAACTGGAAAGGGACGCCGTTTATGATAAAATATAATCATTCAAAATGGGAACGTATTTTATCAGAAATGGAATATCAAGGGTGTGTCTTGAAGCACATCTCCCACTGTACTATCCCTGATTACACTTAATTGAATACCTCTGCCATATCACATCAAGATCGTAAATAGCACTGTAACCATTGATGGAAATGAATGTATTCTTCAATGTATTAACTATCGGACTAGTATCCCTTCAAATATATATTAACCACATTCAAATGATTTATATATTCGGTTTAATTTTCAATCAAACAGATAAAGAAAGAAAATATAACATGGAATAAATCAACACTCACTTTCCATCGTCGAAGCCATTAGGATAAACAATTAGGGGAAGATCAACCTTTCCTTGGATGCTCTGCAATAAGAACTGTTAAAAAGAAACTTACTGGCAGGGGAGTGGGAGGGGAAACGCTACACCAAGCGGAGGTTCATTAAACACATAACTCAAGTTAAATTCCTCTGAAACAAATATCCTCAAACTGTCGCTATTCAGGCACAGTCACGTACCCAGACCTTCCGCGGTCAAGTAGTTGTAAGGTTCCTGCACTTCAGTAACACGGTAGGATCTGGGTACGAAATTTATTCAGGTATTTAAATACACACCTTTACAAATTGTGGAGGAGAACAATTCACACCAACAGCAACAATCTAGCAATAAGAAATAATTATAATTTACGTTTAATATCAAATAATGCCAACTTCAAATGTGACAAATAATCCGGACGGTGATCACACTTTACTGAATGAGTGTAGCTTACTTGTGCTGACTGGCAGACGATTTTAGTGACAACTTCAGAGAACAGTTCTCCGTGACAAGTGTGCCTTTCATCCTGCATGTCAAACAGAGACCTAATTACTTATGACTGGCATGTTCTCAGCAAAGGCATCATAAGTGCTAAGGACTAGTTGGTAATACTGTTGAGGCGACAGTGATGGTGACCATGATCCTGAATTGGGTAACAAATGGTCCTGAGTAAAAAAGGTAGCCTTTTATGACATTGTTCACTATCTGATTTAAAATGGTCGTTATGAGCATTTCTTGCCAAAAGCCATGACAGCCTGTTGCAATCCCTCAGTGTTAGCTAATCTCAATTCGTAAAAAGCTTAAGAAACGGGAAGCGCTTCAAATCTATTATTGACAATCTATCAGAATCTACTATTGACAACAGAATGAACCGTTTAGAAGCTTATATGCAGAAAATGATTCAAGCTACGCTAGAGAAAAACGTTTTGAATAGACAGCCACAGCTACTACAACAGCAAAATTTGCAACATAAACTTCTTTGATGATTTGAGAGAACAAGACGAAGTAGCCGTTACCAAAAATGTCTCCCGTAAAGCAAAAACTCCCAAAAAGATCTCTAAAATAGTGAAGAAGTCAACACATGTCATGAGTGCTGCAGAAAGAGTCTAGTCAAGCTTACGCACAAAAAGAGGGACCAGACTTCGTGAACGGAAAAGGTCTACTTCCAAGACGGACACGTTCTACATTTTACGAACCAAACAATTGGGAAATCGCGTTATAATTTCTTTTACAAACCGTCAAAACTATCACAAAATTTGCGAACGCGATTGGTAACTATCATTCCGATTTGAGCACTAATAGAACAGAGTCCAATTCAGTCTGTAATCATACGAGTGATTAACAAAATCAGACGACCGTGAAGCGGGAGTTCGATTTGTCAATCACGAGTATGATTACAGACAGAACAGGACGACACGAAGTCCTGTTACCAATTTATCATAATAATTACAATTTCCGAAAAAAAAAAAAAACATTTAGGACAAACATCTCCAGTAAGGAAATGTCTAGAGCAAAAAATTTGGAATTTTCCCAGTTTTCTTTTCAGGGTAAGTGGTTGTTGCTGTGGTTATTGTGATCAATCCTGTGATTGGTGGATTTAGCTGAGTGGACTTAGTATGATTGGCTGTTTCAGTTCTCTGATTATAGGTGTCCGATTACAGCCAACTGTCTGATTACAACTGTACAGAGTGATTAGTGAAATATAAAGCAGCCGATTCACCAATCACATTTGAGGAAATTGTAATGGTTATGATTATGCTTGTAATTGGACTGTGTAATAGGACAGTCAGAGGGACAGTTAACATGTCATGCCTGTGTAAATAGACAGTATGCACCATGTGCATGCGCTTTTGTCATGCATTTCACTGAGTTAAATGTTTTTTTTTTCCGTCATGAAAACATATCACCAATGTCTTGTTTCTTTCTCAAATGTTGTCACAGTTTGAATAATTGGTTACTCGTGAAGTACAACTCCTAAAGGTACTGAGAAAATCGATGGAAAACCACAAGGCATTTAAAAAACTGGTCCCTCTATCATACATCATAAACAGTCTACAGTTGTCAGGACAATATCAAAATCAAAGGCACAGTAAAAAAATAGAAAAAAGCAAATCTGTTCCTCTACATTAGGCATAACAGTAGTCAAATTGTCACACACCTTACATGAAAAGCACAGCCAAGCTTTTGCTGTAGGAAATTCCTTGAGAAGCTGAATCAGAGCCTCTGCTTCTTTCTAGTAAAATTATTAATCAGTAGGAGAGGTTAGTTTACAAAGGACCACCAACTTATCAGGGTAACCTTAAGTTATTGGAAAGGTTTTATTACTAGAAGGTGCTGTGCTGGCCATCAGCAAATAAATATGAACTAGAATACAATTTTCTTAAGGGAAGGTAAAATATTACACTGATTATCAGAAAGATGGTACCTTTATTGTTAACCCTTTCCTCGACATGGAGCCAGTTCCCAAAAATTTCAACTTCAATTGGCTAGTACAACAGCTTAATTATCTGAATGAACTTTCAGAAGATTCTGAACAGCATGTCAATTGGAGAGATCACATTTGAATGCAACATGATTGTTAAAGTTACAGTTTTACACATCAATTTTCATTGGAAAAAAATTAAGCTGTTATTTAATGTACTAGGAGAAATTATTGGAACAGCATGTACTGACTTAAGTTTGCCTGTGTGGTCTCATCATTTTTTTAATCTACCTCTCACAATCTGATCACTTCAAATTAAATTTCTGTTTCTGATCATGTTGTGTTTATTCAAATTTTTAGGCCATAAGAAATTACTGATTCATCCAAAATTTAAAAGTACCTGAGCAGGAATGGTTTCTAGAGCTAGAATGTCAACTCCAGCTTCAAGCAGTGCTTTCACTCTGGGCCTGTGCCAATCCATCAGTTGCTGAATTAAAAGAGTTAGTATTTGATCTATTTTGCATGCATGAACCATAATTGAAAATTAAAATTTTTATTAGTAAGTAAGTAAGTAAGTAAGTACAGACTTTATTTAAAGAGGGTAGCACTGAAATAGTATAAAAATACTAACAAACCAGTGGCCCTCTAAAATTATGTACAATACGGATGTTAAAAACTCTGGCATAACTATGAGATAATATAACGAATAAAAATACAGGAGATAAGAGATAGATCAATTAAAAGTACAAAAGTATAACTAAATCACAGAATAAAATAATTTAAAAGCTGCTGTTCTTCAAAAATTTTTTTCCAAAGAGTGTTCCTAAAAAAATTAAGTGATGCTATTTTCTTCATAGATAGCAGTAAGCGGTAAGCTTATTCCTGAGAACTGGTAAGAAATTCTTCACCCCTTCCCTTTGATTGATTTAATAATATAATATTGGCATTTTGTGAACACATCAAATTTAACATAACGAAGAATTTGATAAGTTCAAAGGCGAAAGCTTTTGTATTGGAAAGCAACTTGCTGGATAATCATTATAACATATTTAATTTAGGAAGAAAGTTATATAAAGCATTTTTGAGAGTTTAAGGTGAATGTCTCCTTCCTATGGCCAAACTTAGACAAATTGTTATGTAAATATTATAGAGAACCATCATAAATTACCCTGGTCTTAATTACCTTGATTGTCATGTTGTCAACATAATTCCCACTGTACTCAGACCAATCATGCTGACAAGCTCCATATGGACCTACTGATCCAGCAACCAGCAGTCTCCTTTTATATTCAGAATTATTACTAGATAAACAATGAGTAAAAAGAAAAAAGGTAATTTTTATCTTTAAGTAATAACATGATTTTGAGTGCAATTTGTTGTTAATAAGCACAAGTAAATTTTTCAAAGACAACAGAATTGCACAAGCCTGTAAGGAAAGTGCAATTTGTAGTCTTTGAAAAATTTACTTCCTTTTTACACCAAATTGCAAGAGAAATCATGTTATTACTTGTTAATAATGTAAACAAAAAAAAATCACAGAGACTCAAGACAGAGGAAGTTTTGGAGGCATGCACACACTATTTGTAATTTGCATTGGTGTTACATGAAAATGTACTCATTTTCAGCCAATGTACTTTATTAAACATGAAAACAGTTTAATGAAACTTAATCAAGGTGTTATATGATATTCATATAGTATACACCTGAAGTTATGTGAACTGTTTTTTTTTTCACACATGAAATTGATTTATTTATACCAACCCTTCTTTGATTATAATTTTTTGTTAGGATTTCATATTCAAGACACAACCTATGTTGGCTTTTGGCATAGTTCTTCTCTGATTGCATGGACTCATATTCAAACGAAAGCTTTAGTACCTTTTAACTTCAAGACAAGCTTCCTGTGCAATTTTTACGCTACTGTAAATTACATCCAAGGCCTTATTCTCATCAAAATCACAATGTTGATAAAGTGTCTCCAGGCTGAGCTGAAAGCATACACATAAATCAAATGTTAACAGGGTGAGCATTTTGAAATCAAGTTACGACCAACATAAACTTTTGTATTCAAGAAAATAAACAATCATAAAATACCAAATTATCCACAAAATAAATGGTCTACAAAACACCTTCTGGTCAATGTTTGATTGATTACCTGATAAGTGCCAGTTATCACAATGTCAGCCCCACTTTCAAGGAAACTAAGAAACAAAAACTATTTTTTTTAGTGGATGTACTGAGAATATAATTCGCCTAAGAGACCTATAGGCAGTTTCCTATACCAGCTAAGGGAACAAAATTTTATCCATTTTTGTTCTTTTTAGTGATGTAAATCAATCTGAATTAAAGGCCAAGGGCATGGGTAGCGGTGAACAGGGAGGACCAAGGGACACACCCATTTACAGTGCACCTCAAGGTACCTCAAGCACAACTTTATTAGCTTATGGGGAAGTGGGGGGGCAGGAACCTCATGGGCTGGAATTTTCATGGGAAACTTCAATCAAAATGCCGATCGTAGCCTGTACCTAAAAAAGTTAATTTTGACGAAGTTAGTTCGGTAAATTGCAAAGCTTCTTACCTTTTATGGACAGCTTTCACTGCCTCTGAATTTTCAATAAGAGTTCTGGTACTCCAAAGTGGATCATCCTGAGAAAAAAAGGCTTCGAATCAACTGGCATATGCATGTATTCTCTCTCCTAAAAGCCCCAAGGTTTTTTACTCCGATGACTTTCAGACTTAAATCTTCTTTATTGATTTTGCTTAAAGAAAATAATGTTAAGAATTGTCATTTCATAGAAAAAGATAGGTATCTTTCACCACCGTACATCGATTTTAAATCCAGCCCTTGTTAATTCTGTTCCAAGACCTCCATCTAGTACAATAAAGTTTTCCTCTCCATTTGAGTTGATGCGTTCAGTCATAATAATAAGATTCAAGAGTTTGTTCATGTGATCATAGATTAAGATTCTCGCGCTCGGATTGATCAAGGATTGCTCTCTATCTCTTACTGATTGCGCTCTAACTCTTACTAATTACCCCGCGCGAGGTAGTTCTAGTAAAAGTGCTAAATGGCCTCTCTAAGCCTTTTTTTAAAAATTAAAAGTTCGTTTAACCCTTTTTAGCAGAAGAACATTAACACGTGCACCACACATTAACTCACTTCGTTAATTTTCGTCTATACCCTGTGACGTGGAAGAGTGAACACTGGAGACTGGAGACGAGTTAGTGATACCTGAAAGTGAGGCTTGCTCGTTGCTAAAACAAGAGTGAGCGCTTGATCTAAACTTAGGAAAGTTTGGATTTGATTGTGCTCGTCAACATTCACCATGGTAAGCTTTTTTGCGATTTTTTTTGCTCTCAAATATGTCAAATTAAGTTTCTATACATTTTTTTGCATCGATAGGCAGCATCAGATGAACGGTACGCATTTTTAGCCGAATGGTACGACCCGAGGGCCTCTCTGATTAGAAAATACCAACTTCTTTACTATCCAAGCGATTCATCTGTGGAAATGGTAAACATGTTACGCTGATGCCATTTACAATTTTACTTGTCACCGATACACGAGATGGGTTTCTTCTGCAAGAATGACACTTAATCGGTGTACATAATCCTTTTCTGAAGTTAATCAATATATGCATAGATTTTTCATTCGCATGTTGTATCAAAAACTGGGATTTCTCCTTAGTGTAAACTTTTTTACCACGGTTTCGTTTAGTTGAATGTTACAACCTAAATCATTCCTCACATTTTTCCCGCTGGTCTCAGCTTCAACGAGCATGTGAATCTTTTCATGGCCATATTTTGTCAGATGATAGTGCATCTATTTGTGGTATACCTCAGTACAGATGTTCTACTGTATGTTTCTGCTACTAACGAGTTTTGAATTGTACAATGTCTTTTCCGCAGTATGACATAAAAAATCGTCGCCTCTTCTTGAAACGATCCATGATAGATGGTCTTCAGGTTCAGCATCTGTTTATAGGAGCCATCGTCAACATTCATTCTCGACAGGTACTTGCAACATTCAGAAATAAAAACTGTACCTTCTAGTGATAAATAATGGTATAAGACTGATGGGATTCTGATTTGGTCTGTAACCTTCAGAGTAATAAACAAAATTGGATGACCATATAGCTAGGGTCTGATTTGTTAAGCATGAGTATGATTACTGACGGAATTGGACAACAAAAAGTCCTATTATCATAAAAAGACAAAAGTTAACTTTGCAAATTGCTTGACAACAGTTCAGACACATGATGCGTGCTTTCCTATTGTGCAGGCATGATGTGTTAACTGTCCTATTACACTCTCTGATTACAAGCATGAAGCACACACTGTTCTTTTAGTACTCAAATTGGGTTGGTGATAACCAAATTTTACTACAGTTTTGATTAATTACAAAACTGATAGTTAGTTTCAAACCTTGTGGTTATTTTTGCTTGTGTTTTTAAAAAGCTGTTTGCATGTATTTTTGTCTTCATTCAAGTCCAATGGCCCACTGTAGTAGTAGTAGTAACTTGGAGTATATAATGAATGAATGACTTGAACAGTTTTGAACTGCAAAATTCATACTATTTACTGTCAACTGGTGCCTTATTTTTTCCTCATCTCTCATTCCAGTTGTCAATAACAGACTATGCCGATGAACGCACATCCAACCTTTTGAGAAACAAGAATGAAAAGTAAGTAAATCCTTGGTCTCAAAATAATTTATTTCTTGGCTTCTTGTGACAACCCCAGTTAAAAGTTAATGGTTCATGTTTGAAACACAGATTTTTTGTAATAATGATATTATTAAAAATTTGAGTGGCTTAATTTATTTGTTTTTTGTAATTAGCTGTTGTTCCCTAATATTAGTAAAGTAACTCACAATAAATGCATGTTTTGCATATTACCTCCAGAACACTAGCTATGATAAAACCAGATGCTGTTTCGCAGATGGGTATGTCATGATTTTATTCTTTTAATCCATGTTGTTATAAGTATCTTTTAAGTTCTGAGAATATGTGGAGATTTTCATGGTGAGATTCCTGAGGCAAGATCTTAGGTGTTTTTAGGCTTCTTGACAATGTAATTCATCTTTTTATGATTTTAAGGTCTACTTAGGCTAAGCTTGCCTGAGATAAATGGGGAGCTAGGTTTAAAGAATTTTTTTCATGTCTTGTAAAAAGCATGGGTAAGGAAAAGATTCTGAGTCCCACACAGAATCATACCTCAGTCTTAGATTGCATGCTCCTGTGCATATCACTGAGCCACAGAGACTCTTTACAAATCTGAAAAGCCGTCACAAGGTCCATGTGCGACATCCATCTAGCACACTGCTGGGATCAGAATTTTCAAAAGCATCATGTGCATAAATAGAATAACAGAGATCATCATGGTAAATTTTTGGCTAGGTTATGAAATTGAGAGGAAAAGTTTTTTTCTCGTCACAAGGGCGGGAAAAAGAAGGTTTGATCTGACTACCGGTACATGTCATCCTTCCAGTATCACTGATTGAAACAGCCATGTGGTAATAACCCAGTTATACAATGGTGAGGTCTGCTATATTGTTCTCAATGAGGGACACATGTCAGTTTAAAGTAATCACTGGTTTGAAAAGCCTTTTATTAAAATTTTAAGGGAATATAATTGACATTATCCATGGAGAAGGCTTCCTCATTTGTCAAGCAAAGATGGTTAGGTTGACAAGGTGAATCTGGGACATTACTGTCTATCAATTATTATTATTATAGATAAATTTAATCAGATGTATAATAAGCTGAATTGTATGCTTTGATTGGTTCTTATAAATGATGTACAAGAGGACAGACTCACAGCTGAGATAATTAACAAAATTTTGTTTATTTATTTGTAAAACAAATAGATTCCCTGTTTTCATGGGTTCACTTATTGATCACATAACACGTCAAAATTTGGTAATTAAGGACATAAACTGCATCTTGTGTACACTTTCTTGTTCTTATCACATTTTGATGTCATCTGTGATCTATTACTGCATAGATGTACAGTACAACAACGTGCAGGAAACCTTTTGGTAAATCTGATGATAAACTTCAAGAAACACTTTTTGTTGAATAAAACTTTCATTCTAACATTGAATAATGAGCAGATTCAAATACTAATTTAAGTGATGGTCAGGAGACTCGGTATTAATGATATTTAGTGACTGACTGAAAAACAGTATAATATAAGTTCATCCTGACAGTTTTTATTTCCATACTCTGTAGGCATGAAGCATCACTGTTCTATTCAGAGCACAAAGGGAAACCCTTTTTCAAGTAAGTCTACTATATAATTAAGAAAAAGTATCAGCTAGGTGTTACATGTATTTTCCAGTTGATATTTATTATAACAGCAAGCTCTTGTGTAAAATTTATAATGAAAGCTGTAGCAACAGCAAGGAAAAATTGATTATTAGAATTAAAAAAATAGACTTATAGATGTGGGGTCAGTTTGACTGTTTAAAGACCGCAGCCATTGCCATCAATTTCAAAGCTGAGTCAGAGAAACAAAATGATCTAGTAATGAGTTTTAACAGAAGTAAATGTAATTAGAGCTTTTATTCTGTCAAGCTTTATTATGGAAAGGAGCCTATGGCAGCATCTAATTTTTCAGTCTGTAAATTATGTAATTTTCCTGCATTCTGGTATCTGATGGTTAATGGCTCTGGTTTTAGCTATTTAGTGGAATTCATGGAAAGTGGTCCTGTAGTTGCCATGGAGTTGAAAGGTGCTAATGCAATTACAAAGTGGCGGACACTTTTAGGACCAACAGACTCAGCAACTGCCAGAATCCAGGCTCCTCTGTCAATCAGAGCAAAATTTGGTACAGGTATGTATTCAGTCATGTGGTAAAGGTTCATAACATCATACAGAATAACCAAAATTACATTTAAAATTAGACAATTAGAGAAGGTAAAATAAAGGCAAATGTGAGTCTGGTAGGAACCAGGGAGGGTTGAGGGTTCTTTAGAAAATTTGGCATGGCTAAAATTCTTCCCAGGGTCAAAACCCTATTTCTTTTTTTAATGTACCAGTTTTGATGACAAAGATGACCTTGATATGCCTTCCCTAAAATTTACACTCCTATTTTACTGCAACAGTTGCCTTTTGTTGTTAGCTATACATCTTAGATCATTTTCAATAACTTGCCTATTCTTAACCACTATGTTGGGATTTGTTGCAGACACCACAAAAGATGCTGCACATGGTTCAGATTCACCACTAGCAGCTGAAAGAGTAAGAACATTTATTTGGTGGTAAATTAACATTTTAAGTAATTATGTACCATTGTCTTGCCAAATTAATAGTTATACAATTCTTTTTTAACTCCACATAGTCCACTGCCTTTAGTTAAGAAAATGAAAAACAGTTGTCGGTAGTGAGTTCAGGTATATAGTAACCAGTTCAACATCAAACATTGATCAGTATGCACATTCTCCTTGAACTTTTCTCTATACATTTCCCATAGTACTGACAAAGAGAATTTGTTTAACAATCAAGAGATCCTTGAGTGGATGGTCATTTCCTTTATTATAGCGTTAATGTTTGAGTCAGTATTGATAATGTACAGAGAAATTAGATGCTCATCATTCATAGGATTAATAGACTGAAAGATTGAAGAATGCTCTTTAAGTGAAACAATTGGCTCTAAATTTAAGGTAGAAGGAAGCACAAGAGTAACATTGTATCTATCTACCTTGTATTCTTTCAAAATATTTTGAGTAAAATTTCTTTCTTTTTGTTTTGACTTACAGGAAGCAAATTTTTTCTTTGGTGACAAAAGCTTCATTGGAAAAAACACTGCTTCTTTTTCAAACTGCACTCTCTGCATAATCAAACCTCATGCCATTATTCAAGGTATCATAAATCAATGCTAAGTACACAGTCATGTAATTTGATGAGGTTTTGTTATGTTGCAGTTAAACCTCTCACATGGCCCATGTTTATTTTGTAACTGCCTCTTGTAATGGTTTCAAAGGAGCCAGTTACTGCTGTCTTTAGTTGAGGATTTTATTTATATCATATTTGTGTGCCCTTTTTGCACTCAAAGCTGCTTCTTCCACTACTTGTAATTGTATCTTCATGTCCCTCCTGAGGAAGCTAAGCAAACAGCTCCAGAAGCAAGCATCATGATTTGCATTTTTTTTTTGGCCTTAATTTACACTCTAAGTTCAGTATGTATATTCTCTGTACTATTTGCTATTCATTTCCTAAGATGCTATCAAGGAGAATTTCTTCTTTAGGTATTGATCATTACCTTTATTCTCATGACCGTAATGTTTGATTCAGTGGTTATACTTTGAGGAGAAATTAGATGCTTGCCATTCTTACGGGTTACAGGGTTAACGGTTGTTATTATTTTGCATTCAGGTAACACTGGCAAAATCATATCTGCCATAACAAGCAAGGGGTTTGAGATCTCTGCCCTTCAGATGGTTAGTAATATGAACTACTATTAGTTACATGTAAATAAGAGCACTTTTCATGGGAGAATTGCAAAACCAAATTCACAGTAAGTCATCACAGCAGCTAGGTGGAAGAAAGGAGTATATCACATGTGGCTAATTAGAATTCAAGATTATATACTTTCAGGCAAACTGCCTGCTACACAGGAAAATACTTGTGACCAAGTGGTAATTGTTGTTATCATGGTTATAATTTGTATCTGATTGGTTGAAGAGGGTGGCGTAAATTTTTTTAGACCAATCACAAAGATTTTTGGAACAAACCAATGCAATCTTAGATGTATTGAAACTCAATTTAAGATTTCTCTCTTTGGAACTGAGAATGTTGATGGTCTCTGGTCATGTCTGTATGATAATGTATGAATATTAGTTTTCCTCTGATCCTCAGTTCCATCTTGAAAGAGCAAATGCTGAAGAATTTTATGAAGTTTACAAAGGTGTTGTAAATGAATACCAGGTGAGGTGCCGCACATGAACCACTTTTGAACTTTTAACCCTTTAACTCTCAAACCAAGTTTGTAATTCTCCTTACTGTCAACCATACAATTCTTACAATTTTGGTTCAGAGAATTTAGTATTGGATCAACTAATCATCCCCAAATTGATATTTTTCTTAATTCTTGTCCCTTATCTAGTTGATATTGTATTAATATTGTAAGGAGAAATTCTGTCTTGGTCACTCATGAGAATTAAAGGGTTAACCTTCAGAAGTGATCAACCTTTAACTCTTTACACCCTAAGGGTGATAAGCATCCAATTTCTCGTTGCTGTATCACCCCTGAATCACACATTAAGGTCACAAGGAAAATGATCACCAACAAATTCTCCCTGTCAGAACCATAGGAAATGTATAGAGAACACTCTGGAGAATGTACATACTGATGTTAGGGTGTAAAGGGTCAACTTCTACATATAAGATCCAATCCCATGCATAATATCCAGCAGGTAATGAGAATACTCGAACTGATCGTGTAGAAGTTGTTATCTTGCTTCAACACCAAATTGCCTTGACAAATTTACAAGGAGGTGTGTAACAGCTAGAGGGAAGAATTAACATTCTGATCTTAGTCGTTAAAGAGTAAAGCAAAAGAAATGAGATTTCATCCAAACATGAGTTCTTGAACCTCTCTGTTATTGTATTTTTCTTTGTTCTTCCTTTGATTGCTAAATTCATTTTGGATGAATACTCTTTCCGAATTCGAGGAATTGTCTTAAAAACACCACTCGTTAAGACACCGTTAAATTCAAATTCTTGATTTATTCGGTAGTTAAGTATTATCAACGGAATTGATAACGTAAATTGAGCAACGTAAAGAGTTTTAAGGTGGACGTTTCGAGCGTTAGCCCTTCGTCAGAGCGAATGAAACTTTGAAACTCTTTACAGTGGTCGATTTACGTTATCAACTCAGTTGATAATACTATATCACCTTGTCATACTCTCCCACCGACGCAGCACCACAGTTTCTTTGGAAACTAACCCCCTTGATTTATTTGGTTTGTTCCTCTCACAATTAGAGTATGGTCGAGGAGCTGTGTTGTGGACCGTGCCTTGCTATGGAGATCAGAGCTCCTAATGCACCAGTATCATTCAGAGAATTCGTCGGTCCTTCCGATCCAGTAAGCTTATTAACCAAATTTACCATGCGCTTCTTCGCCTTACTTAAAGTTCCTTTAAGGTCCATAATTTCCGGGACGTGAAAAGAAAAATTGTTTCAAAGAGACAAAACAGTAATCGTCACTATGTGGGCGCCTGTACTATTTCTAGCACTGCTAGACAAGAAGAAATTAGTTCTTTTTCACTTTGAAATAAGCTTTTGTCCGTGAAGTTTTATTTCCTAGAATTCGTGTCACTTAACACGAGACCGCTATGTTTGTTGTTGTAAATATTGCACGATTCAATATTAAATATTCAATATTGCGAGGGAAGAATTGTGCAAAAGTTATAAAACACTGACCTGAACCAAAACAAATCGTTTTTTTTGTTTTGTTTTGTTCTGTTTTTTTTCTTTTTTTCAGGAAATCGCTCGCCATCTACGCCCTGGAACATTGCGGGCAATGTTTGGCAAAGACAAGATAAAGAATGCTGTCCACTGCACTGATTTACCAGAAGATGGACTGATAGAGGTGAGCGTAATTGTTTTTCTTTGTCTCCTACTATTGACTTGCAACTCCTGTGAAGCCCTGACCGTCAAGTTTTCTTCTTTGATTTTCTCTAAGGAAGGCTTATAGGAAATTTTTTCCTTAAAGGTCTATTTCCACACTTCTCTGCTGCCGCCAGCTCAGTAGCCTTTTCTGTAGTTTGATTGTTCAAGAGGAATCACTTGACACAAAAGACTCAGATTGATTGGTTAGCACCGTATTGTAACAATTGTAGCAAGGATGCAAAGGGGTATTTTCCAATTCTTTGAAGTTTCAGCCGGTAATTTCGTTCCATTTTTTTTTATGATACAGGTGGAGTACTTCTTCAAAATATTGGATAACCAGCAGCGGTCTTGATTGGAAAATGTTCTCTTATGAAAATTCCACCATTGTACACACAGTTACACTATCCATGTCAGTTAACTTATCACCTACTTCCTTGTTTCATGTACAGATAGTTTACGTAAAATATTAGAGTGAACATGTACATAGTCAAATAATAAAATTTTCTTAATCAAACTAACTTTTTAGAGTACATTTTTGGGCAAATATTTCACGGTGGAAGTTATGCTGATTGAGATGAGACGAATGGAATGAGGTGGATTTTAAAGTTTGGTATCTGTGATGATATTAACATACGACGTTAATTTTTAATAAAGATTAAAAAAAAAAAAGAATACTTAAATATTTGCATTCTTCTTTAGTGCAAGCGAGGCGTCATACTTTAGGATCAATTCTGCTGCCCTCTTGAGATTGCTTCTCGTTCTTCCCCTCCCTAAAAGTTACTTCGTTCTCCTCCCCCTAAAAGTGACTTGACTAGCTCATCTACAAAGTAGCTGCAGAGTTCAGCTATCAATCAAAAACTTTTACTTCTCCGCGGTCTGTACACTATGCAACAAACGGCTTGTGTTAGGAGAGCAGGCAACATATATGCCCACATGCTTGAGGGTGTGCTCTGTTTTACCCTAAACTCCCTTAGCTGGTAGAGTGGGGGTCTCTTTTCCGTTTTTCAAGCGAGCACGTGTGGCGAAAATCGCAAGGGTTGGGGTGCGTTAAAAAGTAACGCCTATTCTGCGGGCAAAAATTTCATGACTTTTTCACTCCCTCAGAGTAGGCAGTGAAAAACTGGCGTGGAAATTAGTAAAACGATAGGTAAAGTTAAACCTCCACCAGTAGCCAGCCCCCCTGTGCAATGCTAACGGCCACTACAGCGCAGTTAAACTCCCGAAATAAAAACCTTGACAATGACCAACTTTCTCAGGAGTGACGAGCTTGTCCAAGCTGAAAAAAGGCCACTTTACCTATTGAAACGCGAAACTCTTTGCTCAAGCAGGTCGAGATTAAAAACTGAAAAGTTTTAGTCGCGTTTTAAAAGAGGCGTCTTTGTAACACCTTTGTATTTCACCGCGGGACATCTACGCATTTTGGCGCGAACAAAGATCACACCATCTTGCACGGATCTTGCATGTCTAGTCGTCTAGAGCCCCTAATCTGCAAGCCCCAGCAGGGCCGTCTTTGAACCCGATTAGAAGGTCCCTACGCAATCAATCACCAAAAATGGCAAACACACCTGAAACGCTCCAACTAAACGTAAAGGCTTTATGGTAGGGCAGAATCAGGAAAATAACGGACAGCTAGGAAAGTCCCAGTTAAATGACATGTAGTGGTTTCAAAACAGGAATTCACTAAGGTTGGTTTAAAGGCTAATTTTTTTAGTGATATTTCTGAGATTATCGGTTGAACTAAGTCTTGCAATCGCCCATATAGCCAGGAAGACGGGCTCGCCTGAAACCAGCTGAAAGTGAAATTAAGTCGAAACGACGTGCATTGAAATGATTTGCAGTATTTTTAGGAAAGGTTTCGGGATTAAGAAATGCCTTCATCTGACCACTGAAATTAGCAAGAGAGTGATCAAGAAAGCTACGAATGCTTATATAACACAGAGAGGATTCGAGATCAGTGTTGTGGAAACGCAACCCATGTAAACACATAGCTCATTCTTACTTAAAAAACGCAGCCTTCGCCGTTTACTAAACATTATTTTTCTATCAATTTATGACTTTAGGTTGTAGGAAAGAAAAAATTATTTCTTTATGACTTGTTTGTAATAATTGTACCGTTTTATTGCATAAGATTTGTTAGCTTAAATTTTATAGTTCTGTCTTGACATGAGTACCAGAAAACCACAACGTCGACACACGAATCGAAAATTATGGGTCGTATGACAACTAAAACGCTTAGACTATTTATAACAATTATCGAATCATTTGAAAGTATCGCTTTCATCTAGGTATCTGAGCGTTTGGTCCGTTAAGATGCACCTCCACACGCTCAAATACTCGTGATCTGCTCGTGTTTTTAAGATAAATCCTCAAAATGGCATGGCGTAACATGAAACTTTCTTGTACCTCTGCTGCGTGACATGGGATGTACTGACATCTCTTTGTTCAAAGGCCAGAGAATACACGATCAACTGGCCTTTTTGGCCTATTTGGCCTTTTTGGCTCAAAAAAAATAATAAGTCTGTACAAGGAGGAGAAATGATAATTTTGGGAAATGCATTGCAGGGTTGATAAAGTTCGCAACAAGAAGGAAATATCTCGAAGGAGCATCTCTTCTGACATAGCCCGATCGTTCCTTGTGTATTGCCAAATTAAATGTATATATATATCAGGAGATGGAAGAACTAATAGCAATACAAAACGATTAATTACATTACTAGTGTGTTGTAATGGAGACATTTCGCAGAAGGAAAGTAGGATTGAGGAGGAGTTAGGTTGACCAAAGTGAAATATCCACCAGGCATTTGAATTACCGTATTGGTTGTTGCCATGGTAAATTGGCAATGATTTTATGTGTTAAACGAAGTGGGTACTTCTTAGCCAAAGCTTGTTGACAAACACCAGGTTCTCTGGCTTTTTAGGAAGGGATACACCACAAGATCAAAACATTTGCTGAAAACCTAAGGGTGAAGACCAACCAGCATAATTCAGTGGTGAGCAGTACTGTGGAACTCTTTACAGGTCAGGTCAGGTTAGAAATCCTCTGTGATAAAGAGGATATGTCACACTGTTATCATTATGATCTGAAAATTGGAACATGGACTCTTTTAAGCATGTCTGCTTTCTCTTAGTCATCTGGCCCAAATGGCAACAAAATTTGATGTTAGTGTTATTTACTATTACTTTTACACATTTTTCAGTTACTACGATTCGTTATGTATAAATATAAAAGTATTTTTATGGTTCACTTTTCAGTAAAGTATTGATTATGTCAAGCGGCAGTTGGTGGATAATTAAAGGATTCATGTTCCTTTATGTGAGCCAGTTTGGGTTTTGTGACCAACCCAATCAAGTTTGTGTGGTGAGGATAAATTGTAGTGAACTTGATGTTTCTAAATGTCCTCGTAGTTGTAAATGTTGACCTTTGCAATGCTTTTTTTTCTTTTTTCTCAACTACTCTTTTAGATCAACTTCCCTGCATGTACTGTTTGTTTACATGACTATCTTTGTTGTGTTGATACATCTAATTCCATTTGGGAATTTCCCTTAGTTGTAATTCAAATTCCTGTTTATGAAAAGGGAAATATAGCCAGAAGTTTTTAAACAAAACTGTTCAAAGCATGTTAATGATATATACTACATTGTATATGGATATATTTGTTTACATCAAATATTGATCCTTTAGCCCCTAAGAATGACTAGCATCTAATTTCTCCTTACTCTGTTATCCCTAAATCAAATATGAAAGTTATGAGAATAGAGCATATGATCACCAACTGAAGCAGCTCTTGACTGTTACACAAATTCTCCTTGTCAGCTTTTTTGGAAATGCAAGGAGAACAGTATGGAAAATATGCATACTAATGTTAGGGGTAAATGGGTAAATGCTTATAGCCATATCACCTCTTTTAGTTATAATCAAAGTGTTTTTTTTTTAATATCAACGATGGAATTTGACAGTCAAAAGCAGTGCTGTCCTAGGTTACCTATGGCACTCATTTGAAAATCATTTCATCAACAATAAGGTTTTTGTTGATTTTTCGACATGCAGTTATGATCTTTGGAAGAAGCTCATATTTTTTTTGAACATGATATAAAATTGAGATACATACAACTATGCAGAGTGTGAGTTGAAAGGAGTCTAGATGTTTGTATTACTTCATAATCTGTTAGAAGAACTTCTACATGAAAGTAATTGTATTTATTTCAGGATTCATGTCCAGTTTTTTTAAATTTCTTGTGACACCCTAACAGGAAAGATTACTGTTGTGACAAACAAAATGTATCAGTAGAGCTGTAATCACCATTGTATCTTAAACCTAGTAAAATCTGAATTCCAAAGTTGAATTATTTGTGATTTTTGTATTATCGTTCAATTTTCTTGTAGATTGGAAATGGTACTAATAGGGAAGACTGTTATGATTATGCATGGGTTTCATTTGGTGATATGGTCTCTTCTCCACGCTTGGAGGTGAGCCCTCGTCTTTTTAAAACAGGAGCCTGGATTTTTGCCTACAGATATTGTCAGCTCTTAGAGGCAAAAACTGTGAGGTTTGATGAACAAATAATGGCTGAAGACAACCTTGGAGACAATTTTTGTGCTTATAATCCAATTAATTAGCCCTTTGGCCTCTAAAAGTGACACCAACCAATTTCTCCTTCCAATATCACCATTGAATCACACATCAAGGTCACAAGAATGAAAGAGATGATCAAAAGATGAAAGAAGCACTCGATTTTTAAACAAATTCTCTTTGTCAGCACCTTAGGAAAGATACAGATAATAGTGTAGAGAATATGCATAGTGATATTAGGGTGTAAATTGTCAAATGTTATATGAAATGTGTAGAGAAAGAGTTTTCAAAATAAGGAATTATTAGTTTTGGTTTTAGGAAACAAATGCCAATTAAGTAGTACCCCTCGCATGTACTGCAGCACCAAGACACATGTCAAGAACAATGCATTTAGTAAGTGGGAATCAATGATAGGACACCATCCTATGCAATAAAGCTATAAACACAATTTTTTTTGTGATTTTTAGGGTGTGGTATTCCTGGCTAATCCTAAAGATGCATGCACAGAAGTGATGCACAAAAGCAGCTACCCGAATATTTCATATGATGGAAACGTCTTTCTCCTCATTGATTTTGGACATTGTAAACCTTCCACCCAGGTATGCCAAGTCCATTTCATTTAATGCATTATTATCTACTGTAACAGAAATATACACCCTGCACTATCTGTGAGTCAAGATTTGGTCCTTGCCAAATGAGCAATTGAAAGATAATTTATTTTATTGTGTAGAAGGCGGCGGCAACGGAATAGTGATTGTACACATCAGATCTTCTTTCTTTTCTTTTCTTTTTGCACTTGCTCTGTCTTCAGTTGGTTGGAATTTGATAATTGAAAATTTAAAAAAGGTAACCAGCACTGATTCATTGAGGAGAACAGTGTTGGCAGGTGTGTGAAATGGAGGCTCAGATTGGTGTCTGGAATTTGGCAGCTGTGGCAGTTGGACATTTCATTTAATGCATTATTATCTACTGTAACAGAAATATACACCCTGCACTATCTCTGAGTCAAGATTTGGTCCTTGCCAAATGAGCAATTGAAAGATAATTTATTTTATTGTGTAGAAGGCGGCGGCAACGGAATAGTGATTGTACACATCAGATCTTCTTTCTTTTCTTTTCTTTTTGCACTTGCTCTGTCTTCAGTTGGTTGGAATTTGATAATTGAAAATTTAAAAAAGGTAACCAGCACTGATTCATTGAGGAGAACAGTGTTGGCAGGTGTGTGAAATGGAGGCTCAGATTGGTGTCTGGAATTTGGCAGCTGTGGCAGTTGGACACAGTGGAAGCCCCCAGACACCCTTGATGCTCACACTCCATTTAATGGAGGCAGTAGTTTAACACATTTTTTTGGTTTGATTCCAGGGCATAGAGGCTACCAGAGGTGGCTTTGATGCTGCTATCATACGAAGTCTCACAAGTGATGAAGTTGATCCTATTGAAGCAGGAGGTAAGGTTTAGTAGTTTGGTGGATTTGCTGTTCAAGTGCTGTTTTAATTGTCTTATGAGAACATAATTATTTAAATAACATAACCCTTTTGAAAAGGTGAAGTATAAATCTTTTGGGAAATCATGCTTTTCTCTGTGTCTTCATTTTCAACAAACAATGATTTATTTCTCTGTGCACACACATGTGTTGCATTTTCTCAGCTCACATTCCTATGATATAATCGTTATGTTTATTTTAGATATAGATGATGTGGATCTACCAGTTGTGTTTGTAGGGAAGGTAAGTATGGTAAAGGGAAGCAGTTGTGAATGTTTCTCACATCTGCTGAGTCACTTGTTGAAGCATTTACATAAAATGGTCAAACTTCCAGGCATTGAAAATAAAGAATTGGCTTATACTCACTGTTAAACAATGAACTTTTATCAGGAAACACAACAGTCTTAACCCTTCAACTGAAAAGTGATTCGCATGTAACTTCTCTCGTAATATCTATACATTATCCAGCAAACAGGTGATGAGACTACTCAAACTTAGTAGGTAACAGTTGTTGTCTTGATCTTACACCAAAATCTTGTAACTAATATGCAAGGAAATCGTTGGTAGCTAGAGAGTAGAATTAACAATCAGATCTTTGGATGTAGTGGTTAAATGTTTGAGGAAAAAATGAGTTGAGTATGATTGGCTTAGCAGTGGAAAAGCAGCCCACATTCTTTCTCAATTTTCTGTTTTGCTGGTTTTGACATTGATTTCTTAGGGTATGTTGCTCTGAGTTTTACTTTGAATTAGCTCATTGTGTGCATTGGACATATGTAATGCATCATCTCTGATTAATCAGCAGATAAATGTTTCATGTATTTGAAGAATGTGTCATTTTGATTTTCTGTCTACTATTTAGAGAACTGGTGAGATTTTAGAAAATAATGACTTCGAAAATTTGCCGTAAGTACTTTTCATGTGCGACTAGTTGTGTACAGAGGTGCAAAAATACATGTAGACTGTTGGGAGAAACATGGAACACTAGGAAAATAACCTTTTTAAATTTCCTTTAAGGGCAAAGCCGTCCCTCTTTGGTAAATCAGTTTTGTGGTTTGATGCATATCTCTTCCCTATTTTCTTCCTTCCTTCCCTCCTTCCTTTCTTCCTTCTGCCCTTCCCCACCCCTCCTTTACTCCTTTCCTTGTCTGTTCCTACCTTTCTTTCTTTCCTTCTTTCTTTCTTCTGGTTATTTTTTTTCTTTGACTTTTTTTCTTTAGTATTATTTTTCTTGCAAGAAGTTGTTCTGGTCTTGAATTGTTGGCATCCAAAAATGTACATTTTTAATGTTGTTCAGACTGGAAGTGTGCTTTTTCTTTGTACATGTCTAGGTAACTGTAAACATGGTTATAATAGCTTCAAGAATGTATCATAAAAACAAAACATAAATAGTTTGTGCAACCATTATTAAGCTATGAAGTGGTACAAAACACTCAATCTAAGCCCACTTTTTGTAATTTGAAAAGTGAAGCAATTAATTCTGATGACAAGTGGTTGACTTTTGGTTTGATTCTTTTCCACAGAAACAGTAGAGTGTATCTCACCCCTCAGGAGCTTCCTCCCCTTTGGAGTTATGAATTCTATATGATTCCTTTTGCAATCATTGTAGGAATCTGTTTTATTTTGATGGCAATGTTTATGGTGAGTGTGCCACCCAGACCCTATTCCATAGTGATAACAGTTTTTTTTATTTTTACCCTAATACCTTTATAATTATTTGTGTATGCTAATTTTCCCTCTTTACTTCCATCACTCCTTCTGAATTAAAAAAATGTTTTAAGCTTGGAGTGATGCAAAGAGGACAATTATAATGAAGACAAAAGAATAATATATTTTCCTTCAGTTTGGATAAGGTTGCATGAGATATTCCAAAAGAATTTTTGTTCATCTATTGGTTTTAGTGGTTGTATCTGAGGTAACAACAGTTTCACTGAGAAATCATTTTTGCAGTATTGTTATTTTTGAAATCACCTTACTTGAGAGTAAATTTCACACTTGGACATTTAGAACAAAGTAATCTTCTTTTTACCTCCCTGGCTCAAATTTGTTCCCTAATCATGTCTGTTTTATGTACCATATGATAGCACACTGACAAAGGACATAATGCATGTACGTCCCTCCCTTCTGAGCCAATATGTTTCAGAAACAGCCAAGAGTAGGAGCTGTTAATGCCAATCGTCAACTTTCCATTACTTAAACACTTTCACTCCTAATATCTCATTAAAAATTTTCTGTAAAGTCGGCCATACACTTCTCATAAAGTTTATTCTGAGAATTTGGTGTTGAATCTATTGATAATCCTTAAGTTAACATATTTTACCATTCACATCTCTTGTCTTCTTGATACTGTACTGGTACTGTAAGGAAAAATTATGTCTTGATCATTACAGGTAGTGGAAGGGTTAAATACCTTAACATAAACAATTTGATTGTAGTATCTGAACAGAGGGGCCAATTATCTTGATGATATAATATGTTGTAATATTACAAAAAAATCTGTGATTTTTGAACAGATCAGTCGCTACTACAGACATTACCTAGAACAAAGGCGCAACAGGTTATCTCCATCAACTTTGAAAAAGATACCGACGAAAAAATTTAAGAAAGGTAATTACAAATGTACAGTGCACAATAATTAGTTTATTTCAAGAAATGTGATGGCCTCATCTCTTTTTAATTGAATTCTAAAGAGAGGTGCTGTTTGCAGTGGATTACCATCTTATTTTATTGAGACAGTATGCTGGTAATAGTGGTTTACCATTGTAGGAATCAGATATGAGATCTGGTGGATTTGAGTTCCAGTCCTCTCCACGGCCACCAGCCACTTAATTTACATATTAAAGTACTTTGAGCTCATACCAAATTAAATTTATGCCATTTCTTTGCTAGTGCTCTGTTTCTTTGTCTTTTGGTTGTTCCACTCCTGCTACGTGGTCATGTGGTCACGTGGTCACTTAACCAGTCAAATATCTATTCACATGTTGTTTGTTTAAATGATTTAGGAGAAGATTATTATGATGTTTGTGCCATTTGTTTGGATGAGTACAAGGATGGTGATAGGTTGCGGATACTTCCTTGTGAGCATGGTATGCACTTTCAACCTCTATCACTGAACCCTTTAACTCCCAAGTTCTCATAAGTAATTCTCCTTAATGTGTGTCACACAGTTCTTAGGATGTTAGCTTGGAGAATTTGGTATTGGATCAACTAATAGTCATCTAATTGATATTGCTCATCAGTTAGCTGTATTGTTATTGTATGGAGAAATTTTGTTTGGTCATTCATGGGAGTCGAAGGGTTACAATGTAAGTGTATAAATGATGCTTGGGAGAGGGGGTATAGGGCACAAAAGTAGGAGGGAAGGTATTTGCTGAGGCTTTGACTGCAATTTGTGGACTTTTGTGATCCCTAATTTAAGAGGCACATGGCTAAATATAATGTATTTGGGTTTCACAACAAGGTGAAGATTAAAAACAAGTGAAGTTTTTAAGATTGCCTCAGTTCATTAAATGAAAACCATTACTCATTGCTTATGATTAATTTATATTATATTTACAGCATACATGTTATCTTGTAATTACAACAATTATTTTATTTTATTTCCTGGAAGCTTACCACTGTAAGTGTGTGGATCCCTGGCTCACAGAAGGGAAAAGAACTTGTCCTGTCTGTAAAAGACCAGTAGCAAACAACAGGGGGTTGGCAAGAAGCAGATCTGGGAGAACTGATTTGGAATCCGTGGGCGAAACAAGTTATGAGGCTGAGGCTGAGGCTGATGAAACAACTCCACTCATCTCAGGGACATCCCAACATAGAAATTCTGTTACAATGACGGTCTAGTCATAAACAGCTCATAGAGAAACCAGACTGAGTGTACATTTACTTTTTCTGAACTCTTTTTGAATAACCATCGATAAATCAACATACAGGATCTTCATGTTGAATCCTGCTTGTGAGGTGATTGTGAGCTGAAAGTTTCAAACAATGAAATTGCAAGGCAAGACTGATCTACAAAATCTTACTTTCTTCTATAAGCAATCTTAGTTGGTTGGTACATGAAGTTGTATGTGGTTGTTTGATTCAGATGTCTATCCACTGGCATGCAACATGTTATTTCTTATTTTAACCCTTTAACTCCTGAGATCCAATTGTTAATGCTCCCTTCTAGCAAATGAAATTTTTCTGGAAAATTAGTTATGGGAATTTGGTATCAGATTAAGATAACAGCTTCCTGATAGGTTTGAGTGTTCTCATCACCCATTCTCTGCATAATGTATGGTATTGAAGGGAGAAAATACATGTAAAGTTAGGACTTGCTCTTAGTATCTCTGAATGTAAATAAGACCTCAGCAAAACTCAAACTAGTTTTCCCACTCAGAGCTGTTACCTTGTTATGTTAGTTTTTGTGGTTGTGAATTTAACTAAGCTTTTTAAAAAAGGGGGTTACATATGTTCCTGTTTTAATGTAATCTTATGTGCAAACATTTTCAATAGTTTTTTTTCCACTGGTAGACTGATACTAATCAGTAGGAGCTTGTTTATCTAAATAACTTTTTGCTTAGAACTGCACTGACGCCGGGAATAGAATAAGTCACAACTGGCTTTGGTATTCTATTCTCCTGCTCGAGAATGACTAAGAAATCAAATATTTGAAATATGTACTTACATTTTATTATATTCAAAAAAAGAGGATAGAGCAGAATTGGTTTAATGAACTGCTTAATTTTGAGAAATTAAACTTGACATAGGGCAACCAATGTTTGATTTCTTGTTTCACTTTAACCAAAGAATATGACAGTACTTGTGCATTAATCTGTTATGGTTTGATAGCAGCTTTTTCTTTCCTGCAAGACAATTTCAAACACAGAAGGAATTGTTCTCGGACTGTTGTAGGAGTGAGGATATAGATTTATATGAGATATTTCAACTTGTATTGACACCTGTCAATTTGTGTATGTGCATATTTGTAGATAAGCTAAGAAGATTTAAGCATTTAATCAATGGACTTTATGTAATCATTCATTTTAAAGTTGCCTGAAGATAACACAAAACATTGCATTGAACTCCTCAATTGAATTTGCTTCCCATGAACTGAAGTCTTTAAGTTTTTGTATATAATTAAGAGGAATTTATTACCTTGAAAATTTTAATTTAACACTTGTACTTGTACCGAATTATGTTTAGAGTAGTTCCTTGTTATAAATGCCTTTTCTTTTTTTTTTTTTTTATTACAAGTGCATATTCACAGTGGTAAATGATTGAAACAAAAGAACCATCCATTCATGTTTAGTCATCTTTGAACACTACTCCTGGTTCTGTTTTGATTACAAGTGCATATTCACAGTGGTGAATGATTGAAATAAAAGAACCATCCATTCATGTTTAGTCATCTTTGAACACTACTCCTGCTTCTGTTTTGATTACAAGTGCGTATTCACAGTGGTGAATGATTGAAATAAAAGAACCATCCATTCATGTTTAGTCATCTTTGAACACTACTCCTGCTTCTGTTTTGATTACAAGTGCATATTCACAGTGGTGAATGATTGAAATAAAAGAACCATCCATTCATGTTTAGTCATCTTTGAACACTACTGCTTCTGTTTTGATTACAAGTGCATATTCACAGTGGTGAATGATTGAAATAAAAGAACCATCCATTCATGTTTAGTCATCTTTGAACACTACTCCTGCTTCTGTTTTGATTACAAGTGCATATTGACAGTGGTGAATGATTGAAATAAGAGAACCATCCATTCATGTTTAGTCATCTACTAATACTATTCTTGGTTTTCTATGCAACTGCCTTTTTAATGGAATTACAGTTCATGTCTCATTTGAGGATTCCGAACTTTATGTATGTGCATGGGTCAAAAATGTTTTCTTGTGAAAAATACTGATCTTACTATATCCCCTGTCCAAAGTTATAACATTAGGATCTGCTAACTGTCAATGAAACTTGGAGAAATTGGCACAGGAAGTTAAAATTTGCTAAAGAACCAGCAAGGTAATCTGCACTAGATGTTTTGCTTAACATGGTCCATTTCCAAGGAGTTGCACCAAATATTCACCATACCTGACATCAAAATTCTACTGTCCTGGATGCCTTTATTGCTACCATGAAAAGGAATTTAGTATTCATCAACCTTAGGCTGTTGTGACTTTAATCCAGGCTAACAAACCCATGTCTCTTGGGTGTGGTCAAAGACCCTCAGATTCTGACATGTTAAAGAGCTTTCCAATCTTTTGGTAAGCATATTGAGGAAGCGTTATAAGCAAGGTGTTTTGTCTTCAGGCACAACACATCAGTCTTAGGTAACTTTGGAACAGCAAACAGAGCTGGCTAAACTAATGGTTGGGCTAGGAGGGAGTCAAGGAAGCTGGCTCACCTGTGATTCAAAAAGAAAGTCTTATGAAGTTTCTACTCTGTCAAGACCATGAATTCCAAAACTTTCTTGACTAATGAGATTTCCATAACCTATGACTGAAAAGTTGTTTTCAAATTGAAGTGATAATGATTTTAAGATTACAGCATTTTTTTTCTCTTTCGTTCTTGAAAGAGTATGACCTTTATTCACCTTCTCTGACTTCCTGTAACTCGTTTCCAAATTTCAAGACTTTCCAGGCCCAATTAGCACTTTGCAGAATTCCATGAATTGAAGGGTTTTCCACGATCTGTGTGAATCTTTCCCCATGAGAAAAATGGATGCTCTGGGAAACGCACAACCCCAGTTTGAACCCGTTCTGGGTATGGTTTGATTGAAGAACTTTTGATTCGGGTAAGTTGAAACGAATCGTTATCAACATTGCACTTGAGACTAAAGATGGGAAATTTAAAAATCCGCTGGTAAACTTCGTTATAGACGAAATTGAGTCACAGAAATTGACTCTCCCGTGAAATATTACTAGGCAAAACAAGTAGGGATTCATACATCAGAAAGCTTTACTTCTTTCAAAGCTTTAGCCAACAGTTAGCACAATCTATCCGTTAAACAAATGAAAACGTCTTAAACGGAACATGAAAACTTACAGTGCTTCTAGAGAAAATTGTTCTAAACATCTTGCTTAAAGGTGTGTAAATCTCTGAGCTAAGGTCATAGGAACACACAAACCATTACCAAATACCACTATATGTGTTCTTTGCCTTAGATTGTGTTTTAAGGTTCTACTCAAACATTAAAATCCTGAAGCAATGAGATGTTCTGCTACGGTTTCCACACACTGATTGCAATTTCCAGCACCGCCAGCACTTTCATCGTAGCCACCAAGAATGAGAGCCTTGTTGGTCAAACACGCGCAAAAGCCTCCTTTGTCTTTCATTTTCAAGTACGCCGCTTTCTTGTCCTTGTCGTTCCGCAGCATCATGTATTTCGTTCCAGCAATGTTCTTGCCTGAGACGCTACCATCCTTAAGGCTCTTTATCATCTCTTGCGCTTCTGGCTGAGATACCTATCAAACATATTTTCACATCTGTAAGAAAACTGTTAAGTTATCACTGAAGCTTGAGATTTTGAATCTATTCCTGCTCTTTTTATTTCACCAGATTTCTTACCGAGAATCCAGGGCTGCTGGCCCAAGGCGAACCGTCTAAGCCAAATATGGCTGCCTTCTGAACTTTTCCTGTACCCACGAGGCTGTTGTCCACGTAACTTTGCCAGGACATGTTTCATCCAATAATCAGGGAAAAAATCGGTGTACACTTTCAACAGTCAATCGTTACGAAAGCTCTGCAATCCAAAATGGAGAATTCAAATTTGTAGAAAGCTGACGTTCACATGCTAGTGACGTAAGAACCTCGCATTCATGTGATGGGAAAGAAATGGAAAAATCTGATTAATCGAGAGCATTCTATGAATATTTATAATAAAGCTCGGATATAACACGTACTGTCATTGGTTGAAAGAGTGTGCTCTATGAGAGTATAGAGCATAGAACTGAGCTAAAGCTGTCAGGCCGTCTGCCAACTCGTAATATGTCCGACCTTTTCCGGGACTTCTTTCTAGCTTTTCTTTCGTTAATAAAAGTGAAATTTCGGAACAAGCGAGCAAAGGTTTGCAAAAATGCCAGGCGCAGTAATTTACGTTACTGTAACGTGAGCAGAGACAAAAATCCTCAAAGATAAAACAAGATAGACAGTCCGAGTTTTTTTTTTTTTTCCACGCTCAGTTAGATTTCGAGTTTACGTACGGTAATAAAAATCAAACACAGCTAACACTTGTATAGTGTATAAAGTTTCGATTTCAAATAGAAAAAACAGGAATTATGAAAAATATAACCTGGCATAACTGTTAAAATTCATACTAATCATGACGGTTTCAGAGCGACTTAAGGTCTATCGCGGCTAGCTAATCATAGCGATCTTCGGTCATCGCAGTGGAGCAAGCCTCAGGAACTAAATCGACTACCCTTCGAGTGAAAAAATAAGATTTTGCCCTGATTACTTTTCCGATGCGTTGAGTGGAAGGCCACATCAGTCGCTGCAACTGAGTTTTACGGCGCTGTCATTCCGAGCGATCTTTTTGTCTTAGTGAATTCGGCTGTTGTTCATTCATAATACACTCGCCTTGAACATTTTGTTTTCTACTTGTCATGTGAAATAACTTGCGTATTTTTGTGAGCTACGATTGGGCCGAATTTCACTGAACATTTCACTTTCAGATCCTGTATTAGAAACTAAAAAACTTCAGGCAAAAGTGAAATTCGACATGCCGAGCTATTTTAGTTTGTAAACTATTGCAGAATATGAACTTTGATGGTTTTTGAACTGTGATGGTTTGACATTTTTGACAGCTTTAGTCTTGTACAGCCAATCAGATTATTTGAACCATTCTAACAGGAATTCTGATTGGCTTATTGTAGCGTGCTTTATGAGAGTTTACAATAAAGTTCGGATATAACGCGCGCTGTCATTGGTTGAAAGAGCATGCTCTATGAGGGTATAGAGCATAGAACTGAGCTAAAGCTGTCACGCCATCTGCCAAATTGTACTATGTTCGACCTTTCTGGGACTTCTTTTTAGCTTTTTTCCGATAATTGAAAGTAAAATTTCGGAACAAGCGAGCCGGCAAGTAGCAACAGAAGAACCAAACAAAGGCGAGTTTTGCGGCGCTGTCATCCCGAGCGATCTTCATGTTCCGGTGAATTCGGCTGTAGTTCATTTAAAAAACACTCGCCTTGAACAGTTTGTTTTCTACCTTATCATGTGAAAAAACTCGCGTGTTTTTTATGAGCCATAATTCGGCTGAAGTTCACGCAGGAAGCGGCTAGAGCACTCAAGAAGTAGGGAGAAATACTCGACTACGTCTCGTGTTTCCCCTACACTTCTTTGGTGCTCTAGCCGCTTCCTGCGTGCTTTACAACAGAACAGAGCACAGTCAAGGCTTCTCTATTTGTTAAACAGTAGCGTGTGAAGTTAACATGGTAAATACGATATCTTCGGCGTTTTATGCATTTTTATGCATTTATCATGTCGAGTTCAAAGTTAGCCTAGTTCCCAAGCCACTCGTCCGTGTGGTCCAATGTGTTTTGCACTCTTCAGATACGAAGTTAACTCGAGTTAAGGCGGGAATCCTCGTTCCCCTTTATTAGGTAAGTCGATCATTGCTAGAAGACGCCGAGAGACGGGGCACGAGAGGAAGGAAAACAATCTTTCTCAGCTGCCGTTGTTTATTGTCAGAAACGTTTTCCTTACCAAAATACAAGGGAAAATCTCGTGACTCAGGAATAACGCCTTAAAGAATTGTAAGTAGCTTTCCCTTTTTTGACAATTTTTTTTTTGACAGTTGACTGCTGTAATTGTTATTTTATCCCGATGTTTGGTTGGAATAAGGTAGTCCAAAGAGTTGTTAGATTCCGGGTCCAATATTCTCTGGTGATCTCTGCAACCCTCATTTGCAAATTAAGACGTACAAATTACGATGTACGTGGACTTTACCACAGTAGAGCTCTCGCTGCTTTAAACAGTTTTCTCTCCGTCCCTGTATCTGTGGGAAATTTCATCATCCTGGTCTTGCTTCCCAAGGAGTCTTCCCTTCATCCGCCATTTAAGTTGCTGTAACGTTGCCTTGCAGTCACTGATTAAACACAAACACAACTCATGCACAATTCCTACATTGCCTCTAAGGAGGGGCCAACGTTGGAAAATCATTACGGTGGCCAATTTACTTTATCAACCCAGTTGATAATACTAAATTACCCAATCAGATGCAAGACTAGAAACAGTCGCGACTAAGCCATTTGCGTTTTCACCTATGTTCTGATTGGTCGCTGAGATAACTACTCTAATTACCAATCCTATTATGCACCGAACAATTTGAAGTTTCAATATACCCCCCCCCCCGGCATTTGATCGTCGTCCGTGCGTACGTGGGTACTTGTCACTAGTGATTAGGCTTTGCCCCGTTACATGACATTTCCCAGTAGACAACCAAAAAAGTTTACGATATATATAATCCTACCCCATCAATTTAGAAAAATTACATGGAGAAAAATGCCACTTTTATTCAATTTTCCACGAAATTCTCGGCATGTTCTGAAACCCGAAACTGCAAAACGAAACGAAACAAGCGAAAATTATGCCTAGAAGTTTCAGCCGTCATATTCGTCTCGTTGCTATTATAGTCTACTCCTGATCTACCTCGCGGGGAATTTCAGTTATCTCTCGATTGCCATTGCCAAACAAAAAAAACAATAATACTTGCATGGGTAGTCTACTGTGTTTTTTTTTATTTTCCATGTCTGTGGCAATCCTCCTCTTACCGAAAGAAGAAATACTGATTATATTCTAATACGCTTAAGGAAAGTGCAAATCTCCGGACTAAGGAGTTCGGGATAGAGATACTATCTCAAAATAGTGCTATTAGTGTTCCACGCCTTAGATTGTGTTTTAAGGTATTCAAACATTTAATATCCTGACTCTTTTAGATATTGTGCTAAGCCTTCCACAACTGTGTTGCAATTTCCAGCACCACCAGCACTCTCATCATAGCCACCAATAACTAAGGACTGTTTGGTCAAACAAGTGGTAAAGCCTCCTACGTTTTCCTCTTTCAAGTAAGCTGTTTTATTTGCCGCGTCGTTGCGCAGCATCATGTATTTCGTTCCAGCAACGAACTTGCCCGCGACACTACCATCGTTTAGGCTCTTTATCTCTTGCGCTTCCGCCTGAGATACCTACCAAAGATATTTTCACATTTGTTAGATAATCGATGAACAATCAATTAAGCTTGACGTTTTCAGTCAGTTTCTGTTTCATAGCTCCTCTAAGGCTCTTTTGTTATAACCACTTACCGAGAATCCCTCGCTGGTAGCCCAGCACGAACCGTCGTGGCCAAATATGGCTGCTCTCTGAACTTTTCCTGTACCGATTAGGTTGGTGTCCACGTAAGCTTGCCAAGACATATCTTATCCTGTAACACAAGGAGAATCTTTGGGCGTCTTCAAGAGTAAGTCTTTCCGAAACGCTACGTTAAGCAAAATGAGAATTTCATAATTGCAAAACGGCGCTAAAGCCTACATGGCCGATGACGTAACAACCTCGATGTAGTGGGAATGAAACGTCGAATCGGTGTGCACCAATCAATCGTTCTATTTTGGCTTAAGAGGGGTGGATTAGCAATATTTTGAAATCAATATATAATGAATTGTATTATGAAAGGTTATGCTTTCTTGATCACCGTGTCAGTCGTCTTTTTTTCCTCTACCTACGTCGGCTGCTTTCCTGTCAGATTTCTCAAGGGTACGTTGAAATTGCTGGAGAGCAAAGTTGGGGCCTTTCTTGACGATGCTTGTCTGAGAAATCCGTGGACTGCAGCCTCTACCCTCCTTCTCATCCTCCAGTCAGCCAAAGGGTGCAGTTAAGATCTTCACAGTTTATAACCTATAACGATAAATAACTCCATATCAAAAATACGGCTCTCAAGGGACTCGCATCAGACCATGGGAATGAACCACAAGAAGACTAGGTGACCGATTCCGAGGACACCTTCGCGACGTAGAAAGAAATGACAAGAACGCATCCAAACCAGTCGCTAGACTCTTTAATCTCCCTAATCATTCTGTGCAGCATATGGTAGTTTGCGGCCTTTCCCTACATCTAGGCAGTTCGGAAAGCTGCAAAACTCTAAAACAAAACTTTATCTTTCAAATTAATACTCTAAATCCCTACGGTATCAACGAGCGCTTTTCATTCAACTAATTTATTTTTGTTTTCTGGTCGCCATACTCCCACCAATAGCGTAGCTCCGTTTTCTGCATATAAACACACACACAACCCACAATTCTTCTATTTGCTCTAACGAAGGGCTAACGCTCGAAACGTCAGCTTTTTAACTCTTTACGGTGGCCAATTTAAGTTATTAACTCAGTTTATAAAACTAAATTATTCGTATTTTGTACTCTGATAGAGCGCGCTCTTTCAACCAGTGATAGTGCGCGCTATGTCCAAACTTTATGATAATCGAAGACAAGCTGTAGAAGCATGATATCATATCTCAAACTTGAAAATGAGGAGAGACTTAAAATGTGTCGATGAAGATATTTGTAGAAGCCTAGAAAAAAAGCCTGGAATTCATTTGTAAATTAGAGAAATTCATTCCAAAAATCAGGCAAGTTTTCTCTTAAGTTTAAAGTTGAGTTCATGTTGTTATCGGTAACATAAAGTGGTACTCAGATACGTTTTTTAAACATAGTATTCTCTCATGTTCGCAAATCGATGAATTTCCTGGAAGGTGGACTTGTGGCAACATTTTAACATGAAACATAACAATAAATTTATCGATCTGAAAAGAGTATTCATTTGACTATCTACTGAGACTTTCACCGATTCACATCAAAGGGAATGCGAAGGGAAAATTAACTCAGTTGGTAATACCAAATAAAGTTACCTGATTTCATTTCTACTTTCCTTGTGATCGCTGTTGTCCTCATCCTGGTTATAATTGATATATCTTCAGTAATTAGTCCGGAAAAAGCTCTTTGGTCCTGCACTCGTACGGCTTTGTTGCTAAAAGAAGAAAAACGTGAAGGATAACAGACGTAAGAAAACTGAAAAGTCACGTTTTTCGACGAATAGTGAGTTTCGTGGTTTGACTCGGAAAAATAAAAGGAAAAGTTTTCTTTTCTTGTGGAATCTTTTTTTGTGTTTGGCCTGCGCTGCTCTATAGTGTCGTATTAAATATTTGGCTCTCGTTCATCATGATGATGCACATACCTCGCAGCGCTCAGTCCGTACGTCATGACCCTCAGCCAAATGCTCCCTCGTCCAGCCCTCCTACTCAGTCAACCAGACCATGTTATTAGAGACTAATTTCTCGAAAATAATTCAAATTTAGCTAAAAAGACGTTACCCTTATGATTTGCACGATATGCATAGGAAAAGAACGAATTTAATTGCATAGCTCTAAAAGCTCCGAAACCGGTTGGATCATCAAGGTGACTGAGACTAAATGTTGTCAAAAACGCAAAGCAATGACGAGTACTTCCTCGAAACGTAAGCGGAGCCTCCAGAATACCGGACTGTGAGAGGTTCGGGAAACTGTAATGACTATAATTGGGGAGAGACGTGCGACGAGTGTCATGATTACAAATGCAAATGAAAATTTACACAACCATCTAAGTATACACATATAGCGCGCTCTATAAGTCAGCCTACCTGGCAGCCTTTGGTAAACTACTATATGACCCTTACGGATGTTTTACATTCACTCTTTACATTATCTCTAATGACAGCAACCGCAGTAAGTGTCGGCTGACCTCTCGTTCTGTCGCTGGGCCCTGAGGTACAAACAAGTTGTGACGATGAGGCGAGTTGGTACAGTTTTGAGCTGCTGTTGGTTATTGAGTGGAGGTAACGCCTGTGGGGATTCGTCTTTGGAGTCGTAATGACAATGGTAACCGCTCTCTACTTGATAATTCAATTCTGCTTATACTTACACGAGAATCTGTTTCGCCTCAGCCATTATCAAGCTGTTAGACAAAGCCACCCTAATCCAGAAGAGCCAAACGCAAGAGGTGTTTCTAAACATAGCAAAATACTAAAAAACTATATTTGCAGCACTGAATAACAAAACCTTGTAAAATTTACTATTTTGAGACTGCGAGAAAGACGAACCCCTCTAGCAATAAAGAGCACATGCTGTGCGAGGGCGTAATATATTTTCTCCTGATGTATATGACTTGCAAGGCCACGTTATATCTTCGGCAGCGCCGAACTTTTTCCTGTTCATCCCTACTTCGTTAGGAAAGGTCCTGGTCCTCATCGCTCCTCACAAGGAGTCTTCCCTTCATCCGCCATCATGCTCATTACTTAGCTTATGTTTACCACCATGTTAACTTCCCACATAAACGAGCAGCTGCAAATGTTAACCAAAATTCAAAGATCAGAACGCCTCACAGCTTAAGTTTTCAGTGGGGTGTCCTTAATGACAGTTACCGCAATTAGCGTGGGCAGACTTCTCGCTTGGCCTGCGACACAGGCCGTAACACTGAGGCGAGTCAGTAAAGTTTCACGCAGTTTTTGGTTCCTATGGGTGGCTTTATCTCTTATGGATAACATTCGGACAGAAAAAAATTTCATAGTGGTTTCAAAAGGTGTACCTCTAAATGTCATAATCTGTTGAACAATATGGGCTTGTTGCTACATAAAGATCTTTCTAAACCTTTGCAGTCATCAAGTTCACATAGAAGGTAATCTTCAAGAGTAGCGAACGAAGTTGGAACTCTACTTAACATAGCAAAGTACTTTAGAACTGCATGTGCAGCACCGTCAGTCTACATATTATGGTCGTCTGTTATCTTCCACAAGCTTTAGTGAGACCTTTAGTATTTCTTTTCTCCCTCAGTGACGTATCAGGTAAGGTTGCTTTAAGATGCAACGCATCCCTTGCGTTCCTAAATTCAAGTCTAAACCCGTTCCTCTAGATTTACTACTGAAAGATGAAATGAGACAGACAATAGAGGAGTCCGTTACTGTTATTCTAGTAGTTAAGTCGTATATTCAAAAGTAGTACTAACTAAAGCTGTGTAAAACTGTGAATTTATCGATAATTTGCGTCATTAGACACTTTACAATGAAGTCAAGGTAATTGATTTAAAATATTTTAACCTTTTTCACCAATTGTGGTCATTGTAATTCGAACTTAGTTCATTGTTTCCTTGTAAGAGTTTGACTATCTTAGCAAAGTGATCCACAATTCGCAGTGTACATAATTTGTACACAGTTGTGACACAATATCAAAACAACAAGGCCTTGAGAATCCTTCATCAATGTGGATCAGAATCGAGAGTCATTTGTCAAACGCTTTCTAGAAGGCAAAGCAACATTTTAGGCGAGAAAGCGAGTCAACTGCACGTGCGCTCAAGAGGCGCTGATTATAAGGCTGTCTGAAATATAATGGGAGATATTCGCAAAGTGAATCTATGGATGCAATCATTCACTCTGACGAGCAGAAATCGCTCAAAACTTTAGCTTTAGAAACTCTTTTCCAACTCTTGGCCAGTTTTAATTATCAAGTCACTTGATAAAATTAAATAAACCCCCCCACCGACACAGCACCACAGAAACTTTCCCTCTTTCTTCTATTGGATACGATGTCGTTGAAGTCCGCTGCAATTAAAACATCTGAAAACACACCTTTATTTTCATTCGGTTGGCCGTATTGCCTAGACTAAACTGGACAAATTATCCACTGAAAACGGCACGTTCTGAAATTACGAAAGTCCCTGCTCTTTGTAATGATTCCCGGGAGAATTAGATGATCGTTGTGGGCATGCTCGAAGGTACATTCAAGCGTTCGAGCCGCCGGTGGGCTCACTGAAGAGTTGACAATAACGTTTTAAAAATCCGTTTTCCTGTGAAAACGGAAAACTTGTGTTGCGTTTTTAAAATATAAACACTGCGTAGACGAGGCCTGCAACGGAAAACAACTGCCCATACTTCAGATGTCTCTTGAGCTTTTTTCAGATCCCGTTGCATCTACGCTGTTGGGGCCCTCACCTCTTGTCGCTTGCACGTGAGTCTAAATGGCTAAATTTGTTTACGAACTTGTTCCTTCCTTTCCATTATCATCGCTGTTCTTGTTGCTGTAATGTCTGTACTCAGGCTTTAACTCCCACATATTTTTGTGAGGATTTTTCGTGTTATAATGTCCAATCTCTTTCAATATACTCTTTAGATATGCCTACAAGAACAAGGAGATCGGTTCTTGTCAGATCAATAACAAGGAACAATTTTTAACGGGGTTAAAAGTCATCTCCAAAATAGTTGCACTTGTGATTAAGTAAGGGGTAGACATTCTTCAGACATGAAAATCAACGTTACTTGTGTTACTGATGGTAAAAACCATCCAACCATAACAAAAAGCAGAACAAAAAAAGTGAACGTCATTAACGAAATTGTAATAATAACAATGATAATAATAATAATAATGATGAATCAATTTCATTATTTGAGAGAGTGTCCACCTACCCCCCCCCCCCCTTAAACCAACATTAACTTCTGTCTGTTAACAGTTGACTGTTGTTGGGTTAGGGGAGGGGGAGGGGTGGGTGGAGTTACTCAGATACTGACATTGATTGATAATAATAAAAATACTTCGAATAAAAACAAAGTAATGAAGACATATCATTGATTCCAGGGTCTAGTTATTTGAAGGCTGATTAGCATTAACCTAGGGTCAGATTTTAATCTGGGTTTCTCTATTCCTTTGCTCAAAAGCCTTTGTGGGATAATTTTCTCCATTCAGTTTTGAGCATCCAATAATCACATTCCAGAGAAAAGAGGAATTATGCTGAATTTTTTTCTTAAAGCTTTCAGATATGAAATTAGATTTCAAACCAATCCTTGGGTCATTCTAACCAAGCTTTGAACAACCAATCCCTGACACCTAAATCAGGAATTCAAAAACATAATAATGACGCAAATGACCTCCCTTCCCACCCTTCCCACCCTTCCCACCCTTCCCACCCTTCCCACCCTTCCCACCCCCCTTTCCAATTTCCCTCAGAGCCTTGGTGGGAAACTGTTTTGCATGTTTCATACCATAATAATTCCTCAATGACCAAAATGTCTTGAACCCTTTCACTCCCCAGATTAAAATATCAATTCTCTACACTATTCTCCATGCATTTCTCATCACTTTTGTTTTGAGACTTTTACTTGAAAATGTGTGAGTATTGTGAGGAGAAATTTATTTTTAGTCACTCACCACTGGTTGTTTTGTGATAGTTATGAGGTCCTTCAAGTTATAGTATTGATGTCTTTCAAATGCATTGAAAAGCAACGCTTTGACAACATCCTCATCTTCTCGAGCTCTCTTTCCTTCTTCTTTCTTTTTCTTTTCGTGTTCAATCTGTGAGGAAAGGGAACGTTACAACTTTGAATAGGCAGACTGGAGAACATTGAATTGAATAGTTCTTCCAAAAAGAAGTGAGTCTGAGAAAATTGTGTAAAAAATTTGATCAGTGGAAAAAAAAAAAGTGATTTGAGACTTGTTTCCAAGTTGCAAGGATAACCTGAGATACAACTCTTACTCTTTCACTCTAGTATATCATGAGCATGTATAGTATTGCAAAGTGTACGCATACCATTGTGATTAAAAAGAAATTTTGAAAAAATTAGAGTACTCACATTAGCCTTGTGGTCAGACACTGGACGATATTTAATAACACGGTCAACCTGTATGGCTTGCCGTCCTGATTTACTTTTATTAACAATTGTCCTCCTGGTAAATAAGTAAAAAAAATAGCACAACAATGTTGCAATCATGACACATGATGACTATACAGGACACTTTTGTTACAATAACATGTGGGTAACCTTTTCCTCTAGTAGGAGTTCTTAGTGATTGAGTGTTACAATTTGAAACTATTAAGTTACTACTTGCAGTGGCCAATCAGAATAAAGGGAAAATCATGAGGAGCCAATAATAACTCTGTCCACAAAGTTATGGACCACAAATGTTGGAATTAAACTGTTTAACCACACACATCTATGCATGTGGAAAAAGTGCTTACTTTTTCAAACTCAGGTAGTCAGCACTAGGCTGAATTGGCCGACAGTCAGCTTTCTGTACAAGTACTCCTTCAATAGTGACCTGACCTGCAGAAAAATAAGTGCTATGTGATAATCAATAGCTAAGATGCTGGCTGTTGAAAGTTAATCAAATACAAACTTGGAATTTTTACAGAAAGATAGTTTTTCCTTGACTGTCCCAATGATAAGACAAAAGAGAGTGTGGAATCCCAAGGTTGTGATGACAGACCAGATCTTTTTCTTGTTTAACTTTCAAGAGACTGTTTTAAAGACTTTTTTTATGTCTCTTAACCCTTTAGCTCCCAAGATCTGATTGTTAATTCTCCCCCTGTAGCTGCTACACATTTCCTTGTAAATTAGTTATGAGAACTTGGTGCTAGATCAAGATAGCAGCTTCTACCTGATTTAAGTTTTAATATTCTGATCACCTGTTTGCTGAAGAATGTATGAATATTGTAGGGAGAAGTTTTATGTTAATCACTTCTGGGAGTTAAAGGGTTAACCTTTTAACTCCCAAGATCTGATTGCTAATTCTCCCCTTTAGCTGCTACACATTTCCTTGTAAATTAGTTATAAAAATTTGGTGTTAGTACAAGATAACAATTTCTACCTGTTTGAGTATACTTATTACCTGTTTGCTGGATAATGTATGGATATTATAGGGAAAAGTTACATGTTTGTCACTTCTGGGAGTTTGAGGGTTCAATAGCCTCGGTATTAATTGGTTTATCATTCATGATCAACTGAAACATCATTAAACACCCAGGATATTTAAGACAATGTTGTTACTCACTTTTTTTGGGTTTTTTTTCTTCTTCATCATCTTCCACTGAGGCTAAGAGAAAGAAAAGCAATATTTGACCATAGTAAAAAAGTAAAGTAAAGCCTTTATACAGGCCTAGGTGGCCCATGGGGCCAGTGCTTAACTCTGGTTTCCTTAGCATGAAGCGGCTAGGAGTATTGCTACTCCCCCCTGGATGGGATGCTAGTCCATTGCAGGGTAACCCCCAGCATATTTGCCAGTACCCATTTGTACGCCTGGGTGAAGAGAAGCACTGTGAGAGTAAAGTGTCTTGCCTAAGAACACAACACAATGACCCTGGCCAAGGCTTGAACTCGGACCACTTGATCAGGAGTCGAGCGCACTAACCATGAGGCCACCACGCCTCCGTATTTGACCATAGAATTACATTATTTTGAATGAATAGATGAGAACATTTTAGAGTGTCTGAGCATTGATGGAAAAATAATGTACAATTTAAACATGCGAGTATTTATCAGAAATGATTGCTATTGCTTCATTCGAACTTTGACTTCTGCCAATCAACAATACTCATGTCATGTGGCTTCACTGGACACCAAATTTTTAAATACAAAAATTAAAAGAAATATCCACCAAACTGTACAGAGTTGGTTTTTAGATCTTGGGGGTGAGGGGTCATGAGGACATTTTGCATTCTATCTTAAAATATAACCTCCTGGTCCTTCTGAAAACACTCCCATTGACTGTTCGACTTTAGATAAAACCATCTTGTACTCCCTGGGAACCTTGAAGCTGTCTTTTCCGTCTTTATTTGTACTGTCTTGGCCATCTTTGTTGGAGTTGTCTTCCTTATTTGCCAATGCATCTGACAGATTAAATGCCACCTGAAATATGCAACCAAACTAGTTGAAAAAAAATTACAGATTAGCTTTTCCCTCACCAACAATGTGGGGGGACACAAAGATATATAAAAACATATTCATGCTTTTAAGATGACTTTGGATTTGAAGATTAATCGTTTGTATTCTGATAATTATTCAATACATCAGTTACTAGTGCTCATCTTTTTTCAGGAATCTGGCCTAACATACATGTCAACCTCATTTACAGGTTCCCTCCCTTTCTTTACTCCCAAGGGAACAGAGGACTGAGAAGGGGGTAACCTGAGGGGGACTGGGACATAAAGAGGAAAGATCCTTTGAATGTGAATGCAGATATTTAACACATTACTTAACCCTTTCACTCCCAAGATCTGATTAGTAATTCTCCTTACTATCTGCCATACAATTCTTATGATGTTAGTTCAGAGAATTTGATATTGGATCAACTAATAATCCCATAATTGATATTCTTCTCTATTCTCATCACCTACCTGCTTGATATTGTATTGATATTGTAAGGAGAAATTCTGTCTTGGTCACTTGTGGGAGTGAAAGGGTTAAAACCTCTTTTAATAATTACCCATATTCATACCATTTGCCAGACTTCTAAAACTCATTTACAAGATGAGAGCTTCCTTCACATTTTTATAAAATAATCATTATCATAATCATTACCTAATTTTTTATTGGTACATAATAATATCACTTGCTAGAAAAACTAGAACATGGATAATCTACCACATACCTCATTTCTCTGAGGATTGCTGTTGATAAAAGAAGCAGTTTATAAGCTTTAAAGCAAGATTTATTATGTTGTAAATGTAGTCAAAAAGTTAATTCAGGACATGCTCAACTGACAAAATCTATGATCAATAACTTTTGAGAGAAATAAAGAATTTTGTTAGAAATAGATACCAATTTTCAAAGGAATATGTTGTGAGTAACAACTATTAATCAATTTTGGTATCATTGGCATGTTTCATTTAGCAAATAGATTCCATGTTCTTGTATGTTCGTTCAGCAGGTGGTGAGAACAAAATCATGGCATATGAAGGGCAGCCACCTGTTTACTGTGATCTATTTCAGTACAGACCTACAGCAATATAGAATCTATTTACTTTATATAATAAAGAGGTAAAGTATTATTAATAGGGAGATGATCTAGGCATCTGTGCTTCAATTGATCATGTAACAAAAACCACTTAAAATGAGTGCGTAATTCATCTTATCATATGATGTGGGTTCTACAACTGAATTATACTAATTAAAATACAAAACCAATTTTCTTCAAATACTGTTTTTGAAATATTTGTTTGATTGAATATTTTGTGATCCCCAAGATATCAAAGTCTATACCGTTTAAAGTAGAGTATCGATTTCTATCAAATAATCACTAGAATAGGCAACATTTAAATGTGAATCATCTTAAGTTGAATTGAATCAATTTAAACGTTCCTCTTGAAAAATGAACCGGCCGGAAGTTGCCATCTTACTTGCTTATCTGAAGACTTCCCACGATTCCAGAAGCATCAGTGTTGTCCATCCAAATGTTAGACAGATATTTTGGTACCTGAACAAAGAAAACAATTAATCCAGTAAGTATATCACATTAAAATGATATTATGAACTAACATGGAAACCATTTCTCCAACTATCTGCCCTTGATGTCACATGGAAAACAAGATTTCTACACAAGTCTGAAAGTGTTTAAATTATACCAACTTTACCTTCACAAGCCAAACTGCTCTCGATACTCCGGAACAATCAACTTCAGACCCCATTATGACGAGCCAAAGTACTTCTTTTTGTAATAAACTGTGACTTGAAGCGAGAAAGTGCTTTATATTCTCGTCACGAAGAGTCCTATTCTGTTGAAACGCGACATCGTGTTATTTTTACACGACACATATAGCAAGGCAACTAGTTTCCAGGCTTTCTCGCGGTCGAACGATAGTGAAAAAATTATTGAGTGTGTTACCCGTAAAGCATATACATTGTATCCTCTGTTTCTGATTCGGATTAAATAGGGTAGCATCATCGAGGGAAAAATAATTTGACTTTTAACATTTTTTCTGAAAAGTTTGGCTGATTTAGCTGATTTAGCAGTGACCAAGTTCTATTGAGTGACAGCCGTCACAGAAGCGCGTATGGCGAAGACCAAGATTAGTGTCTACCGTTATACCGCCTTAACAGTATAACAAAGAGCTATTTAAAATAGTTTGTGCGCACTTCCTTGTTGGTCAGATGAGGACACACCAGGGGTCAAATAAGTGCGACTTGTTGCAGCGATCGCAAAGACAAGAGTTTTTGTCGATGTGACTTTCGCCTAATGATTCTCCAACTCAGTCTTAATTTGACGTATCACCTGAATGAATAATAGAATGACCTAGTGAATGTGTAACTTGAATCAATAAGCCGAATCGTATTAGTAAGCTTTCAGGTTTAAGCCAGTGGGACTGAGGATGCAGTGAAAGATCTGTTGAAGTGAGGATAACCGTTTTGCACCCGCCCAAAAGTACCTCGGTGATATCGCAGTTCACTATGATCCCCTCGAGAAGCAACGCCAAACAATTTGTTCCAGCACTGAAAATTCTCTCTTGTGACAAAAAAGTTTCTTCAGAAACTGTGTTAAAATAAGTTATTTCCACTCAAATAACCACGTATTATATATTGGAATTCTGTACATTTATTTATTTAGTATCAAAATTTATTTGCATTAGTTTAATTAGATGCTGCTTTTCTTTCACATTTTCCTCCTTCTTTATCAACGCAGATCTTGTAAGTTAATTGTACTTTCTGGGTAAGTATCACCGTTGCCTTCATCTTGTTCTGACGAGCTGTGGTTGTCCAAATAAGGGGACAGGTCCCCTTTTCCAAGACTTCTTCTTTCATCAGCTACATCTGTGAGAGAAGAAATGGGTACTAGAGAAATATCCGAGGACACATCGTGTGCTGTTACATGAGATGTGGTATCATTGCCGTCTACCTCCATGTGTTCTGTACCAGACATATGAACCATAGTTACCGCCGCCGGGTCAGTTATTAACCCCTGGGGTAAATTGATCTGCAGCGACTCCTTAGGGAGTCGTACTGTGGAAACACCCTCCGGGGATCGTTGGATTTGGGCCACTAATACCTCAGCTTCATTCTCGGTGTCTGAAGACTTGACTTCATCCTAAAGAAAGAAACCAAGCGATGAGGAATACATTGTTCTATCATCGGATGTCCGTATTGACTTCTAACCGAAAGGAAAACATTCTAAGTTCCGCCATGGAAAATTCCATTCTACGAATGGACAGCTATCTGCTTCGGCAGATAACTCAGACCTCGGTTTTTATAATTTACGATATCCTGCGCAACCTCATCCTATGATTGCTTATTGTATTCTCAATGAGGATGAAAAATAAATAAATAAATAAACAACAAAAGTAAAATAAATAAAAAAAAATTGAACACAATTGAGAGTGGTTGATATTAATACCTGGGTGTCACAAAATTCTTCTGTACAAAATTCCTCGAAGCGTTCCGCATGTTTATTCGAGAATAGAAATCCGGAAACCTTTCGAGCTACATCAATCATACTCAGAAATAGAGCAAGTTTTCAACTAAGCGTCGAAAGGGATTTGGAATTGCATTGGTTTTGCTTTACTTTTCCCTGTGATTGGTCCACAAAATACGTGCAACCCTCTCCACCAATGCAAAACTAAAAAGAATCCCGACTTTATCATTGGCGTTTTCCCGCGCTTCAAGAAATTTACATGTTTTCACTTCAAGCTCGAACTTGGCTCTGGTTATATAATTTTTTGTTCTGACTGGCCGTTGTGATCACTTTGGTTCTGGTTTTACGACACTCAATTGAAAAGTGCTCTATAAAGAACGGCGAGAAAAGATAACTAACCTGAAATATAACAGCAGGTGGGGCAAACTGGTCCTCCGGGTGCACATCTCTGAAATCAAGACTTCGCGATCTTTTACTAGAGGCACTAGCATGTAAAGTTTTTGTGGTAGTTCCTGATCCTTCCTGACCTGCCTCACTCGTTATATGACTCATCATGCTGGTTATACACAAGTCAAAACCGCCAGTGAGCTTGTTTCCTTCCAAAACTGTTCCTCCAATCATTTCAGCTCTTGCTTGGACAGGATGATGAGAAATAGAGTCTTGATCATCATTTGTGCTTCTTCCCACAAACTCAGACACATCTATCTTGGAGGTGCTCTCTAAACCCTCAGTAACAAACTGCTCTTGTTGAACGGGTACTTGGATTCCTGAAATTGTTTTTATCTCTCCGTCATCTGCATGCTTCTTCTCAGTTTCCAGGACTACTTCGGTGGTAGGTGAGACGAGTGGGTGCCCTGAGGAAGTAACCAGGGCACACAGGGCGCTCGATGGTAAATGGACACCTACAGATGAAAGTCTCGTGGCATCCTCTAAGCTAAAATTACTTGAATGAAAAGCGCCGATTGTAGTATACAAGACTTCTGGTTCGGTTTCACTCGAAATGCTTCCACAGCTAACTGCACTGAGATCAGCTGCCAAAGCACCCTGAGACGAGTCTGTGAAATCAACTGCAAGGTAATAACAACATACAAGTTTAAGAAGGAGGAAAATCCATTCAAAGGAGACCACACAGATGGCGTAGCAGATAGGAAACTAGTTCTACGGATCTGTTTTCCCTCGTTTCCAGAGAAGGGAAGATAAAAACAACTGAGAAGAGAAAAAGAGAGCTGAAGAGAGGTTAAGTGAAAAGTGATTGTTAACCTAGATAAGTTCACTTTGCAGAAAAAAAAGGTTCTGGGTGCCTGCTATCTGGCATTTTGGAAAAGTCTTGTAGATACTTCCGTAACTTTGTGAAAATCGCATTAAATTTCAAACTCACGATAATACTTTTAAAAGACAAACTGTTTCGGCATGACGCATGCCACAATAACCTGACGATGGCACGAGTCATACCAAAATACGTCTTTAAAAAGTATTATCACGAGTTTGAAATTATTTTGATTTTGTTTGCGAATAATCATTACTGTTTAAGTTAGTTCAACGAAGAACGCTACATCCCCTTTTTCCAAAAGAAAACCTGACTGAGGGAAGTGAAATATTGCGTTATGTTTCCTTCAAAGGATGTATAACATGCATGTCGTTTAAATTTGCGTAATTTTCCCACAAATTATATATCAAATTGTTCCATACCCTCGAGACTTTCTACCTATCAAGTTTTTTTCGAGTGCTACTTTAAAAACCCTTGCTTCCAGCTGGAGCAAAACGTATCGTGAAGCGATGAAATGACGAGCGTGATTACAGGTATAAATGGGGTAAGTTTGGCCCATTATATCTCTTAAACATGCACGGTGATCTATCTTTTTATTGTATTTTTCGAAACAGACATTGTTAGGTAACATTTAAGGAAAGTTTAAAAAAAAACTGTTCGATAATTTTTTTCTGAGGAATCACCTTAAGGAATATCCATGATAGAGAAATTGCTGAAGTTGGAAATATACTCATCTGTTAAAGAGTATCATATTTTGATTTTTTAAGTTTGTCACTTGTTTTTTTTTCCACCCACCCGTTGTCATCTTTGTTCCTAGTTGGTTCATTATCTCCTCTTTCGTGTTTGTATTCAAATAAAATAATATTTAGAAGTCGAAGATGTTTTAAGCTGAGGCTTTCCGTTAAAAAGATCCCAACCTGCGTGTAATTCCTCCCAGTTTGCGAACGTCCATTTTTACGTTACCAAGAAAGCTCATCACCCTACCTCTTAGTGCCTTGTTTCCATGCCGTTTCTGGTGCGCTCTTAAGTTAGCAGCCGTTGTGTATGTCTTACTGCAGCCTTCTGTGTTACATTTGAACGGCTTTTGGCCAGTGTGTTTACAAATATGCACATTCAGGCTGCTGCTAGCTGTGAACGCCTTGCTGCATCCTTTAAACGGAACAAAAAATTAAAATAAAGAGATAAATATGAAATGAACGTTAAGGTGAATGTCAGTTGAACACAGCGTGTACTCATTGTGGATCAGACATGATATTTGTTGAACAACAATACCAATGCCAACAAGATAATCAAGATAATGACAAGATAATCTGGTTTATCAAATGAGTTGATAATGTAACTTGGCCACCGTAAAGAGTTTCTAAAATTGATTCTTTTAGCGTTAGCCCTTTACCATATAAGATTCCATACAAAGCGGGATATCCATGGTAAAATTATATACGCTGAGACACACTGTCTCAAGACCTCGCCTAGGGATGCGGCCTAAAGTCAGAGTGCCATTTCTTGGCCATCTCTATCCCTCTTAATAATTCATTGAAACGTTTCCTACCATCAAACGGGCAAATGTAAGGTTTTTCTCCTGTATGAACAAGCTTGTGAGTCTTCAGATGACTTGATCTTGTGAAAGATTTACCACATCCTTCATAATTGCACACAAAAGGTCTCTCCCCAGTATGTTTGCGCATATGTCTCTTGAGTTTGTAGGCACTTGTGAATGACCAGCCACAACCCTTTAGAGATAAAGGGATAAATTTAAAAAAAATTGTGTTGGATATCTAGTGTGCGTGTGGTCCACTAACAGTCAGTGCATTGGGATCAAACGTGGCTCAAAATTATCTAGAACTGTGGAGAAAAAGAAGAGTACTGGGCCCAGTTGTATCAAGGACAGAAAACGCTATGTGTCCAATACTGAGATAAATTGCTATCCACCAGATAAGACATAGCAAAGCGTAATGCTCTACCCAATGGATAGAGATTTATCCAGTAGATAGCATTATCCAACCTTCGAACAACAAGAGCTGGAGGTAAACTGTACCTGAACTTCACAAGGAAAGGGTCTCTCTCCTGTGTGTGACCTCAAGTGTAACTTTAACTTGGATGCTTTAGTAAATCTTTTCTCGCATCCCTCTACAGGACATCCATGAGATTTTTCGCCTGTGTGAATTCTCATGTGTGAGGTCAAAGCACTAAAAGCAGCGAACATCTTGCCACATGATTCCACCTCACACCTGTAAGGTTTGTATTCGGCGGCATGTTTCCTTTCATGTACTTTTAGCTTGTGCTCCGTTGGAAACGTCTTTTCACATCCTTCAAAACCACACATGAATGTGTCTGTCCTGCAGTGCGCCCTCATATGTGTTTTTAAGTTGTAAGCAGTGGTAAAGCATTTTCCACATCCTTCATGAGTACACTGTAACATAGAAACAAAAATTATGCCAAGTTATGAGAAATATTATGAACAGATTTATGGCAAGCTACCGCAGTAGGTGACTTGAGTGAGAGAGCCAATGATACAGGTCAGCTGCTGTCATGATGTTAATGAACCTGTACTGGTAATTGCTACAGGGATGCAGTTAATAAACCTGTACTGGTAGTTGCTACAGGGATGCAGCTGTCTGCTTTGTAATTGAAACAAGACTGCTGTTTCTTTGTTAGAAAATTTTCTAGTTCAGCAACATTTCGTCTCTGTTAGTGTGAAACATTTTAGGGTTATCTGATGAAATAATTACAAGTTTTCAAACATTTCAAAAACTATCATTGAATAACGACAAAAAAAGTCTTACCAGGAAAGGTTTTTCTCCAGTATGGCCCCTGGCATGCCTTTTTAATTTGTATGCTGTGGTAAATGCCCACTCACATCCTTCATGAGGACACTAAAATGGCAAAATTAACCAATAAATTAAAACTACAAATGATATTCAACGTAGCATGTGCATGTATGTGTATGCACTTACATTGCTAGTATAATTCATTTAAAAAATAGCAATTCATGTTAGTGTGGAATAAGTCAAGTGTGGAATAAAGAGATTGGAGTCTGACATGAGATTCAAGCCAATTTGTATCTGAAATGAGGCATGCATCTACCTAATGGTGTATTTGTTTGAGTCTAGATTAAAAGGCTCTGACTTGACCCTAACTAGGCTAGGATCATTTGGATTGTGTGCTGGTCTAATGTCCTATCTTAACCCTTTCACTCTTAAGATCTCATAAGTAATTCTCCTTACTGTCTCCATACAAATCTCATGTTTTTACTTTGGAGAATTTGCTATTGGATCATCTTACAATCCTCTAATTGGTTTTTGTTTTATTCTCATCAACTGTCTGCTTGATATAATATTGAAATTGTATAGAGAAATTCTGTCTTGGTCACTCACATGGGAGTTCAAGTGTTAGAGAGTTATGTACCAAGCTGCACCCTAGTACTCATAAGCAAGCTGGACCAGAAACTGAAACAGACTAATGTTTATTGTACCTTGTAGGGCCTTTCCCCTGTATGCGACAGCATATGCAGCTTCAGTTTGTAAGCTTTGGCACAGACTTTATTACAGCCAGGATGAGGACAAAGGTGCCCCTTCCCATCAACACACTCATCCTCCTATTGACAACAAAGAGAGAAAAAACTGATAAGTATTCAAATTCTTCTGATTGGTATGACCCTCTTACTCCCATTGTCTGAACATCAATTTTCTCCCCTGTCTGCCATGCATTTCTGTTTTGGTCACCCTCTAGTAATGACAGTTAATAAAAATTATTCTGTCAACCACATGACACCTTACATGCTTTGTAGAAAAAAAACATGGAAAAAATCCCATTGCAAGTGTTGTATGCAATAGTGTTAACAACCACACAGTCCTAAGTTCAGACCTGCAAGTTGCAAAATACATAAAAAAAAAGGGAGAAAGAGAAAGAATGGCAGTCATATGATAAAAGTTTATAGACTGAGTTAGGTCAGGCTTAACAGGAGAATATTTTGTGCTTGTCATGACATACAGACTGAGCGCAGCAAGGTCTATATTAAATACTTTCAATTTCCCTTCCAGTTCCCCACTTAGTCAATACAAGTAAATTTTATCAACTGGGGATCTACATCAAATCATTAAAAGTGGCTCAGAAAGATGTAGTGGGGGTTAATTGTTCAATAAAGGAGTGGCTTTTACACAGAGAAGTTTCACTTTCAAACCTGATTGTCCTGGGCAATTTCATTCACATCAATACATGTATTAGCATCATGTGACATGTTTATCTGAATTGCTTGGTTTGCTGTGACTCCAGGCACAAGCATTCCACTCAGCAGAACCTGCTGCTGTTCTGTCAGAATGACATTCCTACCAAAGTCTGCTGATGATGTCAACACATCAAGTGCAGAGTTCCCATCTGCCTGGTTAAGCATTGCAGAACTGGTCGTAACAACTTGATAATGGGTTTCACTATCTTCAGCATCACCTTCTGTTAGGATTGCAGGCACATGTGTTGAAAAGGTACCAACATCAGTGGTAAGGATTGCATTGTTCACTAGAGATATAGTAGAGTTATGTCCTGGGTAAACTTGAATTGTGATCTCCCTCAGGTTATTTTTGTTTTGTTCTTGCAGTAAGGTAGCATTCTCTAAGGGAACTTCAGAGGTTGTTTGATCTTGGTTTTCATGTTGTGCTTCCTTTAAGGCAATATCATGGGATTCTTTGCCTATATCAGAGTTCTGCACTGCTATGAAAAAAAAAGGAAAAACCCTATGGTCAGTTTATGATTATGCATAAATTTACAGATTGTAACTGTACCATCCTAACCTAGCAAGGCCTCCTATTCCACTGATTTATTTCATCACAAAAATGATGCTCTGTGGTAAGGTATCAGGAGGGAACTTGACACAACTCAAACAGAGGGTACCGGTCTCCTATATGGCAGCCCAGAGAGCAGAAACCAATCTTCACCCCACCGTTAAAATCAAGTCATTTGCAGAAAGGGGCAAGTGTGAGCTGTTGCAAACTACAAAATTAACGATGCAATTTCACAGTGGCTGTGGAACTTTAAGAGATGGGGTATTAACAGTAATATGTGGATTTGCTCCTCTTGGAAAGATGTGGAACTTTAAGAGATGGGGTATTAACAGTAATATGTGGATTTGCTCCTCTTGGAAAGATGTCAGGCAGTTTGTTAAGTTCCCTAAACAGTCATCAATTTCTTGCACCCACTCATACTCCTGGGTGGAGAGATGCACCTTGAGAGTGAAAAAAGTATCTTGCACAAGAACACAACACATTGACCATAGGAAAATATTCAACCCAGATCTTTTCAATAAATATCCTTTATGAGCCAGATGTTGACACACCAAAATTCTGCTGATCAGAACTGGCTTGAGAGCATCTCCACCCCTTTGATTAACAATTAAAACAAGAAGGACTATGCAGATATATGAATGATTTTTTTCAAGTAGCTGAAATTGGATTCAGTGAGAACAAACATAAACAAATTTAAAAAGCTGTTTGCCTACATGTATTTAATGAAGAAGATGCCTCTTCAGCATCAAGTTGTTGATTATCACTCTGTAATGCTGTTGATGAGCACTGAACAAGATCAGACTCATTGTTAGGTGAACCTAATGGATCCAATGCTAGAGGAACGACTCTGTCATCAACACTGATCAGGTTATAATCTGACTTGATTCTGTCATGGTGAAGCTGTCCTTCTTCCAAGTGATTTACTCCACCTACATGAAGGAGAATCAAACTGTTGTATAAATCAAAAAAACTTTAGGAATAAACCTTGAGAACTAAGAACATGATTTTTAGAGGTGAGAGAGATTGATTATATGAAAATGGATTGTCAATAATATTTCATACAGTCAAATATTTTTTCAGTGATGCATGGAGATCATTGAAACTACCCAATGAAAACATTAGAGCATGGCATGTGCACCTAACTACTTCTAATCACAGGTTTAAAACTTCTAATTGAAAAGTCAGCTTGTACTACCTGTATACTTCCCACTGAATGATTCATTCATTAACCAAATAATGGAATAGTAAAATTACTGAGGACATTTTTAACTAAGTTTGATTGTAATTTTTCAGTCTTCTTTTACTATTGACTCGATAATATGCCATCATTTTAGAAATAATATTTCAGCGCACATGGATTTCTCATCCCTCTTTCCTGTTTGTTATACATATCAATACTCAATAACAAAATTAACCATTTAACTCCCAGAAGTGATTAACATAAAACTTCTCCCAATAGTATCCATACATTCTTCAGTAGAAAGGTAATGAGATTATTCAAACTTATCGGGTAGAAGCTGCTATCTTGATCTAGCACTAAGTTCTCATAACTAATTTACAAGGAAATGCGTAGCAGTTAGAGGGGAGAATTAACAATCAGATCTTGGGAGTTAAAGGGTTTAGTGTAACATTTATTATTCACAAATTCAAAAAGAATTTATATTATAACATGTAAAAAAAAACAACAACAACAACAAAACACCTTCATTAGGAAAGGAATTAATATCTTTGTCTCCAATTTCCCCATACACAGAGGGTTGGAATGTGATCTCCATTTCCTCTTCAGAGTTCACAGTGTTCCCATGGGGAAAGTGAGATGACAGTTGCTCTTCCATGTTACTGTCCACCATAAAACAATCTTGTACTGAGTGCACCTGATCCCTCTCACAGGACTCTGTAGACACATTGGACAGATATTTCTCATATTTATTGTCTCTTGAGCCAGTATCTGTTGTTGGAACAGAAAGCTCATTTTGAAGAATACTCGCAGATGATGATTCAATCTGGCTTAGACTATGAGATGAATGGTTCTTGTTGTCTCTTTCACTCACTTCCTTGTCTTTCAGAAGTTCAGAATCTGTATCTAATATCAGGCAGTTATAAAAAAAAATTAAAGAAATTTTTTTGCTGCTGATATGAAATATTATTTTACACAATATTCTGCAATTTGAGATAAAGGGAAGTCATTTTAGGACAATGAATTCATTTTTAAAGGGAAAAGAATAACTTGATCAGTTTATCTCAACCCAACAAGCCTTGTGACTTGCATATAGTTGTAAGATCTTATCTTAATTTCCACAACAAGATATACTATGAGTAGTCTCTCCTTTCGACACAGTCCCTCACACAAGTACAAAAAGATCAGTTAAAAAGAAGTTGATGTAGGCATGCTGCAGGCAGCTCAGGGAGTGAAAGCTTCCCTCAGGGCACTGGCATCAATTTTTTTCCAATTTTTTTGTTTTGGACTTGTACAATGAACTTCACTGAAAAGAGGGGGGTGTGCTCATAGTCTTACAACAAGAAGCAACTACAGATATCTTCCTAACTTGCTTGGGTAGGATGTTAGTCTAAAGAGAGGGAAAAGGGTATTGGATAAATTGTAGATCGGGATGTAATAGATTTTTGGCCAGTGTAATTTCTCAGGCAAATTCTTTTAATTTAAGCAACGTCAAATGGCTGCTGAAACTCGGAGTTTTGATTGTATAGTGTAATTCAAAATTATATTGGTTTCTCTCAATCAAGCAAATGTTGCCTTGGACATCTTGGAGGTTAATATAAGGATATCATTGTGATTTTGATCAACTCTGTGTCTCTGTTACATGACAAAATAAAATGAAATGCTGTGCGTATAATTTTTCTCTAAAAGAGACCGTCTATAAATAGCTATTTGACCCCTGTTCGTCAACATGGCGTCTCATGAACTGAAATTCATTCAAATTAGCAATCTATGTTATTATTACTGAAGACATGGTTGATTTTGATCATCGAATTCGTTCTAATAAATGTTTTCTTAAAATCATGTCTTGTTCTGTGGCGAAAGATGACTCCAAGCGTTACATGATGAGACAGCTAGACAATGACGTTGCAGTTTAGTGAAAAAGCACACTTAAACCCCTTGTAGCTAAAAAATATTAAACAAAAAGGTCCTCCAACAAGACGATATAGTATTCGTACCACTCGAATTCCGTGCTGGATCATCATTAGCCCCTGTACTCAAGTCTGGGAGCCCCTTGGAAGATGCTAGCCCCTGCGAATCCATCATGGCGTCCCCGCTTCATCAACAAGAGAGATGGTGGTTAACCGATTGACTTCATCCCCTGGGGGTGGCAGTGGGGAGAATTTGATTCAGAAGTTTTTTTTTTATCGGTAATATCAGAGCTGCATACCAGGCGCTTATTTAGCTCAAGAGATAGTTGAAAAATGTAGAAAATGGTTTCAGTCCAGAATAAGTTTTGTCCATTTGGTTTGAAACCGATTCTAACGTGTCCAAAAGCGTTCAACGCGGAAAAATTGGTTCCCAGGAATACATCGATCTAAATGCACGAAGCGATAGAGCGGTTACTAAGCATAGCTTCATTGTATTTATTATTGCTTGAGGCAAGTTTCCAACAATTGTTGATGGTTTTCCGTAAGATATAGCCATGTCTAACGTTTTAGATGATGGGAAAGGTGACACAGATCCCTGCCCTCTTCAGTACTGTGATTTTAAAATGGTCGACCACAAAAGCATGTGCCCATTCTATACGTCTTTGTTGACACGCTCAGCGGATCAAGGATTAAACCCGGAAGACCTTCACTTGCTTCAAAGTGACCTAGAAACACTTCTAGCCGGTGCCAATCGGCGAATTAGGCAGATAGACTCCGAAACTAAATTATTGATTGATTGGGCTGAGAAAAAAGATAAAAAGAGTGTGCGACAACGCGAGTTGGAGATTCTTAATTCCTTAGGCTCTTTGAAAAGAAGTCGACCCGCAACAGAGGAAAAAGGAGCAAAGAAACAGAAATTGGAAGAGTCAAGAAGCACCAGTCCAGGAGCCCAGTTGGTGGGGAGACCAAAAAGTAAACATTCGGCTTCTTCTGAAGGTAGTCAGGAAGATGAAACATTTCCCCCAAGTGTGAAAACAAAGACAGATACTCCCAACCGCTTCTGGGCTGCTGTTGAACCGTATTGTGCTGATATCACAGTTGAAGATCAGAAATTTCTTGAAGAATCCTTGAAAATTCCAGATGATGAACAAGAATATTATAAAGTCCCACCCCTAGGAAGACACTATGGAGAGAAATGGGCTCAAGAGGACCTGCTTGAAGAGCAAGAAGAAGGTTCAAGGATACATGATAAAAAATTGCGTGGTACTTTAACAAACGCTACCAGTGAAAACACAAATAAAGTAATTGGTGAAAAATCTTTGTTGAAAAAGGCAGACACCACTGGACTTCATGAGGAAGATTTGTGTCCATTTGGCTCTCTGACACAAAGATTAGTATCAGCTTTGATTGAAGAAAACATTATAGCACCAATTCCTGAGCAAAACTCAGGATCTGGAAGTTCTGATAGTGCAATGACAAGAAGTGGTAACAACCCCCCTCGCACGCCTAGTAAGGCACCCCATGTACCTCATACCCGAACTTTAGAGGCACGCGTTAGAGAAGAACTAGTTTTTCAAGGGTTGCTAGATGCAGAAGATCAGGCAGATGAAGAGGTGGATGATGAGGTCTTGGCTGAGCTTAAACGCCATCAGAATGAACTGCGTGTCTTGATTGCAAAGAACAGACAACAGAAATCAGAGCTTTCAAAATTAACACAAGAGGAAATGAGAAGACAGGAGCTTAAGCACAGAGCACAGGTTGCAGATGCTGAAGTAATGGAATGGTTCAGAAAAATGATGGCATATAAACAGAAAAGAAAGTCACCAACCAAAAAGGAGAAGGAGGCAGCATGGAAGGCCCTAAGAGAAAGGGAGGCAATCCTTAGAGTGCTTGGCAACTCATGAGTCTAACATTTGGAAAAGTTTTCTCTTAACTATGTAGGGAGTTCTCTTTTTCCTACTTTGCAAGTAGTATAAGTATTGACCCAGTCATTAAACCTGTTAAATACATGTCTTAAGATCGAGAAAATTAGACACTTTAAAGTAGAATAAAGGGGGTAGGTTTCTCAAAAAACCGTGGTGCTGTGTCAGTGGGAGAGTTTAACAGGGTAATTTAGTATTATCAACTGAGTTGACAATGTAAATTAGCCACTGTAAAGAGTTACAAAGCTGACATTTCGACCATTAGCCCTTCTCTCAAACAATGCTTGAAACCTTCAGCTTTGTAACTCTTTTTTTTTTTTTTTTTTTTTTTTGTAACTCTTTACAGTGACTTGAGTAGAATGTTTACAGTTAAGTTTTAATCCACGTGAACGCATTTTTGTTCAAAAGCAAATACTTTTTGCTGTTATTGGCCTATCATCCACACTAAGATGCCCAAAACACTGGTGAAAATAGACCCTTTCTAAACAGTTTCAAGCATTTGATTGTATTGAAATGCATCACTCTCTCTCTTCTGTGAAATAGTGAACATGAGGGATTTTGAAAACAGTGACAAAAGATGTGTCACAATGTTGTTTCAATTAGCTTTTTTGGGTGTTGAAGTGATGATGATAGGTAACAGCACATCAAAGCTAATTGTTCCCAAATTAATAAGCAAGAGTGAGGACATGTGAAAGCAACCAAAAAAAAGTGTTTGTAGGGGAAAACTATTTAGCTTTGTCTCAGTAGAGACTAAAATGGATTCTTTAAAAAGCAGATCAGTATATTTGGGGCCTAAAATTGAGTGGCACAAAGTGATCTCTCATGAAGGACACTCATGAACATTTAACCTGATGTGCAGTGGTAGTTAAATCACTCCTTGGGTTTTTATCAATAGATCTAGGGCAATTTCAACCTCTGTATATTCGCACACAAGAGTATACTTTACTGTCTAAAACACTAAGATCATCTAGAAAAAATATATATATATTTCCTTTATTGAACATTTTTGATTCATGTGAATTTACATGTAAGGAGTTATGTCTTGCATCTTAGGTATCAAAATTTAATTTTTAAAGGATACCTAAATGCACCCATACACTATTTAATTTGAGCCTCTCATCACTGAAATACAGAGAATTTCTTGTCTCCTATAACAAATAGGCTGTTTTCCTTGTATTTTAAAGGGTTTATCAAATCTAAAACATGTATCTTCTTGCACAGACTTCATTGCTACAATTCCAATATATTTTGTCTGTTTGTAGCTCAAAGACCAATCCCTTCTCAGTAAAGCAAGTTTTGAGTATTCCTGTAAAATAACTTTTTTTTATTTAGCACGTCCTTTATACCTGAGTGTGTAACCCACTGAAGATGACCCATTTCAAATAGAGGAAGTTGTTTTTTTCCCTCCCTATTCCTCAACTCCTCCATTAGCTTTGGAGTCTTGTTATAGCCCTGAATGTCTGCAAGTTTGTTTTGCTTTAATTGAATTACAGTAGAAGACTATTTTTCAATTATTTACCTAACTTTCTTATGTGATTGTTTTATTCAATCCTGAAAATAGTTTGATCATATCTCCAGCACAAGCTTGTATTTCAGCTCCATGCACACCTTTATATGAATTACTTGCTAAAGCTCTCTGTTTTTCACAATGCCAATATTTTGTTATCGCCTCAATGATGGATTTTACCCTTTCACTCCCTACGTATTTCAGTAATTCTTCTAAGTGAATGCCTTACAGTTCTTATGATGGTAGTTCAAAGAATATTGTATTAGATCAACTAGCAACCCCTCATTGTCAATTTTCTCTACTCTCATCATTTATCTCTTTGATGTTTTATTGATATAATTGTAAGGAGAAATTTGGTCACTCGTGGGAGTTTAAGGGTTAACATCTTAGTATCCAATAGCAATGAAGTAATTTGCTAGTTTCTCCATCACAGCACTGCAACACCCTGCTTGCATTCCATCTGTGTATCCACCAATCAACAGGCACTTGTTAGTCTTTACTGCAACAACTCCCTCATTGCCTTTACGACAATAAATTGCATGTCCAGGATCTGATCTCACAAAAATATACCTTGTTCTATTCACTGCGATTCCTTTGGAAAAGAAAGGAGACGGATCTTTGGTAATTCCACTGATCAATGCTTGAGCCTCACTTGGTAAAACCTGTGTAACAAAATAGAAACAGCCAGAAAATTTTTTAATCATCTGTAGACCAGAGCATGTGATTCAATATTAAATTTAGTTGTACTTCCAACTAGTTTCATTGGAAAGTCATAACTTATAAAATGCTTAACCCCTTAAAACTTTTTAGTTCCCATGACTGACCAAGACCAAATTTCTCCTCACAATATCGGTACAATATCAAGCAGAAAAGTGGTGAGAATGAAAAGAAAAAAATCAAGCAGGGGATGATTGATCAGATAAAAAATTCTCTGAACTAAAATCACAATAATTTTACTGGGACTGAAAGGGTTAAGCAATAAGTAGAATCCATTTGCACTCTTGGATTTCCATTTTCTATCATGATCACAACAGAGACGTTTGATCTATCCTGTAAAGTGACTGTTATCTTGTAAAAAAAAAAAAAAAGGAAGACGGAACGATTATTAAAATTATCGCACACACTCATCTCTCTACCAATTCCCCGGTGGTTTATTGAAGTTCTGCGCCAGGTGTATTGGACAAAACTTCTGTTTGTCAGTTCATATAGACAGTAAGTCTCGAACATGCAAACGCCTTAGGGCAAAAAACGTTCAAAATGAAAACATCCTGTGACTGATATATACAACTTATGAAGCACAAATGTTGGACTACTCTGGAATTTTTAAAACGTCTTTGCCCAAAACATTGCTCGTAAACAGATTAATTAAAAGGCTTTAAGTCTATTCAATTATCAACTGACGGATGAGATGCGAAAGCCAGGTGGTATGCAACTTAAGTGATTCAAGAGTTTGTACACGATACGTAAAAAACATTTCCAACGTGCTCTCGACTAGAGATAAAAAACCAAACATTAAAGTCACGCTTCATGTGAAACTAAGGTGCATACGATTGTTTACCTGAGAAACAAAGCCACGAAGCAAATTTATAAAAAACAATTCAACAAACACTGACCACAAATCCAGCGCTCGAAGCGTAGCGTTTCCCATCCAAACCATGTATAGCTGCTCTGGCAACCTGGCTCGTACCTAACAGACTTTCATCGACGAAATTTTGCCAGCTCATTCGATCAGAGTTGTAGTTGTACAAACTTCTTTGTCGTTTTAGTATTCATCAAATGGTATTCTGGTCATATGCAAATTTAGGCTTACGGCCTTCAATTTTTACGCGTCACCGTCACGCAAAATAGCGCGATTGCGTGACCAAAGTAACTAGCATTTTAGAAGGAAACTGGGTATTAGCTGTGCCCAGTCTATTGCCGCGAAATTGGCGGGAAATATCTCGCCATGTTGAATAGAGCAACAAGTGACTAAGAAACTCGATTTGTTTCTGCGTTTGTTTTCATACAAGAAGAGCATCATCAGTAGAGATGGATGCTTTCTTACGAGGACAGAGTTCTACTGCTAGTTCTTCGAAGCTTAAGCAACAAACAGGCGAGGAAACAGCAGGATCTTCAAACAAAAGGGTTGTTGTTCCTTGGGTTGAAAAATAGTGAGTGCCTTCGCTTTCCTTTGTCGTCCTTCTTCATTTCAATTTCTTTCAGACTTCGAAAACTTTAATTTTATTTTATTTTTTGTGATGAAAAATTCCTGAGAGTGTCTGAACAGAGAGGGAAATTTTGGTTAAATAAATGTCAGCGTATCGTCTTGATGTTGCGTTGATGAGACAAGAGATTCTCATTGCTAACCCCAAGGAGATTATGACACAGAAAGGAGAATAGGCTGTCTGATCTAAACATTTATCGCCACTGAAGGCTCATCTATCAAACTAATGTCGTCTTTTTTCTTTAGTAGCTCTATTCAGTGTTAATTACTTAATTATTATCATACGTTCATTTTAAATTTTCTCAGCCGGTAACTGGATCAATTAATGGTTCAAAAATCTCTTCTCTACCAAAGTTTAACTTTGTAATTAATTAGTCTAGACAGGAAGGATATCATTTATATCAGTACTTCGAGTCAACGCTGGAATTTCATATGCCATGCTCTTTTCTTGTGACATAACCCCAAAAAGAGCATCTGTTATACCTTTTTTCTTCTGTTCCTAATCAATCTGATTACTTTATTTATATTTTTTGTTGTTTTTGTTCTACATAGATGGTAAAAAATTATGAAAAACTGTTCATGTCTTGTGATTCTCTTGTTGTTAGTCGCCCAAGATCTGTGGATGAAGTTGCTTATCAAGATGAAGTTGTGTCAGTGTTGAAAAAATCTCTAGAAGGAGTTGATCTCCCAAACTTGTTGTTTTATGGCCCTCCTGGCACAGGAAAAACATCCACAATACTTGCTATTGCAAGACAGCTGTTTGGGTAGGTTTATCCTCAGAAATAAGGTCATTTTAAAGGTCTTTGCAGGAATTTTTAATGCCCATATTCTAGTCAAGTCTTAATCAGTTCAATTGCGCCAGTAAGACTTAACTATGGGCTGATCTATTTTTTCTTCTTTTAACATATTTTTCATTGTTTTCCCCAAAAGATCCTAGGCTAGTGAGTGCCTGACAAATGACTTAGGCTGGTCATTTGTCAGGCACTAACTTTTTTTTGCAGTTCATTGTGTTGCATTCTTGGGCAAAGCATGTTACTCTCATCACAGAGTATAGATAGGTTCAAGCAAACTGTCTGGGAAAGCGGATGAAATGCCGGGGGGCAACCTGCAATAGACAAGCTTTCCATCTGGAGGGGAGTAGCAATACTTTTAGTAGCTTTATGCTACAGAAACAGGGATAAGGTCCAACCATTAACCTTGGGCATTACACTTGACTCTTAGAGTACCCCTCTTGACCAGGACCCAGTTGTTCTGAGGGTAGACAATGCTATTCAATGCAAAAATTGCTATTGAGGGGATAAATGTTGACAAAAGGTACTGCGCTAGGTACTGCATGGAGATTCATCCAGTGGATAGCATCATCCACCCTTCAAACAACCAGGACCAGGGGTATAAATGGGTACCTGGAAACTATTAGGAAAACTCAGCAAACTGCTAGGAGGGAGTGAGAGTATTTTTTAATGGACTAACACACCACCTAGGAAGAGAAGGAACAGTTACACTTCTACTTCGTTCATGTTATTCAAACAGGTGTAAGCTATGGTGATTAAGGGGCCAGTATGGTCAAAACAATTATTGACCATTATTTCATTGCAATTTTAGACCTGAGCTTATGAGATCACGGGTGCTTGAATTAAATGCATCAGATGAACGTGGAATACAGGTCTGTTAAACTTCAGTGTTCTTCTGTAGAGTTTCTGTTAGTCTCTATCAGGTGTAGAAATGTGTGTTATTGATTAAGTGTAAGGACAAAATTGCTAGGGCCAGGTTTTTTTCCCCCATTTTTTGACCAGGACAATTGGCTCAGCCATCTTGACCAAATTATAATACAGGAAGTGTAGGCAAAGAAAAGACACCAAAATTTTGAGGTCTTTTTTTGGAACAAAGCTGTTCACAGTTTCAAGCTTGCTCACACTGGTAGCTAGTCTGAAGAGATGCCTTAGCATGCTTAATGTTTCTTGTTTGTTGTACAAGCTATCCAATGAAACAGCTTGATCACATGCCCAAACAATAATGAGAAAAAAGGGAGTTGTTAAAATCAGTTTTAAATGTGAATTCTTAGAATGATAAATTTTAAAACCTTTTTTTTTAAGAAAGTGTGGCTGCAATGTTGCAATGTTTTCATAATGTTTTATTTGCAGGTAGTGAGAGATAAAGTTAAGAAGTTTGCTCAACTGGCAGCCTCTGGTATTCGAACTGAGTAAGTCTTTTGTTTACAGTCCATCCACGCTATTCATAGATAGATCCTAGACCTTATTCTAAAATAACATAATTTTGATTCTTTGTTTTTCAATGCATAACTGCCCTTTTTGCCTCAAATCTCCAGAATGCAAAGGAATATTTAGCTCAGAGGCAACATTGGTCAATGCCAATGGTGACAGGAAATGATGTCTTTAACCCTTTCACTCCCAAGATCTCATTAGTTATTCTCCTTACTGTCTGCCATACAATTCATATGATTCTAATTTGGAGAATTTGGTATTGGATCAACCAATAATCCCCTAATTGATATTTTTCTTTAATCTCATTACTTCTCAGCTTAATATTGTACTAATAGTGTAAGGAGAAATTCTGTCTAGGTCACTAGTGGGACTTAAAGGGTTAAGAGAAAAAATTTGCATTATTTTTATTTGTTGACATATGCATATCATATCACTGGTCATAAATTTTTTTTCTTACAGTGGTACCCCATGCCCACCCTTCAAGCTGGTTATTTTGGATGAAGCAGATTCCATGACACCAAGTGCTCAGGTTTGAGCTTCTTTACTCTTCTTTATGTGTTAGCATCAACTGACTGCTAAACTGCACACTTTGAAAACAGTATTTTTGATTTTTTTTTTTAAATAAACAGGCAGCCTTGAGAAGAACCATGGAGAAGGAGACAAAAACCACAAGATTTTGTCTTATTTGTAACTATGTGAGCAGGTGATGACATTGAAAAGAACAGTGACTAATATTCATCTAATAACTGAGTTATCGTTTTTTCACCTTTAATGAAAGTGACCTTATGTCAAATCTTTCTTGTGAGAATGCTTGCACTGACAAATCCTGCTGGGGCTGGTTCACACTATGGCCCCCAATTTGGACCCCTCAGAAAACTGGACCTGTGACTTAGGCCACCAATCCCCAGTTGTTTGTATTATTATTATGGGTTGTATTTTCTATGTATTTGTTTCTGTTATGTTGAGAAAACACTTTTGGCAAGTTCTATTTCAAGGAATCTGAAGTCATTGTGAGATGAACTATATATATCAGAATGAAACAAATCCTATTTAAGCTTGCATTTTAAGTGTATTGTTAGACAGCCACAAAAAAAAAAAGCATTTTATCATTTACATTTTATCTTGCAGAATTATCGAGCCCCTGACTTCCCGTTGTTCCAAATTTCGTTTTAAGCCATTATCTACAGATACTTTAGAGAAGAGACTCAACATGATTTGTGAAAAGGAAAATGTGAAATGTGATAAAAAGGTAAAACCTGTGAGTAAATTTTGAATGAGCTCAACTTTAAGATCTTTTAGAAGAAGTATTTAAACTTATGATTGTGCAATACTTTGACAGACAGCTCTTCCAAACTATTCCTCTGCAGTTCATGAAGTTTATTATCTTAACAATTTATGGTAAAATTTCATATTTGCCTGCGTTAGAGAATGTAGTATCTCCAATTAGAGGAATGTTTACCTAATGATTTGTGATTTCCCACTGACACAGCATCACAGTTTCTTTAAAACCTTACCCTCTTTATTCCTCTGCAGGTCATTAAGTTTATTATTCTAACAATTAATGGTAAAATTTTATATTTGCTTGCTTTAAAGAATGGAATATTTCCAATTAGGGGAATGTTTACCCAACAATTTGTGATTTTAGCCTTTTTTCTCAAAGACTTCCATCCAATGGACACATAAATGGTGGTCCTCAATGACCAACAATTTGCATATGTTACCTTTACTGAAAGTACTTCTTTATTGGGAGATTCTAATTTAATCCTTTAACTTCCATGACTGACTAAGAGAGAATTTATGTGGACAGCTGCAATGCGATATCAAATAGACAGGTGATAAGAAGAAAGAAAAATATCATTTAGGGGATTATTAGCTGATACAATACCAAATTCTCCAAACTAATATAAGAATTGGATTTAAGTTTTCTAAGCTCTGAGGGTATTCCCTGTATGAAGGTACCACTGCAGTAATAAACTTCTCTTCTCAACAGGCGATACAAGAATTGATTAAGATATCAGAAGGTGACATGAGGAAGGTGAGAAAGGAAGTGTTGAATGATCTGTGAAGAAAACAGTGTGTCTTTTGATGGACTGTCAAAGCATTTCATTTAGTTTTTTTTTCCTACTCAACAGGTATTAGCAAACAAATGACTGTTTTTAAGATGCGTTAGGGACTTGTGAAATTGTATAACAGGGTATTATAAACAAACTGAGTGTCATATTTCAGTAATCAGATTTTCTCTTTCCACCATTTACACCATGTTCATTCAATTACCACATGTTTTTTTTTATGTGGAGATTTTGACATAGGTCACTGCAGGTGCCTTGAATGGATAGAGAAAATGTGGCCATCAGATTATTTTATCTCCACATTACATCTCTGATTGCTTACACTGTATGCTCCATACCAATCCTTCTATATACTCGTGCCCACCCTTGCATTGATGAAACAAACCCTTTTTTATAACATTTATTGCATGGCTTGTTTTTAAAGGCTATAACATACCTACAGAGTGCTCAAAGATTGAAGGGTGAAGACATGGTAGAAGCCGATGATATCAGTGAAATAGCTGGGGTGAGATACAACTGCAACTACAGTATTACGTTTATTAAATCAAAGGCTTGCAATGTTACATGTTTTTAATGTAACATGAAACAAAAAATATATACAGTGACTTATTTGTATCAAGAAAATAATGAACACATACCATTTGGTGACTTTTCTCCAGGTTGTACCAAGTAAAATGGCAGACAAACTTTTTGAGGCTTGTGGATCAGACTCATTTGAAAAACTTGATGCTACAGTTCAGGTAAGGGACTAATTTTGTTGATCATCTTTTTATTTCTGAAAGATGTGGTGGCCTAATCCTTGGTTACTTCTCTGTGCTCCTAATTTAAAGACTCTTGTTTGAGCCAAGGCTTTACTTTGACTAAGAACAGAACACAGTTGATCAATGCAAGTCTCAAACAGGGGCATAGCTATGGGGGTTTTTAGCCCCCCCTGCCTTTGTCAGCTACATTTTTGTAAATTTGTGATATGTTATGACACATAAATGTTAGAATTCAGGTTTGCGATATTGGATTACCTTTGATAACATATTGTGTTTTAACAGTTATCCTGACAGCCCTCAAAAGCTATAAACTTGATCAGAAAACCCCTTTTAATTAAATGCTGAAGGAACAGTACAAGTCAAGTTCGACTTAAAAATCCCAAATCCACTGTTTTGTCATGCGCAACAAAACATATTACATCATTGAGTTTAAATGATTTGAATTAACCAATGGGCATGCACCTGAATTTGAACATGAAACTGAAAATGAAACAAAGTCTGTAACTGCGCATGCCAGGGTGTAAGTGCCAACTGAGTTCTTTCAAAGTTTTTTATCAATTCCATAAATGCAGAAAAGTTTGCAACACATTGTTTCATTAATTCCAAAGAGTTGTGGAACACATGTAATTGTACATGTAATTACAGACATGGTTGAATGTGAACTGAAAAAAATATCTTAGTTGTGTAGAGACAGAGGTTCCAGCTTTTCGACCACTTGACCTAATTTTTTGCCCATGACTTACCAAAATTACTCAGTTTAATAACAGTGGTTATTACATACTTTAGGGACCTTACATTAATCTACTTTTTTTTTTACAACATGTAACATTTGCCAGGAAATAATAGCTGAGGGTCATGCAGCTGCTCAGGTCATCAACCAGGTATGATGAGACCCTCTGAGTTATGATAAATCTGTTGTTGTTTCCTGCAACAAGTTTTTAACATCTGCATCCCCTGTGAGGATTCATATTCCAGCCAGATTTAGTTTCAAGGCTGCGCTTTGTATAAATAAGTTGGGCCATATAAGCTTACAATTTGCATCCTAAAATCTAAGAAGTATCTAACAAGTACCCTAAAAGTATGCAAGTTCTCCATACTGTTCTCTACACTCTTCTTATGGTTCTTTAAAGGAGAATTTGTCTAATGATCCAATGCTGCTTGAGATTTCAATTATTTCCTTCATTCTTGTGACTGTAATGTTTGATTCAGGGGTGATACTGTTGGCAGAAATATTAGTTCACTCATTTCAGGCAGTAACTGGTGAACTGGTTAAGTACCCTTATTACTGTTTAAAATGCTATTTGAAAATTCAACAGGTTTGTTACTGGTTTGAAAATTTTTTTACCTGTCATGCTTAAAATAAACACACACTGTTTACATCATAATCTTTTACTTTGATTTTTGACCCTTAACTCTCAGTGATTATTATGTTACATCTCTCTGTAATATCCTCGCATTATCCAGCAAACAGGTAGTGAAAATAATCAAACTTATAAGTTAGAAGTTGTTATCTGGATCTAACACCAAATTCTTGGAAATGTGAAGTAGTTCAATGGGAGAATTTACAATCAGACCTTGGGTTTATTACCCTCCTGAACCCAGCAATGTCTTCCAAAGTCAAAAGAATTAACAGAAGGGTTTGTTTCCAACCAACCAGGTTCATGACAGAATTATTGAAATGGCTGAGTTAAACGACCATCAAAAATCTGCCATTATGGAAAAAATAGCTGTAAGTACTTTAAGATTTTCTGAAAACTTTATCATTCTTTAACTAATTCCAGTTCCATGCTTGAAATTTTGTGATCGCCTAAATTTATTGTATAACTTAGACTTGCCTAACTTTGTAACTAACTTTTGCATTTCTTCGCCCACGGGAAAGTCACGTAGACCTTTAGCAACGCAAGGGGGTGAGAGGTTTGCACACCTCTCCTCGACTTGACTCCAATCTTCCCTCGGGCGGAAAAACGCGCGTCCTGCAGTGCTCATGGCGAGGGCCTGTTAGCAGGCTAGAGAGAAGGTGAATTCTGGGTTCTTGTGTAGTTCCAAAAAAACATCACAGTCGCTTTGCCGTCGTCGTGGTGGCTCATTCGACTCCTCATAGATAAAGGTTTTTACGGTAATATTTACCATTCCCTGTAACAACACACGTTACAGTTTTTACTTTTTTTTTTAGATCGTCGACAAATGTCTTTGTGATGGAGCTGATGAATATTTGCAAATTTTAAGCTTGTGTTCCGTCATGATGCAACAGTTTTGCCATGCTGGACAAACATGAAAAGGTCAGAAAGGAAAAGTTGGAACGGAAACATTCCCATCGTTGGTCGCCATACCGTTTCAGTTGTCTTGTGTAAATTACTAGTAAAAGGTTTACCCAATTAAAACAGCTATACAATTCTTAGCCGCACCTCTGAATAGTTATTGACTTAATATAAATCTCGGATTGAGATCTTTAAAAAGGGTCGCCCAAGTTTGTCGGCGAAGTGTCAAACGATGTCGGCAAAATGAAAGACTACGTTTTCGAAGTGACCGGTTTATGGGCGAGTTGACTAAAGTCAACTATCGGCGAGTTGACATATCAGGGAAGTGACCGGGTACCGTATAAACGGGCCCATAGAAACACGCTTGATTCGGCTCAGTAGAGTGTTCCTTTTCTGTTGCTTACAAAGCGAGTGCAGGGTCACGCTGATTGCCTGTCAATTACACTCTTGTCACATCGCCAGTTTCATTGGATATCTCTGATTTGACTATTAGGCCAATTGCTTGCCCATAATTGTGTTCTCTACTGTTGCTCAACCACTACTTATTTGAAAAAAATATTTAATAAAAACTAGTCAAGGTACTCTCAGTCGTATTTCTTTCCTAAGTATGTCGAAATTGGGTCGTAAGGAAACATGGGTCACACAATAAACTCATTTGGTGGGTCATCTCTAGATTGCGCACTGCGAACATTTTATTCTGGCAAAAAATTGGTATGACAACACTTTGACTTGTAACATAACGGTTCTGTAATTCATGCAATGAACATAATACTTAAGGTTATCCGTTAAAATATACACAAGTACACAAGAAAACAGGACTTACACTTATTTTATATCAAGTGTGCACCCACAAGTCAAAGTTTTACATTTTTTTTCTCATAGTGCGGTACAGAAGAACCCCGCAAACTCGAACTCAGTTAATTCTTACCTCAGGTTAACACGAACAAGATCCAATTTCCCTAGTGTTTGACCCCAATTTTTTCAGTTATAAGCTGTCAGCTAACTCGACAGTCAGTTTCCTCAAAATAATTTTACTTTCCCTCAGCTCAAATATGGGTCACTACCACTTTTTATAAGTATGGGACTTCGCTGCACGATGCGAGCTCCGCTATAAGTTTGTGCACGGAACCAAACGAAAGGAAATGGTTAACCTTATCGAAACCTAACGTGCAAGAAAATATCACATTTTGATTGAATGAAATCAAATGGAAATAACCAAGTGGATGTGCTTATCGCTCCTTGGCTTGATATTACATTGCGAGCACGATGGAGTTTGAGATTAGTTTTTGATCGGTCGCTGAGAAAGACTAATAGATGCTAAGTGTGTTATCTGCTTGAGACAAATTCGAGGCATACGACTGGTTATTTTAAGTTTCCTAATGATATAAAAAGAAATGCAGACTTTCAGGGAATGGAACGCTCTGGGAATTCTTCATATTGCTCTTGTCCATTCCATGTGAAGCACTTTGAAAGGTTTATTCAAAACAGAAAACAAAATTTGATTTTGAGTCATTTTATCAATATTGGTCTCGTTCAGATAATTCGTTGTTTTGAATAGTTTACCCCATTGTTTCTTGTGCTAAGTATAATTATTTACAAGATTATTTTCGAGGCTCAAGCACAGGAATATTTGCTTTAGTTTTCTTTTCCCAATAAAGCTTTCTCTAAAGTTGAGATGATTGGAGCGACTTGTGCGCCGATCAATTTGAAGCTTCAACATCCCCCTGGCAACCCACTGACATTGACCATCTTCCGTGCCCAGTGGTAGGGAATTTTAACCTTGCCTGGCTGGTGTAAGGGTATTTGAACCGGTGTGAGGAAATTTGAACCGGTAGTGACAAGTCTTTCCGCGGAATAAAAGTTTTATATTTTTAAATATGGAGGTGCTCCAGGTAAATAGTCCACTTTCGCAAGCGAATGGCTCAGAAAAAAGATCTACAAGGTCTACGTTTTGAAGCTTGGTCAATATGTAGCAAGCCACGCAGCAAGCTGATTCTGCATTTTGCAAAAAAAAAATTGGGTGGGGCATTTGAATACAATTTTTGCCCTAGGTGGAGGGAATTTGAACAAAACAATCTTCAAAAGATCAAATGCCCGGGGGATTGCCCGAAGGGGAGGGTAAGTTTGAAGCTTCGAATTAATCGACGCCCTAAGCAAAGATAAGACAATGCAAGGCGTCTAAAGTTTCTAGAGTGGGTTTTAAAATAATGCTAATAGTAAAAGAACGCGGTTCAAATAGGAAGTATGTTACCAGAAATTACACTCCAAAAAATTACAATCATCAAGGAAATGATAATGAAATTTTTCTCTCAATCAACACCCCTGCTATTCAAACATCTCCGCACGCAGTATTTTTTGAAAAACGTATGAAAAACCAAGTGACTAAATCGAATGTTGCGTTATGATAAAAAATACACCTAACTTGGGTTTACTGAATGATACTAATTTCTCTAGCAGTGTCATAATTTTGTTACTTCAGTTTTAGCCGTCGTGTTGGAAAATGTAACAAGGCAGTATTATTGAAACAGGGAAGGAAAGACGAAAATGTAACAGTTATTTAATGCTCAATAACCAGCCCGCTGTAGAGAAAAATTCAGCAATCTAACCAACACTTATCTAATATTTTAAGTCAATTTTGCAATTCCAAATTGATAAACACAAAGGTTTTTTCGGGTTGTTTTGCAATCTCACATCTGAATAGTTCTATGTTGAAAGACACACTGAAGTGAAAAATTCTCAGAGCATAGTAAGTGAATAAAACAAGTAAACACAAACATACATGGAGCACTTTTCAATCAAGTGTCAGAAAAACAAAAACTAAGGTAATCACAAAGGCCAATCAGAATAGAGGAAGGTATCTTTAAGAGCCAATGAGAACTCAAAGTAAAACCGACCAAACTGCCTACAGCGCGGGCACGTGGGCAACCAAATCGTGATTGGTTCAGTTTTGCATATGATTGGTCGTGAGGGTGACGCAAGTTTTCTGGACCAATCAAAAAGCGGCCACATTACTTTCGACATTCAATTAAAAAATTGCTCTAAACAATCAAATAACACGCTTTCAACATTTTTTCATAAGTCCTAATCTTAGTACAGTGTTAACTTAGGTTTCTTGTCATCAGCAAAATAAAATGTACTGACAGAAAAGGAAATTAAGAATCACTTTTTCTCTGCTGGAGTTGGCATGGCCAGGAGCTGTGAAAGCTTTTGCTGCAAGAAAAATAAATATTGCAACGTGTTTGTAAGTACTTTCACAACAACCAACCAGTGCGAGGCGCGGGAAAAAAATCATGGCTACGGTTTAGAAAACAACCAATCAGTGCGAAGCGCGGGAAAAAATCATGGCTACGCTTCAGAAAACAACCAATCAGTGCGAAGCGCGGTTAGGCGGAGAATACAAACGTTGGGAAGAGCGGGAATGCGAAAGAGCTTTACAAAATGCGGGAAAACACACAAACAGTGGGACGAGCAGGAAGGCATGTACCAAGTACTAGAAGAGGGGAAAACTGGGATACGTGCTATAAATAAGAAGCTCGGAAACGTATGCAACTAATGCCAACCCCCTAGCGCGGGGAAACTTAAGCTAAAAAAGAAAATATTATACGAAAGTCAAAATGCCTAAAGTAGTTTCACTTCTGAGTTGATAACGTAAATTGGTCACCGTAAAGAGTTGCAAAGCTGAAGTTTCGAGCGTTAGCCCTTTGTCAGAGCGAATGGAGGAATTGTGGGTTGTGTGTGTGTGTGTTTTATATGCAGCGGAGCTCCATTTTCTGCACAGAAACACACACAACCCACAATTCCTCTATTCTCTCTGACGAATCATCAGCTTTGCAATTCTTTACAGTGGCTAATTTACGTTATCAACTCAGTTGATAATACCACATTACCCTGTTACACTCTCCCACCGACGCAGCATCACAATTTCTTTATAAACTAACACCACTTTTCGCTGAGGAATTTAACTTGACTCTAAAGAGAGTACCTGTACACAAGTATATGCACACACCTGCAATAATTCCACATTCTTCCTTGCGGCGTCGTTCAGAATCGTCGATTGCGACGGGCTCAGGTGAGAGGTGGGATTAAGTTGAATCCTCTAGGAAAGATGTTTGAAATGACAATAACAGTTACAAGAGGAGAAAAGGTCAACATGAAAATCTGATCTTACCTTTTACAAAATATTGATTGTCAATACAGCGCTTTGGTGGGGCATTTGAACAATATTTTGGCCCCGGGGAGGGTCATCACCCAGGAAGATGTTGAAACTTCAACTAATAAACGCATAACCTTCAAAGCCTTTACTGACGATTGATTCGCGAGATAACCATACATGTACATTAATAGACCGGAACAAGTCAGAGACAACTTCCGCACAGTCTCAACATTTGACTGATGAATATTGTCGTAATCAGTAAAATTAACAGGGAACTGACCAATGAGCTCATACACTCTCTTTGGACTGAGTTTTTATCAAGAATGGTCTCACTTAACTGACCAGGGTACATGTAGTAACCGAAATGACATTACTGCAGAACTCTTACCCGTCCGTTACCAAGGGAAATAGAAAGCTGCGGTGTGTTTGGGGCTGGAGCGCTATTAACAATGGGCGATCCGTTCAGAGACATGATACTGAAAAAAAGAATTTTGATCAATGCTCAATACAAAGTACTAAGAACAATATCCGTACATACAGTTCTGTAACACTACAATTGTCCCTTAATTCATGATTATACCACTGAGTGTTTGACACCATGTTTTCGTATTTTTTATTGGCTAAAGAGCAATAGAAATAACTGACAGAGGTAAAAGAAAAAAGAATTTGTCTAAAGGCGCCTTTTTCTTCATTTTCAGTGGCATAAATAATAAGTTCTATTTACATAAACATGTAACGTGTTTGTTCAGGTAATTTCACATTATTGGCTCTACAGTACCTACCTTTCACCAACTTTTGGTTCTCGCAGCAAGGCAGGAGTCACTGGTAACCTTTAAACATATGGAACAAAAGGATCACAATGGCTTCATTGATTTAATCCTCTATACCTTAACATCAGTACATATTCAATATTCTGTTCTCCATGCATTTCCCAAGGTTTAACAAGGATAATTTGTTTAAAAATCATGAGCTTCTTTAGCTGGTGATTATTTCCTTTAATCTCACAGAGGTTTCAAAACAAGCCAGCAACTGCTAGAGTTCTGCCACCTACCCTAACATGTCACTTGTTCCTCAGGTCAAAATAATTACCTTAACCCTTTACCTCCCATGATTGACCAAGACAGAATTTCTCCTTACAATACCAACACAACATCAACCAGATAAGTGATGAGAATAAAGAAAAATATCAATTTGGAGATAATTAGTTGATCCAATACTAAATTCTCAGAACTAACATTATGAGAATTGTATGGTTGACAGTAAGGAGAAATGACAAATTTGATCTGGAGTTAAGGGTTAATGCACTTTTCACAGTCATCTACTTTAGCAGAGTCTGATTCCTGCTTTGAATCAATTTTGAAACCCCTGTCTCATGACCTTCATGTTTGAATCAGGGGTGATATTGTAGGAGAAATTAGATGCTAGTCACTCTTACAGGTTGAAAGGTTAAGTGCCACATGAATGCTGGAAAACCCCCACTGCTAAATAGAGCATCAAAACAAACTTAGAATACAATGTACCATTCAAGTATGTTGAGTAAAAATTTTATGTATAAACTAACCGTGGGTCAAACTTTGGTGTCACCATTGGTGTGTTGCTGTAAGGAATTCCCCTCACTGCTGGTGTTGCAAAGTGAGCTTTGGGTTGTATCCTTTTGCTAATAATACAGAACCATACCATGAAATTACAAAATAATACTATTTATCAATATATTGACTGAGTGAAAGGGAAAATATCTGGCTCCAGGTCATGAAACACAGACTGAGGGCAAGCAAGGTCTGTGCATCATGAAGGATAGCCAAATATTTACCTGACCAGTCCAACCAAACTCAGTCAATAACTATTTTAATACATTGAGTCACCAACAAATCTACCAAAGCATTCTGTAATTGTTTGCACTTGATCAATCATTGGTTGTTTGAGTTTGCATATTAGGACAGAACTGTCCACAAACATTGAAAAAAAATTGTCAGGCATACTTACCTTGTGCGTTTCCCAGTAGAAGGTGGTGCAACTGTAATGCTATCTTTTGTTTTGCGAGTCTTGGCTGATCTTGTGTTCTTATCCACTGTGCTAGGAGACATGTCTTTTCTCTATTGAGGAATGATGCATCAGACAGTCATTTTACTTTTGGATGTATTCAAAATAAAGTATTCATACTGTACATGTGTGTATTCCAATTCATTGTTCATATAACATGTTGCAATCTCTTTCAACTTTTTAAATGCTTTTGAATTTAACTAAAGGCTCATTGTCATATTTTGATAAACTCTCTTAGGGGATCCCTAAGAATGGCTAACATCTAAATTCTCTTTAGAACATCACCCCTGAGACACACATTAAGGAAATGAACACCAACTAAAGGTGCTCTTGCTTGTTATAAACAAATTCTCCTAGTCAGCACCACAAGAAATGTATAGAGAACAGCATGGAAAATAAGCATACTGATATGATGACCATAGGACATCAAAGTATTGTTTCTTCATGGGATCCATTACAAAGGAAAGCGACAAAAGACTTCCTAATATCTTTTAGTTTACATTTAGTGTTTATACCAAGGTGCTTTCTCATAAACCATCAACTTTTTAATGCAGTAAGGTAATAAGTAGTGCAAGAAATTATTAACTCAGTTGAGGAATTGTTGTTTGATTGACTACCAAATTCTTACATCTAAAATAAGAAAAAATGTACGGCAAGCAGTGTAGAGAATCAATATCTAGATCTTGGGGTAAGCTGGTTAAGCTGTCAGGCAAAGCTCTCACAATAATAAGATAAGTACTAAAATTAGCCTCTTTTGACTTCTGAAATACATGTATTAGCTAGGAGTGACATTGGGAGTTTCCTCATAAATTAGTGACTGCATACTCATTTTCACCTTTCTTGGACGCAGTGATCTTGGAGCTGTGGTTGGTTCCAAGAACCCAGGTTCCTGAAAACAAAGTGAAATATTTGAAAGCTACAAAACATCATTGTAATCAGATCCCTAACCCTAACCCTAACCCTTAAGAAGTTTTCTTTAAAGAATTGATTCTACAAAGAGGCAAAATGTACACCTAGTTTTTATTGCTTACAAAGGTCATCTTAAAAAGTTCTTTGATAACAATAATACTGCTAAAACCACCACAAATTTAATGCTGAAATAGTTTATAACAAAACTATAGTAAATGGCAAAGCTCTGTTGATTCCATAAACTCAAGGAAAATGGAATGTTTACATTACAAATTTCTTATCTGCTTTCCTGGGTTAGGTCACCCCTTAGACATTGTGGCAGAAATGGCAAGTTGGGTGAGAGCTAGTTCAATTAAAAAGCTTTGTTTCATGCAGAATAAAAATTTCCACTCACATTTAGTTTCACATTTCCTGTCTGATCCTCACTTTTGACTTTGATTCCTACAAGAAGAGGATTACAAAGCAAAGCTGATGTTGAAAGAAGTTTATATGAGAGCGGAATAAAACACACTCATATAAATCATATACATCACATTGTAACAGTGTGAGCTTGTAGGTTAAGATAGATGCCTTGATCAAGCCTCTGATTTGGACACCTTTTGTGTGTATGTTGCTCTTCAAATTTTTCTCCAAGTTAAATTTTTGCTACCAGTCTAAACTAAATGTTACTATGTCTAATCTATTGTGATGGAATTTAGAGTTTATCTTTACAAGCACAAGGAAACATTATGGAATGACAAAGTGTTCATCAAACATGTACCTGATGGAGTTTTCAATGGCAGGTTTCCAAGTTCAGTGAATGGATCTCTGTGGACAAATAATGCTAAAATTATGTATCATTAGACTAATCTGGTGATCACAAATATCTGTTTAAGAACTGTTGAGTAACTTGAATTGACTAAGAGCAAAAAGAGAAGGTCTGGTGGACACTTGCATGGAGTTGTGAGCATCTCTACTTTATACCTTGTAGTAGCTTTTGTTGTAGGTTGTAGAACTGATCTTGTCATTTCAGTTACAAGTTTAGAAGCCTGTAAAATCAAGCAATAATAAGAGATGTTGAATTATAAATGTTGAGTGAAAGCGTCTCTTTCCATTTTCAGTTATTACATATTTCATAAACATAGTGCATACATTCTTACACATGTTTTTGACAAAAATACAAAATGGTTAGAGTCTGTTCTTCCTATGACCTGATTATTCAAGATGCTTGAGTGTTATTCAAAAGAAGCTTAAGATAGTTCCTTATTCATTGATAAATTATTGTTAGTATTAACATTACCTCATTTAGAGCAGTTTCATTCACCTCACCACCCTGAGCTAAAAAGAGATTGAAGACAGGTGTGTAAACATAACAGAATAAAGTGGACTGGTACTAATAATTGGGAGCATCATAGCTGGATAGTTGTCAGGGCACAGTGGTTTACTCTCAATTACCATTTACCCATAGCTTGTGAGCAGGCTCTCATTATTGGAGTTTTTGCATGAGTGTCTCTTCCCTCCTAGTAAAATATTAGGCCTTGAGCATCCCTAGCCAGCAAGAAGTCTGTAAAGAGTCTAGCACTGATAGTGAGTTCCACACCCTCTGCAAAACCTCTCCTGGACTCATGAATAAAGAGGGTAGTTTCAAAAGAAACTGTGGTGCCAGGTCAGAAGGAGAGTATAACAAGGTAATTTGGTACTATCAACAGAGTTGTTAACATAAATTGGCCACTGTTAAGAGTTTGAAAGCTGATGTTTTGAGCATTAGCCCTTTGTCACTTGCTCCGACAAAGGGCTAATACCCAAAATGTCAGCTTTTAAACTCTTAACGGTGACTAATTTACATTATCAGCTCAGTTGATAATACCAAATTACCTCTTCCTGACTCATCTCAAATGTTCCCACTGGCAGAGAAAAGTGTGTCCCAAATCAGTAATAATGAGAACCTGCTAACAGATTGTGTCTGCAAGGTATCAATGAAGGTGGATCTAACTTGCATTGGGCTTTTGCAGCCCATCCAGGAAAAAAAATGGATACTCCAAGTGACAATTGCAGATAGTTATAATGCAAAAGTTTTAATTGATTTGTCATGTGATGTCATTCAATCCTTTATAATGAGTTTCCTGGAATGAATACTGTACTGATCTCAATGAACATCTATAGTACATACACATTCATCAAGACCCTTAGTAAGAGGTACACACTTCATGATGTACAAAATCTTTCCTAAAGCAGCCACTATTTGGTCTTAATCTTGCAACAAGCTTTCTCCTCAAGTTTGATTGCAAGATCACACAGCCAATGCAAAGGCAACTAACTTCTTCTCAATGAAGTACTTAAGACAAACTATTACTGCTAGCTGACAGCAACCCATTTTTAACAATGTTCCATAAATAGAGCTCTACAATTTCCAGTCACATACCTCGATAATCACTCAGCTTCATCTTTCTAATGTTCTATATAAATAAGATCAAAAGTTGACAGCATTTTAAATGCAATTCAACAAGTCAATTGGTCTGATCACATTGTTAATGACAAAAACTACATCCACATTTGTTAAAAGTTTCAAAGTACTGGTCTTTAAATAATATTTTGTAATGCAAATTTTGCAATGGGAAGCAAGTAAAGCTTGGAGTTGATTATTGAAACAACTACAAGTTAAAGTAAAGGAAGATAAGCCTCCAAGTGTATTTGAAAAAAATCTGAGAATTTCATTTAAGCAACATGTCACACATCATTACTCATAATAACACACATTGTTGTCTAATGAGGGCAATTACCGGTAACTATCCTGTAATTCAACCAATTTGAACCAAAGATGAAATTCTTAAACACACAGTATTCTTAAGTAAATTTTTCTTGTTTTTTGCTTTCAAAATTACTGGTCCTCTTGACTCCTCAAACATACATGCACCTCAGCTAGTTAGGAACCTACCATTGGAAGTTTCAAGATCTCCAAAGAAAAAGCTCCTTTCACTTTACAGATCATGTCATAACCCCTGGCTTTCATCTTTTCCACTCTCTCTTGAACTACATGTGAACAAGCATGGGAAATAATACAACAAACTGCAATCAGGTCCAAGTCATTTATTGGCAGAACACATTCCAAAGAGTTATGATTTAGTGACATATATATGGTGGCAAGTTTGAGTAAAAAAATTATATTTTCAAGACATATAAAATGAAATCTGGAGCTTATTTCAGCTATGATTCTTACATATAAACTGGGCAAAAATTTAACTTAGCTTCAGAAAACGTATCGTTCACTTTAGAAAGCCACACCAGCACCATAACATTGCCGGTTTAATAGTTATTAATGCGATCACTTCGATTCTATAAAAGTTTCAGTTGAAATAACATAACAACTTAATTTAAGTGTCCATGTCTTTTACTTAAAAAGCTAATTGGGGAATTTAAAATAATAGGGGAAAAAATGATAAAATGAGTTAATACATGGTATCACCAGATAAATTCATAATTCACTAAAATCTAAAATTTATAAAAAGTTAAAATTTAAAAGTTAAAAGTAACGGAGCTATCCCCCACCAAAATATACATAAAAATGCTAAATACGTTTCTTAAATTCTCAAGAACTACAAATAAGACAGCAGCCACAATTTTCAGTTATAGGATCTACAAGATTAAACCGCTGTATTTTGGACTTAAAGGATTGTGAGGTACGTTTGTCCGTGATTTTGCCGTTCAGTTTATAACATTTATATATGGTCCAAAGTACCTTAAAGAATGTTTCCCGTAATGTACATTATTAAAATATAGTTTTAAGCTGAATTATAAGTAAGTTTACCACATGTTCGTCAAAAAATAAAACAGTTAGCTTTACAATATCTGTACCTTGCATGTTTAAATCTTTCAAATAAATATCCAACTTTGCTTTGCGTTCATCGATGCTCATTGAAGAGTCGAGATCGCCCTCTGGAAGCACCGGCCGCATACGACTAGTTTGATTCTTTCTCGCCTTTTTTCTACGCGGCATCTTCTCTATTTTTCAAGAAAATAAGAGAAGCTGAAACCAAAATGATAAACAATAACTGATACAAATTTCGAAAAGACGCCTGCGAATCTGTTAAATTTTGAAACTTGCGCCTTTCAGTGGCTGCTAGGTTACAAAGCCACTTGTGCGAGGCTACAAAGCTACTTTGCGAGGCTACCAAGTTTTATTCGCAGCCATTTTACAATTCACTGTTAGTCAGGAAAGAACTTTTGAGATTCCCTTTATTTTCCCGATAGAATGACTTTATTTCATTTCGGAAATTGTGTGGCTTTAGCGTACTTTCCTTATTTTATTGTCTACAAGTGTTCTGGACTGTAAGTTGGTGGAGTTTTGTGTATGATTTGGCGTGTTCAACGATTCGAAAATTTTTATCTCACACTGAGTTATCGTGTTTCTTGAGATTGTTGGAACGATCAGTTTTTATCTTGTACTGTTTCTTATTGTAGGTCAGAGTACAGTGCATTTTGGAGATGTGTGAAGGCAGGGGCTGCGTACCTCGTAACACAACTTTGTAAGGTAAAAACCGATTCTTCTAGAGTTGAATGATTCAACCTTGCTTTTAAAATTTAATTAATACATGTGAGTAGCAGTCAAAATATGGCACACCTTTATTTAGCTTACCAGTGGCTATAAATCGGTAATCTTCATTTATACATAAAATTTTGTTGTAACAAGGAGATATTTTATGCACTGAGAGCGCCATCACCTATCGATCATGATGACGAGACTTAAGTCACGCGACTTATAATTAGTTTTGCCAGTTTGCGTGTATGTGCTTATACAGGACAATTAAAAATCGAAATATCTTATCGAAAGAAAATTCTTCAAATGAATTTGAGATTCGGCATTTCTATTGATTTGATGTTGTATGACCTAAAATCAGTTCTTAACCCTCATTCCCAAGATCTCATTAGTTATTATCCTTGCTGTCTACCATAAAAGTCTCATAATGTTGGTTTAGAGAATTTGGTATTGGGTCAACTAATAATCCTCTGAGTGGTTTTTTTTTTCATTCTCATCAGTTGTATGCTTGATATTGTAAGGAGAAGTTCTGTCTTGGTCACTCCTGGGAGTTAAAGATTCACCTATAATTTGTTTTGTTTTTAATATTCTTAAAATAAAAAATTTCAGTTTTAAATTTAAGCTGTCTGATTGAGGAAATTCAGAGTGACTTTATGAACTTGCCAGATTTGTGCACATTTTATGCACTTAGCATCCACAAAATTTAAAATGTTGTCTGTCATGCCCAGGTGGATTCAGCACAGTTTGAGGTGTATTTGGGTTTCAAAATTTGTCAATCTAACAGTGTTTTTTGAGAGATTTTGGCATGAAGTAGAGTGTCTCTGTGAATGAGTTGACACTGTAGTTGTAGTGTTAGTTTTTTTAACCTTAATTGGTCTTTATACCAAAAAGCTACATGCTTTCAAGTTGTGAAAACATATTCTAGTCTGTGTCCAGTTTTTTGTGATACAGTATAATGTGGGAGTTTGACAAGCCAGAAAAGTTTTAAGAAAGAAGAGGAATAAAAAAGGTTTAAAATACCTGTTGATAGAACAGAGACAGGATAAAAGTGACAAAATCAAACAATAAACAATTAAGGGAACAAGAACGGAACAGTCTGCAGTCTACATGTATGTGTAAATCTGGCTTTTTCTGTCATAATTATTTCCTGACTGTGTATTTTTTTTTTACAGATGTTGGTATTAGCAACTTTCTTTCCCACATCAGATGTTTCTGCAGGTCATATCGACTTTATAGGGGTAGGTCAGCATTAATGCTATAGTACTGTATAGGAAACATTATAGAGGATTTGCTCAAATGTATCAGAAGCATAAGTTGCAAAACATAAAGAACTACACTTTTGTAACTTTCTATTTTCCTGTTTTACATAGCTTAACTATTCTTTGCACACAAGAAATATTTATACTGAGTGTCATTTAACTTAACCTAAAGTGATCACATCAATTGATTAAACAGAAGAAATGCTATAGCTATATATATTTGTTAGTGGTTGAATGGAGAGATTTCCAGTTATTAGAGCTTAACTTTTTTATTCTATTTCCTCTTTCAGGAATTTCTTAGATCCACAGTTGACTTTGCAGATCTTGTTGGCCTTCATTTAGTTATGACTAAAATTGCTGGCAAAGGTGAATTGAAGGTTTTAGTGGCTGGTGTTGGTAAGTTGTAGAATCTTCTTAAATTTTTATAAGGCAATGTGGAGTACATTCAGCACATATCAGCTTTTATTTGGAGAATTAACGATCTTTGAGATTCATGTGCAAGATATTTCTGTTGCTATTACAGTACATGTATGCATTTCAATATAAAGAATTTAAAATTTGTGGTATTGACCATGTGCCACATGTTGTGCATTTTATGAACTCAGCAGAAAACAAAGAACAGCAAAAGTAAGTTCTTTTGAATGATCAAGCTTGTTTGATTCATGATCACATTAAAGAATGGCAAAAACCAGGTTGAGGCAAGATTTATTTTAAAGAACAAAGCAGTAGTTAAGACATTGTAGGCTCACTTTACCTGCTGAGACAGCCAATGGGAGCACACCATTTCCTTGATTTTGTTTACCTACAGGGTCAACCATAGAATTATTAATAAAAGTTGTTCATTGAAGAATGTCTTGGTATTATGACATGTACATCCATGTAGCACTGGTTTTGGAGGTTACATGCATGTGCTTGTAGTATTGTGGTATGGATCCACAGTCAAACAACATGATTTGGGTCTTTTTTTTCTTTGATTTATGTATTTATTATTGTTGTTGTGATTGTTTTTTTTTTAGGTTGGGCTACAGCTGAGCTTGTGATGACTCGTCTCCTTCCCTTGTGGGTCGGTGCAAGAGGGGTTGAATTTGACTGGAAATACATACAAATGAGTTTTGATGCTAACGTCAGCTTGGTAAGGGTTGATTAACTACACACATACAAACATGTCGGACTTGGTCAGACTTTGTAAAAGAAAAATCTAACCATTAAATACAATGTAGAACAGATATATTAAAATTTTGTCTTCAGTCTGTCAAAGAACTGTTCTTTCAGGTTTATGAGTTATGTTAAAATCCTAATAATTCCTGTCTTCCATAACAACATTTTAATTTTGTACTCAGAACCATGCTGCATTGTTCTGTTTTTTGTAGTGTTACCAGTCAGTTTACTTCTTTCTTTTTCTTTTTTTGTATTTATTTTCCTATGTATTTTAATTTATTGTATGTATACTGTAACTTTTTCCTCAATGTGTATTTAGCTGTATTAGTCTTGTATGTAATGAGTTGTATTATGAAACAAAGCTGTAAGTTAAAAAAAATAGAACACACAAACATCTGAAGCTTCAATTAACCCTTAACTCCCATGAGTGACCAAGACAGAATTTCTCCTCACAATATCAATACAATATCAACTAGATAGGTGATGAGAGTAAAGAAAAATATCAATTTGGGGATAATTAGTGGATCCAATACTAAATTCTCTCAACTAACATTGCAAGAATTGTGTGGTTGACAGTGAGGAGAATGACAAATTTGATCTGGGAGTTAAAGGGTTAAGATTTCTATTTACTCGAAATTTTAACAACAGTCATATTGTATTCAAACACAATGTATTTATCTCTTGAGTCTACATGTGTGCACATTCATGGCAGCAATTAACTAATGTATGTACTTTTTCATCATTTCAGATTCAGCATATATCTACAGCAGCTCTTGTGTGGTTATGGAGCAGGACAGATCTGCAGAAATCCTTCCTGCCAATAGTTATGGTTTTCATGTCTCTAACATGCTATAGGCCTCTTCTTATTGAGTAAGCATCTGTGTGTATTAGTGTGTGTTTGTTATAACATATGCTCACTTTCATAATTTTTTTTCTTAATCACAATCATTTATCTATGATTATTGCACTTCACAATGTATCTTCTCTGCTTTAGTACAGCCTTGAGCTTTCCTTCTTTCATATTTTACCTAATGCATTTATTTTGTTTATTTGCTGGAATTTATTTATTCATAATTTTAGTTGTTAATTATTAGTTATTGAGCTTTGTCTTTCTGAAACTTCAAAAGTACACTGTACAACTGAAGGTGACATGATGTGTATATGCATACATTGTGGTCTGTTTCTAAAACAACACTTGTTCAATGTATTTAAAAAATAAACTACATTTTGTACATCTTATTATAAGCCTGTGAGCCCCTTAAGACTGACTAGCATCTGATTTTTCCTTATAATATCTTCCCTGAATCACACATTAAGGTCACTAGAATAAAGGAAATGATCACCAACTAAAGAAGCTCTTGATTGTTAAACAAATTCTCCTTGTTAGCAATTAGGAAATGTATAGAGAACAGAATAGAGAATATGCATACTGCTTTTTAGGTCTAAAGTGTTAATTTAAGGAGAATTATCCATTTGTTTTGTTTTTTTCTCAGTGTTTTGAGCCATGTAATGGGAATCCAATCCTGGAGCTTGCTGCTATTAAAAACAACTTTCACCTCCTGCATTGGACTTGTTGCACTTCAACTGTACCTGACACTAACTGCTGGGAAACAGATCAGGACTTAAAGAGCTTCTATGTACAGTCAATCCTTAAATAAGTGCCGATCCTATCAACCATGTCATATAATATATTCTACAAAAATAACCAAACAGTGAAATGGTCTCAAATTTTTGTTTCACTGACACAATTGTGTTCTTTGATGAATCCTATCAAGGCCTTAGATTTGTCACACATAATCAGTAAGGGAGCAATCCAAATTATTTCCAGATGTGAGGCACTATTTCATCATTCTCTATGGACTGAATTCAGTTACATCTTAACATGTCTTTCATCTAGATTTGAATCTGTCCATTATTTTAAGGCCACAAATGAGTTAGAAACAAGTGACAAAAGGTGGCCAAAAAGGTCATTCAGCCTTTTGATCCTGTATTTCAGTTCTCTTTTAAATTAAGGTACCCATGTTGCTTAATCAAAGAGTTGTAGTTACTGTTACTTGTATTTATTGAAACATTTCAAATGCATAAGTCAGCATAACACCAAATGCATTTAATATCAGGAGTTATCACAACTGTGAATTCAGCTTCTTTAATTAGGCCAGTTACAGGTGTAATATTCTAGTGTTCTTAAGATACTTATTTTCTTGTTTCTCATGTGGAAACTGGACATTGCTTATTTCTATTAAATAACCTCTACCACTCCATTTTGTTTTTGTTTGTCAGTTTTTTTTAGTTTTTTCATGACTATCCAACTGGTTTGTGAATACATTTTTGGTGCATTAAATTAATCATGACAACTTGAAACAAGTGACAAAACCGAATACTTGCGATTACTTTCTGAAGCCTCAGTCAATGATACAAGCAAGTTCCGTGCCATTCCCCTGGAGAAACCCAAGACCAGGGGCAGACCATCCAAATATTACCACCCCCTACTACAGAAAGAGAAGATCCTAGATTCCATTGTTCGTAGAATTCTACCGAAGACCATTGCAGATTCCGTGAGCCCTACAGGTTCCAGATTAGCACATTTATATGGGTTGCCAAAAACCCACAAAGAACCATTGGCTATGAGGCCTATATTATCAGCCACCGACACGTACAACTTTCCCCTTGCTAAATGGCTCGACGAGAAATTGAAGCCCTTGTCCCTTAATCAGTATACAGTTACTGATAATTTTGATTTCACAAAAGAGATTCACGAGCTGAAGATCAACAAGGGTGAAATCTTGGTTTCGTATGATGTCTCCTCGTTATTCACGAACGTGCCTTTGGACGAAACAATAGAGATCTTGGTTAACAGAGCCTTTTCGAACAATTGGTTCAATACTACCCACAATCTTGCCCTTACCAGAACAGATCTTATTGACCTCCTAAACGTAGCCACCAAAGGCCAACTATTTCAATTTAACGGAGCTCTATACGAACAGACAGATGGCGTTGCTATGGGGTCCCCTCTCGGGCCCTTATTAGCAAACGTCTTCATGTCATCCATCGAAGATACCCTTGAGCGACAAAGAAAACTTCCATCCTATTATCGTCGATATGTTGATGATACACTCACTGTAATGCCTGATCTAGCAACAGCAACTACCTTCTTGCATACCCTCAACAGCGCCCACACTTCGGTCAAATTCACCATGGAGGTGGAGAAGAACAGCAAGCTTCCTTTCCTTGGCACCGAACTACTCAACCATGCACCTCGGATTGAAACCAAGGTATATGTGAAACCAACAAACACGGGCCTACTATTACACTACCAAAGCCATGTAGACAATCGCTACAAACGGAGCTTGCTGAAAACTATGCTGGATCGCGCACACCGATTATCTTCCTCCTGGGCCCATTTCTCTGATGAGTGTGATCGCCTAAAGAAAGTTTTCGCACGGCTTAAATACCCGGGGCGCCTGGTAAATTCTACCATTAACACCTTCTTACAATCAAGAATTGTTGGTACGCAGCCCACACAGACGCCCAAAGAACCAATATCCATTGTTCGTGTGGTCATACCTTTCAAAGATCAAGAATCAGCAAATTATGTTAAGAAAGAGCTCAAGAATCTTAGCATGAAGGTGCAGACAACTGTCCAGCCAGTATTTGTTAGCCGCAAAGTAAGCCAAGATCTTAAAGTACGAGAAATCAAGCCACAGATTGTCAACCAACAACGCGTCGTTTATCAATTTCAATGTGACCTGTGTGATGCGGGTTATGTGGGCTATACACGCGGACACTTACACACACGCGTGGATGGACATAAACGAAAGGCATCTTCAATATATAAACACTACCACGAACAGCACAGCGAAGTCCCGAAAGACCTACTGAAACGTTTTAGCATTCTGAAAAAGTGTAGTAACAAGTTCGATTGTTTGGTGAACGAAATGCTTTTCATCAGAGACTTAAAACCCACTCTGAACGTGCAAAGCGATTCAATTCGCGCAAAAGTATTTGTTTAATTAGCTCGTAACATATTTATGCTAATTTAATGTTACACTTTGCCACAAACTTCATTTTTTATTTCTCCTTGACAATGGCGTCATGATGACACCGAAACGTCGGTTTTTATCGTTAGTTTTTGCTAGTCTTTGCATTTCTAAATCCTTATTGATAAGAACTTGAATGTTAAGTAAATTTTATCCTCCTCAGAACTCTCTAGACTTCTTCACTGAGTTAAATAAATGTGAAACAAGGAAACATTTTTACCCCTTTCACCTTCTTTCTTTCCTAGTCTTTCAACTCTTGAATTTTTGTCTCCTTGGGTTGTAAACTGAAGAAAGATACTGTAAACGTTACAAAATCTTTTCACTGTCAGGCATTGTGGCACATTTTGTGGGCTCAAAGGGAGCAAATTTGGTGGGCTTAAATGTATTTCAGCCCACTTTCACAATTGTTCAGACTGTTTGTAGTCATTCTTTTCAGTTTTTACTTTCCCAGTGCCCTCAAACTAATAATAATGGTAATACAGTGGCTCAGGCTTACATGATTCTGATACAGGTACAAAATATGTTTCTGCCCAAGAAGATATTGACTATTGCTTTACTAGCCATCAAGACTATACTAGCCAACTAATGTTTCACTGGAGTATCTGGAGAGTTCCACAACGGGCCTTTTGATCCAACCATTCTAGCTCAAAACAGTAATCCCAACATTTAAAGAGCCTTTTTGGGGACTTAACAATATTTATCTTCTGTGTTTTGCAGGCTTTTCCGGTCAATTCAAACTTGGCCTTTGCTATGGTAAATTATTATTGTGCCTCTTACAGTCAAGAGAGGGTTAATTCTTGCATACATGCAAGTTAGACTTAAAGTTTAGAGGTCCATCAGTTTAGTGCAACTGTCAATCAGCATTAACCCTTTAAACCCTAAGAAAAACCAGCATCAAGTTTCTCCTTACAATAATACTGCTGAATCATTCATTTAAGATCATGTGAATAAGGGAAATGATCACCAACTAAAGAAGCTCTCAATTGTTAAACAAATTCTCCTTGTCAGCACATTAGGAAATGTAAAGCTAACAGTATGGAGAATAAAAATACTTGTTTTAAGGTGGAAAGAGTTAAAGAGTCCAATTCTGGAAAAAAGAACATCTCTTATCTGGCATTTCAAACAATTCAAGAGAGCGACCTGACTTTTTGTGCTAATTTTGTCTGGAAAATTTGAGACCTTGCTTCTTTAATATACTGATTCTAGTCATAATAGAAAACAACTCACAGCAGACAGGAATGTGGCTGGGTCAGTGGAAGAAAAGTGAGAGTGGTGGCAAGAAAAGCACTTGGGCCCATTCCACTGTGTGATACTTTCATTGTGAAATGACTATCACACAACTCACATAATAACATAGCTAGTAAATTTGTCTAATCAAATTCAATTATGTGAGCATGCTTCATGTTCCTATTGTGCACACTCATGACGTCAGCAAACAAATCCCTTGAGAAAAAAATTTTCCATTGGGTTGAAAATGTTATAAAACAATTGGTTCATACATCAGCTGTGTGTTCATCAAGATATGAAGCACTTGGGAAGTTTGGAGAGCACTCAAGAAGCTAGAGTTGCTCTTGGCTACGCCTCGAGCAACTCTTACGCATCTTTCATGCTCTCCAAACTTCCCATGTGCTTCATATCTCGATGAACACACGCTGACGTAAGAACCAATTGTTAATAAGTACACAGCAATACTGCATACCAAACATCTAATAAGATTTACATGATAATTTGAATTGTACATGAACATGCGTTTTAGTTGGTTCTTTCTTGTGACCTATTGGAGGATAGACACATAGATCATGTCAACACTTGCTTTTTTTTGTCAAATAAAACAAATGCATTCCATGTTGCCATGGGTCTGTAGAAAACGTGCTAAAAATATCAGCAAGACACTTGGCTGTGCCTCGTGTGCCACTTTACAGTTCTTATCAATTTTTTATGTCATCTACAATCCATTACTAAACAGATGTACTAAAACACAGAATCTACAAAATAAAATTACAGTGGGAAGTAATTAGAAAGCAAACTTCTTTTCAGATCTTTCCTATAGGTTAGTAGTGCTTATTAAAAATGCAAAATAATCAGTTAAATCAACACTTTTTGAGATGTGATTTTATTCTAGAGAATTACAGTGATTTAAATGAGCCCCGTTTCATTACAAATAACACACAGAACAAGAGGCACAATCCAAATATCTTCTTGTTGCCTTCAGTTCAACACACTCATCGTACCATCACCGATAAAAAGTTAATCAAAGTACAGTCTCCTGTCTTATGCGCTGGCTTCATCAAAGTCAAACTTTGGAAACTCCTCCAGATTTCCTCCGCCAAATCGCTTTCGTATCTGATCCATCTCTACCTCCATTTTAGCTTTCTTGTCGGGTGTGAAGTCGACCAATTCGTCCCCTGAGGCTGCGCTCTTCTTTTTGTACTCTTGTAACTTCTCCACGAACAGTTTCTGTATGGGATCAACACTCTTGTCCGCTTTTGCCATTAAGACAGATGCCATACCCAGGTTTCTTCTACAAGAGGCCATAAGTGACCCTGCTGTTTGTGAAAGCTGTCGTGTAAAGCGAAAAGCTACCGCCATTTTGTAGATTACGACGCAAAACTCAATATTTCAAAATGGCGAACCCTGTGGAAGAGTGGCCTCGCTTTGAAACGAAGATCATTAGTCACCAGTCCTTCGGCACGTGTAGTAATCTCGGTCAATATGGCGGACGCAGCGCGAGTCGTAAAAGTTGGTTCACGCAAGAGTCAGGTATGTTGGTAGACGCTTAAAAGTTATTACTGTGGCAATAAATTCATTTTTTAGGAGATAAATTTCTTATTTGTGGCGTCTTAAGTCCAAAAACTCGATGTGTTTGTCTTTGTACAGAGATTCTGTATGCTTGAAGTCAAACACTATGAAGTTAAAAATTCTTTCCGGTTCTAGAAAATGTTTAAATTGGGACAAGATTCGATCGATCTCGTGAGTTTTACGCCTAAAAAAAATTTAAACAAAGATATTGATGTAAAAATATGGCACTACAACGTCTAATTAAGTGTATTGGTTTCAACGTACGATTTGAAGATGTATTCGCAACAGATTTTGGTGTTGGGGAAGGGGGTCGGTTAGGGTGTGGCGGGCTGTGATGAAAAGAAAACGGAATAGCTTATTTTCAGTGGTTGTAAGAGTACCTCATAGCATTATTTTAATGAACTATATATACTGTTAGCCGTGTTTTTGTTTGATTGAACAGAACAAGGCCAATATCTGGCCATCGTGACCTCTTGCCAATTTAAATAATAATAATAATAATAATAATAATAAAGACTTTATTTTGTAACACATAATTGCTAATAAAACAGAAATAATTACAATATAAAAACTAGTATAATACAATATAAAAATAGAAACTAATATAATATAATATAATTGCAAGATAAGTAAAGAAACTAAAAAGGAAACTATACACGAAAATGACTTAAAAATTGTTGCTGCGAAAAAATATTAGTCCACATGTTGTGCTTAAAGCACCATATGCTGTCCGCCATCCGTATGCGTAGTGGTATCTCGTGGTATCTGGATACTTATCAGAAGGTAACCAACGTAGACTTTATTTCATGCAGTTTTTTTTATTTACTTTTATAAAGTTGGCTCTTATTCAAACTAATGTCATTGTGGATGAACTGAAGAAGCTTTGGCCAAACACTTCCTTTGAAATTGGTGAGTTTTTCTTTTTTTGTTTCATCTACATTTATTGGGAAGTTTTATCTTTGAATTAAATCAAGTGTGATCAGTTTGTTAAGTCTGTATATGAAGCTGACTCACATGGCTTCTAGAACATAGGATAGTTTCTGCAGTGTCTGGAATCACCTTTTTTTCCTTTTCAATTGTAAGCTGCAGTTCAATTTTAAGTTACCCCTCAGAATTTTTCAGGATTCCCTGGAAGTTTTGCTATGACCCATTTTTTTCTCCTGGGAGGAGAAAGGTAATGTGTTCTTTCCCAGGAAAACAGCACAATGGCTCTGGCTCAATCTTAAAGTTTTCCATGCAGAGTCTAGTACTGTAACCATTAGAATTTAATTTCTGTCTTTCTCCGTGCCCTAACATTACCTCCAGTTAACCTTTTAACTTCTGCAGGTGACCAAGACAGAATTTTTCCTTACAATGTCAATACAACATCAAGCAGAGAAGAGAGGAGAATAAAGAAATATTTCAATTAAGGGACTATTAGTTGATCTAACACCAAATTCTCCAAATCAGCATCATAGGAATTGTATCCCAGACAGTAAGGAGAATTACCAGTGAGATTGTGGGAGTGAAAGGATTAAGAGTTACTGACTCTTAACCCTTGACCCTTGGTTCATCCTGCACACAATGTGAACAATTGATGGTTGCTTTTACTTTGTTTCCCCTTAGTTTCCATGTCTACCATAGGAGATAACATTTTAGAAAAACCATTACCCAAGGTTAGTGGTACATGTATATGACTGAGACATGATTATATCAATATGTCAAATAAGTAATTCTGTGCTGCTTGTTTTAATTAGATAAAAGGTTACCATACTAATTTTAAAGTAGAACCCAGTCATTCCTTAATCCTTTAACTCCCATGGGTTACCAAGACAGAATTTCTCCTTACATTTTCAATACAATATCAAGCAGACAAGTGATAAGAATTAGGAAAAATATCAACCAGAGGATTACAAGTTGATCCCATACAAAATTCTCCAAACTAACATCAGAAAAATTGTATGGTAGACAGTGTGGAGAATTACTATTGTGATCTGGAAGTGAAAGGGTTAAGCCACCCTTACAATTACCAATGTTTTGCCATGAGAAGGAAAACTCATCTGAAATTTTATCTTACCTGAGACACCATGACCCTGTGCTTGTTACTTTTTTTTATTGATGAAACACTCTCTAATTTTCCAACCACTCGCACAATTGAAATGGAACCAAGTAGTCACAGTCCTTAAATAAAGGGGCCCTATTCTCTTTTGACCTTCATTTGAATAAGGACACCATAAATTATAATTTTTTGATTAAAGAAAATTAAAGTAATTTATTGAAAAACTCTCTTATTCAGTTTCAATATTGCCAACATGCCTACATATCTTATAATATGACTGAATTTTTTTAACTTTAGATTGGAGAAAAAAGTGTATTTACAAAGGAATTAGAAGTTGCCTTGGCAAATAAAAGGTAGGTACATTTAGTGGTTTTACTCCATAAGATGAATGTCACCTACTTCCAATCATTAAACTCACTCCAAACTGAAAACAACTGTCACCTGGTTGATGTTGCTTAACATTTCCTCTTATAGGCTTCATGTAGTTTTATTTCTGATTGCAAATTTTGATTACTTTATTTTAGTTTTATAGAAGAACAATTTCTCTTTTAAGGAGTTCTTTTTGTTTGTTCTTAGTGTGGATTTTGTAGTTCATTCACTGAAGGATCTCCCATCCACTCTTCCACCAGGCATGTTAATTGGGGCTGTCTTCAGGTAATGGTTTTAACTCTTCGAACCCTAATAGTGACCAGCATCTAATTTCTCTTTACATTAATATTATTTTTTTCATTCCTGAATCACACATTAAGGTCACAAGAATATAGGAAATGATCACCAACTAAAGAAGCTCTTGATTGTTCAACTAATTCTCCTTGTTAGCACCTTAAGAAATGTATAGAGAACAAAATGGAGAATATGCATACTGATGTTAGGGTATAAAGGGTGATCAGTGGAATATAGTGTGATTCTTTTCCAATTTTATAGCACAAATTTGATATGAAAAGATTACTCAGAAATTAAGGGCTGGTCATTTTAATAAAAGTTTAGCCATTGTTTAACAAAACCACAATCTAAACTATCTTGAATTTAACTGAATCTTTTATCTGAACATTAATTTTTGTGAGCAGAGTCAAGAGGGCCAAAAGCTAGCAGTGGAAGGTCATTAATTTAATGAAAACATCCCTATTATAGGGAATACCTAAGGCCCACTGCTTGCATAAAACCGCAATTTGGGTTAGACCTCGTGTAAATAACCGGTCCTAAGATTTTTTTACCTGTGTCGGGTGATTTAGTATTTCTCTTTGCGTTTTATCAGGCGAGACAGTCCTTATGATGTGGTTGTCTTTCATCCTAAACACAAAGGTTCCAATCTCGCTTCTTTACCCAAAGGGAGGTGAGAACTAACTTTGCGGTGTAATTTTACTCATAAAGAGTTATAGACATGTATAAAAGATAATGTATACTTACGGTACTTTCAAAAGTGTCCATGTCTCACCCATGAAGAGTCCTTTGAAAGGGTTAGGGTTTTTTTTCAGCTTCGTGATTTTCAAATCTTTTTAATTTCATCCCTGGTCATCTTTTCTTATTTGTTTGCGAGTCTTTTTTTTTGTTTTTCTGCCTTTCCGAAATAATATTTTACAGCATTCCTTAAATGTCTCAGATTAACTATGATATCACGCCTTTGAACAAACTTAGGACTAATGCTATTTTCGATTGTTGATCATATACAGCTGTATTCATTTTCCCCCACAGTGTGATTGGGACAAGCTCACTAAGGCGTAGTGCACAACTTAAAAGAGCTTTTCCTCATTTGCTTATTGAAGATGTCGTATCCTTTTGTGAAACTGGTCGTTAAAAAGATTTTGGTTCGCCACGCGCGAGACAACTCGATTAAGTATAAAAAGACGCCTGAGTGCTAGGGTAATTTGGTGTTATCAACTGAGTTGATAACTTAACTTGGCCATCGTTAAGGGTTTAAAAGCTGACGTTTCGAGCGTTAGACCTCCGTCAGAGCAAAAGGCCAACGCCCAAAACGCTCTCGCCCTGACGAAGGGCTAACGCTCGAAACGTCAGCTTTTAAACTCTTTACAGTGGTCAATTTACGTTATCAACCCAGCTGATAATACCAAATTACCTTGTTATACTCTGCCATCGACGCTGCACCACAGTTTCTTTAGTTTCTTAAGAAACTTGCCCCCCTTATTTGTCTGAGTGCTAGGATTGTTAAAGCATAATGTGACCCTAACGATTGTGCGGAAACACAGTCATTGCAGAACCACCGATCGCTGAGCTGAAGTGCTTTCGATTGACTATCGTGAAAAAAACCCAACTAATGATAACGAGGAGCCACTAACAAGTCAAAGTAGACAGAGCAAATCGACGGAGTCGCGGAAGTAGGAGAGTGACCAAGTTGCGAGTTGTTATTGGTCTTACCTTAAAATCTGATTGGTTGAGAATGTGGCGCGAGTTTTCTAGACCAATCACGGAGCTAAGTGAAGGAAAATCAATGGAGTCTTGGACTTTGCTCGATACCCATGCAAAACGAAAGGGTAGTTTTCACATACGACGCGCTCGGAGTCGGAGTCGCAGAGTGATACAATCAAGTGAAAATCAAACCGACGGAATCAGAAGAAAAATAAACTGGATTGTCGCAGTTGTAAGGCTTTGGATGGCCTGAGAACTCGCATTGTGATCGGTTGATTCTTCCACTTCCGCTTGTGAATCAGCTTTCAATGGAACATAAGCGTCGATGTCAGAAGTGGAATCGGAAGAAAATGAAACCGTCCTGATTTTTACAACTCTGATTCTGTCGAGCCTATGACTCTCTTACGACTATGACTTTCGATTTTCCAGAAGTCGGAAGC